TGATTCAATTTGAATAAAATGTCTTAGGTCATGTAAGCAATAAACTGAGTTAACGAATAACAGTATTAATTTTCAAAGGAAAATCAATCATTAAAAACAAATATCATCACGTAACTAATCTTTTATTAGTTTTGAATAGTATAACATAAATGTCTGAATAGATCTTCAAGGCGTAACAAAAGTAATAATACTATAGAAGTAAAAATAAAGATGAGATTTAAAATTAAACTTTTGTTTTCCAACATTATGTTAATTTAAGTAAAATGTTATTGAGATTGTAAAATCTTTTAAGGCTGTTTCATCGTTTCATTTCATCTCAAATCAGTTTATGTTTTAATATTTAAGTAAAATCTAATAAATGTTAACAAATTAGTAGGTATAAATGAGATAATCATTTAATCAGTCAGCTGCATCATAGGACCATAAACATATATGCATCTGTACGAGTTGCTATACCTCAATAGCACAACAAGATGAACATTAAAATCATAGGAGTATTCACTTCAATGAGACAATAAAGAGTGAAAGAATATAAGTCGAAAAGTCCATCATACATACTGCAATACTGAATTAAAGAATATTAAAAAAAGTTAACAACACAAAGTTCAGGATAGGGATCGCTTTTCAACGAATTTATTATCAAGCTGTACAATCCTATATATATGGAACTTTTTTCTTAAATTATTAATTCTGTGAGAAAACGTGAACACGAATAACCGGGACGACGTAATGGAAAGATTACAACACTAGATTACGTTATACAAATAATAACATTAGATTTAGTGAATATAATATGATAATTAAAATGATTAAAATGTTTTTTTGTTGCAAGAATTAAAGGTCATAGAGGTGTAAAAATAATTAAGGTGATATGATGAGTATTTATGATTAAAATGATGAGAATATAAAACATACGTAAATGGGAATGCAGCAATAATAATAATGATAAAGTAATAATATTAATTAAGGCCAAAGTAACGATAACGACAGGACGTACTTCTTTTGTACACATAGTTCTGGATTGAACTCATGGATGAGAACTTCGGCTTGATAAAAAATTTGTTGGAAAGAGATCCCTTCGCTGAACTTCGTGATTATAATTCTTAATGTTTAAACGGGAATTATCTGTCAATTAAAAAAGTGTAAATAAAAACGACTTCATTAGCAATACTTACATTGTATGAGAGTAAAATCTTTTAAGTAACTTACTTAATACTTCTATCTGAAGTTTGTGCTGATGATGTCGTTCAGAAGAACGATGAAAGCTCCACGACTAAACTATCCAGCTCAGAGAACAAAACTCCATCAAAATCATCCACCTAAGCTACAAATCTTCTCCTCTTAGTACTTTCTTATAGAGAATGAATACCATCATGAGAAGAATCCAAAATAAATTATGTGTCAACTAAGAAAGATCACTGAATTTACTTAATTTTATCATGGATTATTTTCTGTTTAGTCAGAATAGCTTTTATCAGGTTACTTCTCATCAAATTAAACTGTCAGTTATCTTGGACTAAAAAACATATACTCGTTCTATAAATAAATTTTCACTCTATCAATGTTTATTAGCAATATGAACAGACGTTGCATTTATTCAAAGGATTCAGATCCAAATGAAACAAGCAACGTGGATGCCGTGGAACAAAAAAGTTAAAAATAAGATATTGATTACCGCAAAACATTTAAAGTGAACTACGTATATAACCCTTTATACTGAATTAAACATTAATAACTTTAAACTTGAAATATTTCATCTAAATTGTTTTCAGAGCCTAGCTGGGATAAATGAAACTAAACATTTTGTGAGATATCTACCATCTATAATCAAAGTAACTTTTTAAAGAAACTTATTGGTTTATGATATAGTAATAGATTATCTGTAAAAGATAGTTAATACCTTCCAGTTGAATAAAATCTCTGAACTCTTACATATTGTAGAGAAATCTTTAATATATATATATATATATATATATATATATATATATATATACTCATTTCTTGTATATTGGAGCAGACTCCATTATTTTTCAGTTAACTAACTGTAAATATACGATGAAAATTGTAAATTGAACAAGTGAGGTGATATCTGGTTAGTTTTACTGAATATCTGTGTGAATGATCATAATAAAGTAAATCTTTTATCTTAATTCAAAATCAATAAATATAGCCATCCCACTTACATAATCATTCTATTAGTCTAACGCATGCAACGTTAAAAGACCGAAATTTCGATGAGTCTAATGTTGGTATGATTCATGGCAGTATGTTCTCAATGAATACCAGTCGTTTAAATCTATATTTGATAAGAGCATTTAATTAGTTTTCTTTTATTTATGTAGAGAATATCTATTTACTTTTTTAAAGATTGGTTAATTATAAAAACATTAGTTCACAGAAAGATTTAGTTTAGATGAATTCATCTTCAAAGCTGTAGGATTACGTAGAAATATGAAATTATGAAACTAGAGAACTATCAAAAATCATGGAGTACTGAATAAATATTTTGTCCTAGTTTTTTGTTTCACATTGATGTGATATCAGTTCGTGAAGCAAGCTATCTTTATGTAGAGATGATCTCAAATGAATAAAGGTATTAGTTGATAGTTTTATTTAAAGGCTGAAATCAAACAGAACTGTTGGAAACCTTTTCATATAGATTTTGGACCACTCAATATTTAGAAAGTACGACCCTCCTCCAGAGATTAAACACATGACCCCCGGATATTGTGACCAGAGCTTTGACTCTGAACCACTTAGCTGACATGAAAAGATCAACATTTCCCACTCCGATCAACTTACAATAAAGCACGACAATCAGTAAATACCGTTGGTGAGTAGTTGTACGACAACTCAGGTAGCTGAAGTTTATCAGTCACTAATAATACAGCCTCAAAAATCTCTCTTGTAGTTAGTTATTGGCTAACACTCGATTAGTGTTTGACTGGATGTTTTGTGAAGATTAGTTCGAAAATAGTCTGTATGAATGTTGTAATGCTGATATCAAAATTATAGTAATTAACATGACCGAAGCGTTTTAATAATTACATAATTATCAATATGGAGATTTGTAGAGATTGAAGTATTTTCACGGTTGAATTCACGAGTCAATTTAAGCTAGACCACCACTGAAAGCGTAGAAGCACTGAATAACCATTTCGTCCTAGTACGAAACTCCTCAGTAGTTCTAATCCTTGACACCTCAAGCGGGACTCGAATTCAGGACCTTCGGTTTCGTGCGCGAACGCCTAATTTCTATACCGCCAAGTCGACATCCAATGGTGTTAATATCTAACTTTAATGTAGGGTTGCACAAAATCATGAGTCGATTGAACGTATTCATCCTAAAAGAGAAATCAAAAATCAAACAGCATCGTTAATTGTCAAGGATTATTAATGCAAAATATCATAATTGTAAGAATAAATGGAAACATATATGTAAATATTCCATGACAATCAAAATATGATTAAGTTAAAGAAATAAGTCTAACAACCTATATTTTATACAGATTACTCTAATATTAAATTGCAAATGACTTCGTCTTTTACAGTATTGAATAGGGTAAAACTGAAACATCTAGAAATACTTGATTGCACGAATGAACGACTTGGAATGATCACTTACTTATTTACGCTTGTTAATCCCAATCGAGCATAGGCCGCCGACCAGCATTCTTCAACTCACTCTGTTTTGAGTATTCCTTTCTAGTTCTATCTGATTTTTGTTCATTTTTCTTATTTCTGTCTCTATTTCTCGGCGTAATGCGTTCCTTGGTTTTTCACTCATCCTTTGGCCTTGAGGATTCCATGTGAAGGCATGTCTTGTGACTCAGTTGATTGCTTTCCTCAATATATGTCCTATCCACTTTCAGAGCTTCTTCCAGATTTCTTCCTCCGCTAAGATCTGGTTTGAGATAAATGAAAATTATCTACCAGAAATTACACTGTATTCATTCACTTAAACATATTATAAATTTATGGGACTATCATTGTTATATTTATTAGAGAATTAAGCCTCAAATCCGTGTAATTTAAAAAAACAAAACAAGAGAATTACTTATTACAATAATTAATTAAATATACTTTAATTAATCAATCATGATCATATCGCCGAAGAAAAAAAACTAGAATTTTTTTAAAAACTAAATTGCCAAATACTTTTCAAATCATTATTATACCATGTTAATTAAATAATTGGCAAATAGTTTATATTATCTAATAAATCAACAATGAATCTTTACATTAGTAGTTATGTTTTTATTTTAATAAATTTAAAACTGCAATGTAAACGGATTTTCTCAATTAATGATTATATATAAGAAGTTAGTCATATCTGAATTTACACACACACACACACACACAAATTCAGACTTTAAACTATATATTTGATGATATATAACTTAATCGTTACTCATTAATTCATATGTATCACGTTTTCATCAAAATATTGTTGTTAAGAAAAGATACTTTTAGATACATTTTATTGATAAAATATTGTGATCATCTATAGAAGCGTAATTTTGTATATTGAAAATAATTTGAAATATATATATGTACTAACTTATCTAATCAATTATATGTAATAATTTATTTATTTAGCCAATAATCCACCTACTTAGCTGCCTGGATTACTTACTCGTCAACTTTTGTTGTATTGTATCATGGGTATACGCTAACAAACTTAACACAAACACAATAAGAATATTACTTATTTTAGACGGTTACATATCGACGAAATTCTTTCTTATCTAATCAGATATTATATGTGTAAATGAATTAATTTACACGTATATGTATAAATATATGCATATAAAAGATTCGATTAATTTAACAAGTTACTTTAAGAATTGTTTTCATTTTAGTAAATTATATTAATTCACTTTTGTTGTCGAAGTGATTAAAAAAAAGAAAGCCAATTTAAATTATAAAGAAGAATAGATAAAGAGAGTAGTTATCAGTATTTTTTTTCTTTCTCCCAAATATCATCATAACAATTAATTATGTCAACCGAGACGAGATTAAGTTCAATGGAAGAGTTTATTAGAGCATTTTTAGAAATGGATGCAGATAACAATGAAATGATTGATAAACAAGAATTAATTAAATACTGTCAAAAACATCGTTTGGATATGAAATTGATCGATGTAAGTACTGTCTCCCACATGTTTTATAAGATTTTATTTTGTTTTATATCTTAATGTTACTTGTTGTTGAAATAACAAAATGGATTTGTAGTTCAAAGTGAGTATTTTGTCAATGTTATATTCTTTGAATTAAATGCTTAAATTGTGAAACTTTCATTGTTCTTTTCTAAGTCAAATCACTAATAAAAGGTATAAGATAAAGTGAACAGTTAGCTGAATAATAATAACCATTATTATTAATAAATATATATTCATCAGTGGTTAATTTTGTGGGGTGATGTCTGAAGTTGAGATGAAAAGCTTTGACCGGTAAAGCTGATTTATGTCAAGTGTGAGGTAGTTACATACCAATTGCGTTGGATAGCAGTTGAGCTATACTGTAAATTGTTTGATGTTAGAGATGTATGCCGGCTTAGTGAACTTAAAGTTGGGAACTCTCCCCAAGGCTTGAAGGTACTGGTTGCGATCTCCTGTGGCGAGGACATGGGTAAGCAATTAATAGAAGCCCTATACTAGGGTAAATAGCTGCTCAATACTTTTTGATTTTCATTGGTTGTTTAACTATGATCTGTCCATAATGTAAATTAGTAAACTCAGTGATTGCTTCTAGGAAATATGGAAACAATCAAAAGCTGACAAGGAATTGTGGTATGATTATTGATCATGTCAGAGGAAAATATAGCCTAAATAAACGTTCTCAAATCGTAAAATGCAATCACATCCTCTTAACAACATGACGAGCTTTTAGCCAACAGTATACAAATTCCAATAGTCCAACTCTTTTCAATGTTCTCATTGATTTTATTATCTGGAAAGTTAATAAATCATTAAAAATTAATCATCAACCAGCTTAAAGTACACAATACCATAAATATCATCACTAGTACCTTCATAATCACTAGTAGCATTCATTACTGACTATATTCTACTTGACTTCAGTATTTTAGAAAAAAATAATTTTCGTCGACTCACCTTATAAATTAAGATAGTTTCCATTCGAAATCGTCATGTATTTGGTTCACTTTCACCCACTCACGATCCAATCGTTCTATACCTAGAAAGTTATATAATTAAAGTAAATCTTTCAGCATTATTTATTTTCTGGTGCTAAATCAATGAGTTATTAGGTATTTACATCAAAATTGAACTTAATAGTCTGGAACAAATCGAGCATTATGTTGAAAGTTGATAGTAAGTATATTTTTGTAATAGATAACTCAGTGGGTAGATATTAACATTTCTGATGTTTCGTGACTTAATGTAAGTCACCTCCTCAGAATCAATAAATAAATGAAAAGTGATTTATAACAATTCATGAAATATCCGAAATACAAATTTCTACTCATTGGAATATCACAAAAATATATATATCATAGTGTTAAATCGTATCCTTATAATCTAAATGATTCTTTAAAATAACAAAGCACAATTCAAATGCATTTATAGAAACATAGAGAGAAGTACAAAAATTATATGATGATATCACATAGTTGATATACCGTTGATTGTACTCAATTTCAATACGATTAATTCCAATTATTTAAAAAAAATAATGATTACTTTTTTAAGTATAGGGTTGTGGAGATGATTAAGTTTTTGATTGAGATCATGATGTTAGACCACCATTGAAAACCTGGAAGCATTGGACAGCCGTGATTACTTGAAGTTAGAAATGAACACCGTTGGATGCCGACTCGATGGTCTAGAGGTTAAGCGTTCACCCGCGAGACTGAATGCTCTGGGTTTGAATTCCGCGAGCGGGATAGTGGGTGCGCACTGCTGAGGCGTCTCACAATAGGACGAAACGGCCGTCCAGTGCTTTTCAATGGTGGTCTAACATCATTTGGTTCAGGATCTAAATCAAAAGATTATTTTTGTGCTATTATTATGGAAATATAGTGTTCATGAGGAAATTGTTATAAATACCATTTACGATATTATTGATTACCTAGTGAAAACAAGAAAAAGTAAGAATCGATCGATCCATAAACAATTTGTATAAGTCAAATATGATTAAGGTGTTAAATACAAATTAGAGAACAATATTATTCGCCTATATACAATTGAAGCTCTATAGCTTTCCATTAAAAATAAATCAAAAACTTATTGTAATTTCATACAAATTACGCTGTACAGTGTTTTTTATTAATGCAATGACAGTACTCATATTTTTAGTAATTTTTCATTGTGAACAATAAACCAATTATCCCTCGAGGCCGGGTTGTGGATGCACGCTGCTGAGAAGTCCCAAAATATGACGAAACGGCCGTCTAGTGCTTTCGGATTTTCCATGGTGGTCTAGCTTCACTTGCCTCATGATCACAACTATTGAAATTATAATTCCATTCAATTTTAATAACAGTTGAGGATGACTGTTTTGAAGAATCTATTGAGGCAATTAATGACTTCGAATCAAAAAACGTATTCGATTCATTTTTGTTGAGTAGAAAACGTCATTTATTATAGTTAACGTTTGTTGATCTATTAAACAATGTCTCTAATTTGGATTTTATTCAGATTTTCTGTGAATTTCATATCAACATTGATGTTCATTAGTTTAGATTAAATATGTTATATACATGTTTGGGAACTACATACTGACTTATCACAAATGCAATTTTTGTCTAGTCTTTACCGATATTCAAATTTTACTAATTCAATTGTAGTGCGGTCACAAATCTTGGTGATTTTAACCTTTTAAGTGATGATCTGTTTCAGGTGAGTTGGTACCACCACTACTACATTTCTTGAATATTGAAGAACTCATCGGTTTCCGAAAGATTGCCGATACAACTTTGTTTCAAACAATGTAGTATGATTTCGTAAGTGAAATACCATTATATACAGTAAAACGTAGTTTAATATTAATGAGTAGTATATACCCTATTAGATTTACTACAGACAATCAGAATAGAAAATTGAAAAACAAATATATATTAGACAATAACCCAGAAAGGTACCTTTTTCCGAACAAATTAAATTATACTTTGGTGACAAATATGAATGGCTACTAAACTATTTACAATATTCTTCCTTATCTATGATATCTAATTAAGAGTATGTTTATTTTTTTTAAATTTTCGTTTGCTTACGTTTTTTTATTTTTCTTAGCCATGGATAGCAAGGTTTGATACTGATAAAGATAATAAAATCAGTATAGAAGAGTTCTGCCGTGGATTCGGTTTAAAAGTATCAGAAATGTAAGCATTAAAATTATTAAATTACTTTGTAAAAAAAATTCGAATCAACAGTAGTGATAAAATATAGTGATTTAAATAAATTTCTGATATAATAATCATTGGACAATGATAATTGAAGATGGAAAGGATGTTTTACTTTCCGAATAGATATTTATGATATTATTATTATATAAGATAATAATCAAAACTGATAGTCATGTTTTAATTTCGTTAACTGATGAGTTAAGATAGCCACTAGCTTGTGTAATTGGGTAAAGTTCAATTAATTTGTATTGGTTGTTTTAATCTTCTCACTGACATTTAGGAATGTAATTGGTCAGTCATTTTTTGGTTTATGTGCATCCTGTACGAATCGCCTGAATATTCTAAGCGTAAATGGATGGTGGTCAGCAATGGAAACGAAATTTACTAGGTTGGAGTCCTGGAGTAAAGATCGACTCTGCAATGCAGGTCCTATATAACATGAAATGCGCATTCTGAATTTCATTGTTGACCACAATCCATCTGCTCCTAAAATTCCTGTGATCTACTGGCAATATCATGGCAATCCGCGCAGAATGCAAATATCTCAGAAGAGACTGATGGATTCCGGTCCTAAACATTAATAGGAAGATCCAAACAACCAATACAAACAAACTTTATTTTAAAAGTTAGAAAACGAAATACTAACATATAGACATTGTCTACTGATATCATTATGCCATCGAAAAACGATACAGTTATTACATATTTATTTAATAGCAAGTTATTATTCTATAAAGATGAACTAAGGAATGAATAACTTTAGTCATAATAGAATTTCGAGGTTAAAATAGCCACATCACGTGCATATTCGAACATTAGGCATGATTCGTGAAAAAGTATACGCGAATTTGGTTCTTCATCTACTGAACAATTTTTGACTTACTGTTTGTTTTGAATTATACTCTATTCCGTTCACCCAACGATTTTCTTTCACATTGTATGCAATAACCTATCTATTAAGTCTGCTTATTCAACTTTTGATATCACACTGATGAGAAGTGAGTCAGTAGTATTTAAGAGATTGATCATTACGAAGATATCTTGTACTAGCGCGTCTTTGGGGTTGAATGGGGTCAAAAGAATTATTGTCATAGAGGTATTGTGGAACTTTTTGTAAGTGTCATCAACTGACAACTTCTCACGTTGAATAGTATAAACTTGGGATCGATAATCTCATAAGAATAATCAACCTGTTGTGTTCTGAGCAAAATCTTACTTCTTGTAAATAAATTTGAAAATATGCCATACTGACGAATTTTCACCTTTAGGCTATTTTACATTACGAAATAATCAATCGTTTATGTCACACTGTTTTGCTAAATACTTCGAAAATTCCTGTCTTATTAATACAGCCAGAACAACGATTTTCTGATAATGTTGTTCTTCCTCTATATAAGTTTATAATGAAGACGAAACATTTGAAACACATAATCTAAACTGATTAACAATCCACGCAATCTGTTGTTACAGTCAGAAAAGTCACGACTGAATTTTACTGATGAAATTTCACAGCGATTTGAATTAATTCGCCAAAATGTAAAATTGTAATTAGACCAATAAATTTAGTATATTAACTTTATACTTTCAAATGAATTGTTAGTGATCATTCAAAAAAATCTACTGTTAACTTTTTTTTCTACTTTAGTCGGCGTGAAAAAGAAGAATTAAAAAGGGAAAGAGAAGGCAAGATTTCTAAACTTCCACCGAATGTTGAAATTATTGCAGCAACCATGTCAAAAACAAAACAATATGATATATGTTATCAATTTAAAGAATTTATTGATAGTACTAGTCGAACAAATAATGATGTAAAAGAAGTGGCAAATAAAATGAAAACATTATTGGATAATAATTATGGTCGTGTATGGCAAGTGGTTATATTAACTGGTTCATATTGGATGAATTTTTCTCATGAACCATTTTTATCAATACAATTCAAGTATAATAATTATGTTTGTTTAGCATGGAGAACACCATCTCAATAATAACTATATTAATAAAAATACAACTGACTATGAATTTATAAAACAGTATTGAAGGAATATGTAAATGAACATTTTAAAACTTTAAAAGAAATAAGGAATTTTTAAATAATTTTGAATTTATTAAACATTTTATAGCCATTAATTTGTTTTCGTTAATTTAAACATACATTACTTTGTAATAACGAAAAAAACTTCATCAATAAATGGGTTCAATATTATTAAATGTCAGTTTTACAATGAATAAAATTTCAGTTTTCTTTTAAAAGAAAAATGAAGTACCATTGCAAACGTATGGATTTTAAGTGATGAATATCTTGGACACGTTGTTTTATTCAACTTAGTAGAGAAACGATACAATTTTAATAAATAACTCAATATTAGTATTCGGTTAATCTATTAATATATTTGTGAGGTTAAAGACGTTTAGGATATTACTTACTTACGCTTGATACTCCCAATGGAGCATAGGCCGTCGACCAACATTCCCTAACCCATTCTGTCCTGAGCTTTTCATTTTAGTTCTATCCAGTTGTTGTTGATTCTTCCTATATCTGTCTCCATGTCTCGGCGTAATGTGCTCTTTGGCCTTGAGCATGGAGCCCCTCTGGGGCTAATGTCAATCATAAGCCCGGATAATGGAGGAGGGTTGGGCATGGAGTTAGCAACCTAATTCCGTAAAAAAACTAACTCGATAAAAAAACGCTAAAAGAGTTTAGGCTATAATATTCGTTATTTGTTGTGAGTGATTAATCGTTAAAGTGAGTAGAAGTAAGACATTTACGGCTGTTTTGACGAATAAATCTACGGTTAACCTAAATTTTTATAACTAACAGACAAACTGTCTATATGGAAAACTTAATATCATAATTTCTCCAAAGACAATTGTAAAGATAGTTTTCGCCACGAAATGGGACTTAATAAGGAAATGGGGAAATCTAGGTAGCAATCGATAATTATTTCGTCTCAATACGTAATTCACTAATTGATATCCATCCATGACTTTACTAAGGAATTAATCCAACACTATCATGTAAATCAACGAACACGTTTTATTTAGATCACTGAACTAGAACCCAATAATCTGTATTTCTGAATTTCGTCAATTCTAATGAAATACTAGAACTATCATTCAACAGTGGATAACTGAATAACCTTTGACATGATTAGACTCGACTAATTATCATTTCTCGTGACATCGTCTTGAGTCCATTACGAAACTAGGTAAAGGTTTGCATTCATTTGTGTAACGTGATAATATTCACAGTTTGAACAATACTTAAATAGCTTGTTCAAGTTATTTCATGAAAATGATAATTATTTTAAAGAAAAGCAACAGATCATGTGAAAAAGATATACTATCTGGTATTTACAAAATGGTAGGAAATGGACATTTCCTAACCAATATTTATTTATTTTATTATAGGTTATTCAAGACTGTTTTATGAAGTTACTTATTCTGTAGGATCTATTTTTGGGAAATAATACTGTATATTTTTGTACGGTTGAGTTTTCTGCATAAATTAAACAGTCAGTCGTGTTATCCGATGGACCGAGTTTCATAACATACTAAGTTTTAAAATTTTAATTGTATATTTGAATATAAACAGTATTAAGAACTATCCTTTGAATATAGATGTATTTGAATTGTCAACAAAAGATAATTTCTTCTATTTAAATATGAACTTTTAAAGTTTCTATGACAAATTTCATCAAACAAAATAGCAAACTGGAAAACAATATAATTCAAACACTAAAACGATGGATTATAAGTATTTCGTTAATGTCTCATTTAAATTTAATTACCAATAATTTATAAGGTGACAATTATGATTATAGTTCTGACAAGTTTCTAAATCCACATACTGGTCATATATTTGTTTTTCTCCTCAAACATCTGAATTTGAGATGGTGGAAATACAACCAAAACGAAAAAATAAACAATGACACGTTTAAGGTCAACAAGAACCAATCAACATCGAGGTCTACAGGACAAGCTGTGAATCACATGTGGAGAAATTCGAACACTTCACTTCTATCTAAAGTTTGTGCTGCTGATATCATTCGGAAGAACAATAAAACCTCCACAACTAAACCATCCAGCTCAGAGAACAAAACTTCATCAAAAACATCCAAGTTTATTTTTCATACTTTATACGGTAAATGGAAAAGAAAGAAAAACAATTAATAAAAAGATTAACTTAAAAAATGATAATCTTAAATTAGTAAATAGGGAACCATTTTCATTATCTTTGTATTTATTGTGATTGAAACTATCAACTATTTTCATTTCTTATTAGCCTTATGATTAAAATTAAATCAAAAAAAGAAGAAAGTTTAGTTTCGTTTAATTCTTTATTACTGAGCAAATTAAGGCGTGAGTTTAAAATTCTACTAAAGAAAATCGTAAACTTTTATAAAAAATCTTAAAAAATGACGTTTATTTTATTAAACATTTAATATGCCGAATGGTTACTTGAATAAATAGTCATGCTAAATACTAAAAGTTTTATTTTTTAAATCGACGTTTTGTTTTTCAAATAAAAAATTTTTTGTTGATAAAAACTTGGTTTATTTTCAAGAATTGCAAAGAAGTAACTAATCATTTCGATGCCTTAAAGTAGATCTTAATTTTATTGCCTGTAAGACTGACATCCGGGGATTTTCAAATCATTCAAATATTGAAAAGTTTCTGAATATGAGTATAAATATAAATAAATTAATATATTTGTATCATCAGAAGGGTTGTTTTTTGGATATTTTAGTAATTCTAATAGTTGAGATCATAAATTCATTGAAGCTTGACCACTATGGAAAACGTGGAAGCGTTTGACAGAGGTTTCGTCCTATTGTGGTAAACAGTGACTAGTGGTGTTCAGCCGGGTCTATTGTGAGATAGTAACTCAATGAAGACAATGGTGGATGTGTCGCTCAATTTCGTGGATTAGTTTATGTTAGACATTAACACCGTTGGATGCCAGCTCAATGGTCTAGAGGTTAGACATTCACGCGCGAAACCGATAGGCCCTGGGTTCAAATCTTGCGAGGTGGGGTTGTGGATGCGCACTTCTGAGGAGTCCCATAGTAGGAAAAAACGGCCATCCAGTGCTTTCAGATATTCCATGATGGTCTAGTTTCAATTGATTCATGATCTGAACTAATAAAATATTTGTAATATTCTCTGAAGAAATAGCATACACTGAGTTACAAAACGACAGAAAATCTCATTTTTCTACTCATTGGGATATTACAGTTATATTAATTTATTAATAACAATCTACCCAATGCTCAATTTTTTTGAAATTATCAAGTTAAACCTTGGTAATGATACCTATCAGTATAAATGTTTGAAAATTGTAAATATTTTTCTGAGTATGACATTGTTATTTATTAATTATTGGTAATACAAAACATTTAAAGGGTAGAAAACCATTTTAACTTTTTATTTTATGGAATTATTTTGAAATACCACTTTCAAATTTCAAGGTTATCCATGGTGGTCTATCTTTAATTGACTCATGAATTCAATTATTAGATTACATATAAGACTGAAAGTTTTGAAATTCCCAATTAGTTTTAGAATTTCTATAATGTATCTTAAAATATCTGTATATATCAGCTGAACATATAAAGACCCTTTAATTAATTATCAATTAAACATTAAATAACCATTCAAAGAATTTACAAACTGTAATAAAATATATAAATTACAAGATGACAAATAATACAATACTCTAGAAAAGAATTAACGTGACAAGATTTTGTAAGGAAGTTTGACAAATTCATCATTTGCTTTATAAATCAACAACAATTAAGATTTGAGAAAAAATGACAGGAATAAGGAAGTCAGTGAATGGATCGCTTATCAAAGAATTTATTATCAAGGTGTACGATTGTATACATATGTATACATATATACATAAAAAATTTCAAGTATTAATTCTGTGAGAACATATTAATAATGTACTCATATAATGAGATCACGGAAAGATTATAATAAATGATTCTATGAAGGAAATAATTACAATAACATGTTGTGTTCGTGCAAATAAGGTGTGTAAAATTATTAAATTCACATTGGAACATAATTTGATTGCAGTAAGATAATTAAAATGTTTTCATCATAAGAATTACAGGCATTAGAAGAGTTCAATGAAATACAATGATATGAGAAACATATGCCAGTAAAATGATATGAGAGATAATTGAAGAGAAATGAACATTTTCAAATGGGAAATCAATAAGATGAAATGAAAGTAAAATAGTAATAGCAGTAACAATACTAATACTACTGCTACTGTTACTAATACTACCAGTAATAATAGGAATAATAATAGTTTAGGACACGGTAAAGGCAATGATAAGATATACTTCTTTTGTACGCACAGTTCAGATTTCATTTTGAAGATGGGAATAGCTTCCACCGTTTTAATGAATTGCATTCAAAGAAATGTTAGTTGTATTAAGTAAATAAATCCATTTATAATTTTAATACCAGTGTTATTCACTAACATATCTTTGGTTACATCAAGGAATTCTCAGTATGACAAAATACGGTGTAGAGTAAAAGTTCTCGCTTCTATTCATTCTAACCATGGAAACCTAAAGCAACCTTTAATTTCGCATTGGAGATAATTTTTGAACCTTAATCAGTGAAAATTGAGGACAAGTTTCAATCAGACGTATCGTATAGCATATTTGATATATTAATTCTAGTTTAATCGCCTCACATTTCTCCTAAACATAATGAATGGAAATAAATCGAATTTAATAGAAGTCCCGCCTATGTTTTGAACTATTTGGATATATGATGGATTGTAAGAATTTTTTTTCAAATTATGAGATCACACTAGACTGTTAGCACATATATAATGAATAATAAGACAGTAAATTTTATTTCAATATTCATTCTACTGAAATTATGCAAATTATTAAGGGTATTGTCATGTGTACACAAAATAAGAATAACACATATAAGTCAACAATATTGTTTTTAGATAGATCCTTTTTAGACTTTATTCTAATATACAGTAATATTAATAAGTATACGTGAAAATATCAATCCAATCAAGGCAATTTATAAGTCAATGATAACAATAAAATAAATCACATAGATATACATTACATATAAAAGGTACTAATTGACAATGTATTGACAAGTGTAATAGGAATAATAAACCCTTGAATCAATGTGTCATAGTAACAAGTTTGAAAAAATACACAATGTAATAATATTTAGTAAGAAATTATTAACATTAAAAATGAAAAATATTTTTAAAAAACTTTAAAATATTTTTTAATGTTTTTAAAGCTTCAATTCTCATTGGTTTTAAAAAAATAAATAAACTAATTGAATGTAATATAAATGTAATTGAACGTAATAATTCTAGACAATGATGAGTTATATCACATATCATTTCATATTCTATATGTGTTTCACATACATGTTGACATATATCAGCTATTGTAATTAAAATTTCTGGTAAACACCAAACAATTAATAATAATGTTAAATATTTTTGTAATGGTTTAATTTGAATTTGATCTTTTGTAATAATTTTAATTTTATAATAATATAATATTATTAATATAATTACAATGATTATTACTAATAATGGTATAATATCACCAAGTATTAATGAGACATAACTAAATATAATTAATTCTAATCGATCACTACTACTGATTAACATTTTTGAAATAACAAAACATTGACCAGTTTGATCTAATTTAACTAAAAGAATTAAATATAAATTAGAAATTATATTATATGCTACTGATAAACAATAGATACCACCTAATAATTTAGGATAATTTAATAAATTTAAATTTGGTATATATATTGATAAACAATGTTCAATAATTATAGTAATAATTGTTTGTCTAGTAAATGTATTAAATAAATTATTTAAAAATTCACTTGTCCATATATGACAACCTAATATATTAATCCACATTTCTGATGTAATTAAAAAAAATGGACAAAATTTATTACCAATTTGTGATATACAAACAAGTGTATCAAATGTTATTTGTATCATAATTAATATACTTATAAATTGTGATGATAAATATATTTGAAGTATTAAAAATAATATAAATTGATTAATTAATATTATATAACATGAAAATAAAATAATAACTACATCAATTTTTGTAGCAATATCAGTAATATTTTGATATTGATAAATAAATCCACTATGATAATCACACATTGATTATAATGTAAAATAATAAATAAATTAATTGATTGATTAATTGTTTTCTCTTATTTTAAAATTAGTGTAAATAATTATTTTGTTAGTTTGCTTTTTTTAAAAAAAAGAGGAGGAAAAAATGATGTAAATATGTATTAAAGTATGGAATAAATTGTGATTTTATTTTTATTTTATTTATCATCTAATACTATTTCTGATTGGTTGTTATTTATAGGTTTCCGTTCATTGGTGGAATAATAATAACAATAGGTTAGGCGTTCACGCGCGAGACTTCAGGCTCTAGGTTTGAATTCCGCGAACAGGATAGCGGATGCGCACTGCTGAGGAATCCTACAATAGGACGAAACGGTCATCCAGTACTTCCACGTTTCTAACGGTGGTCTAACATCAATTGGTTCATGGATTGTTTTCATTTTCCAATTGGAATGAATTTTATTGTACAAAATTCTAGCTTTTGATTTATATTGATACTTTTAGAAAGAATTATAGATATGAGGTCCAACTATATTTATCGAAGATTTTTGTTATGATCTGGGATCAGTTAGAAATCAACTGAAAATCAGAGAGTAAATGATGCAGTAAATAAACTCAGTGTTGAAGGTTGATTATATTGGTGTTACGTTTTCCTTTGATCTTTTTTGGTCTTCTCATGTTTTACTGTGATCGAAGAAAGCTTTTCGTCTGACTTACTATATAGAGAGACTGCATGCTTCTAGAAATACTCTACATTTACGCTTACAATTTGTCAATTCTTGCATATTACTATGATAATTAGGAGTAATTGAATTATAGTATGAACTAAGAATCCCAGGGATAACGCAATTGAATCAAGAAGTACTACACAAGCACTAACGAATGTACTGTATTTAGAATTCGAAATCAAACATTCAACAAGTACAATGGAGTCATTAGTTCATTCAAACACCACAATTACCTATTATTCTCTACTGTACTCCATTTTTTTTTCCAGGATTTTGAGAAAAGATTGCTGTATTACGATGAGTACTGAAGGCAGTTATCAAAGTGTGTGGTGAATCTTTCGAGGTCATTATTAATATGGTTGTGGATAGACATCTAAAACCTTGCAAACTACTGGCAGGTGTTATCAGATACTAACCATTCCCTTCACTCATATTTTTTCTCCTTGTATATCTTGTGGTAGAACGAGACGTAATTACATTAAAATTCATGCATGGATGCAAAGGTATAAAAGTTCTATAATACCTTACCTAGCAAATATACTCTGTGAGGAACGGGTTGTTAGTCAATAACCTGTATTCTTAAACATGTCCCTAATTTGGAAAGTTGTACAATTTCAGATCTTTATTTAACCTTTCTCTTTCTTTTTTGCTGTCCTGTTTTTTTTGTAAAAGAAACTTGTTGAAATACCTTGAGCTGAGAATTCTATATTCTACCAAAATATAATATTGAATAAAGCCATTAATAATAATAATAATAATAATAATAATAATAATAATGATAATAGATCTTTTGTTGTAGTTTGGGAATATATGATGGGACGATCCTCAATATACTGGTAACCTATCAAATATACCATCGAACCCCATCGCTTCTCTCTTTTGATTTCACTTGGTGGGTACGATTCATATTAGGTGTTGCTGGTTAAAGCGTTATCAAACTCCGAATACCTGTACCATCTTCATTGGTGAGCCTAACGTGATCTGGTACACCAAATTACAAACTGTGAGTCTGTTCCTTTTTGGGATTCTATATATCATTGTCTTATTTTAATTTTTTATACACTGTGATATTTTTTCTGTCTTTTTGGATATATATTTTTCACTCGTTCATTCTCGTACTTCACATTTCACTATGATTGGACAGACACCTAAGGTACTTAAGTTAAAGACCATGTCTCCAACTTTGTTCCAACTAATGCCCTTCTAATAAGACAACATCGAAGCCTGGTTCTGCTACTCAGAAGCCGACTTCTGAGAGCACGGTGTGAACGATGCGCGTACACAATTCCTCGCAGTAGTCAAGGCACTGCCGCGCGAATTTAACAGGTACGTAACACCTTGTATGTTTACTAGTGATGTTTCTGATCCATACCAAACCCTGAAACATGCCATTCTTAAACGCGGAGATCTAACCGATCGACAAAGGTTAGACCAACTCCTTAACAACATCGACCTGCAACACGGTTCTGCCACAGACATGTTGCAAAGAATGCGAGAAGTCATTGGCCAAAGAACCTTCGATGACGGCCTATTCAAACAACTTTTCTTATCCAAACTTCCTCAACAGGTGCAAGCTGTCTTGGTCTCGTTTCAAAACAACGCCGTGGACAAACTGGCTGCATCTGCCGACCACATCTTCGAAATCACAACATCTTCTAATGCCGAGGGTTTTTCAGTCAAATAAAGCCTCAAACGAAACAGAATGACATAACACTTACCCGTTATCTTAAACTTCGTAACGACCGTAAGCGGTCACGCACCCCACAAAGAAGTACTTCACGTAGGCAATCTGTCTCTAGACCTCGAGAGACGGATAACCCTGACTGGTGCTGGTATCATAACCAGTATGGAAAGTCCTTCAGAAATTGCAGAAAACCCTGCAATTTTCCCAACTCAAAATTGATCGACAGGAAAAACGATTCAGGAAACTACCAAGCCGGCACGCGTTAACGGCAACCGTGGCTGGCGAACGTAGCCGTCTGTTATACGTCACAGATGTGATAAGGAGATTCCGCTACCTCGTCGATGCATACGACTCAGCAATCGGAGGAGTCTTACGACAATGGGTTAACCACTCCTGGCAACCTTCGGCATTTTCTCTAGACGGTTGCTAAACACTAAATTGCGATACAGTACTCCTAGCTGTGTATTGTGCTGTACGGCATTTTCAATACTCTATCGAATGCCGAGAATTCACCATTTTTACTGAGCATAAACCTCTTACTTTCTCTTTGAGCTCTTCTTCAGACAAGTACTCACCTCATGAGTCTCGACAACTGCACTCCATTTCACAGTTTACTTCAGATATTCAGCACACTTCTGGAGCAACCAATGTCGTTGCAGACACCTTATCTCGAATAACTTCCTTGAACAGTTTCTGAGCACTCGACCCTCTGAAACTTGCTTAGCTTCAAAAAGAAGACACTGATCTTCAGCACAAGTTAGCGTCAACAAGACTTAAACTGCTAATTAAACAGATGGGAACAGGTAAGGAAACCTTATTGTGTGCTCATTTACAGATAGGGATCTCCCAATAGCACCGAAACATTATCGACGCAACGTCTTCGATACGTTGCACGAACTTTCTCATCCAGGTGTTTGTGCAACCATCAAGCCTATAGCAGAACGGTTTCGCTGGCCTGGTATGAATAAAGACGTGAGAGAGTGGCCATGCTCCTGTGTAAGCTGCCAGAAATCTAAGGTTATCAGACATAACGAATGTCCCTTAGGCTCATTTAAAACTCCCGACGCTCGATTCGACCATGTTCGTTTGGATTTGGTAGGACCTCTACCAGACTCAAATGGATATTCTTATCTCTTAACCTGCGTAGACCGTTTTAATCGATGGCCAGAAGCAGTACCCATCAAAGACATTACTGCTGAAAGTGGCCCGGGCCTTTGTCGAACGATGGGTGGCAAACTTCGGCTGCCCAACAAACATCACTACAGATCATGGACGCCAGTTCGAATTTGAACTTTTCTATTGTCTGACCGCGAAACTTGGAATCACTCGTTTTCGAACGACGGCATACCACCCACAAGCAAATGGGTTAGTAGAACGTTTTCACCGACAACTTAAAGCGTCACTATCAGCCTCAAACATTTCTCAGTGGACTGACTCCCTTCCACTAGTCTTACTAGGTATTCGCAATGCAGTGAAATCTGACATTGGATACATTGCATCTCAACTCGTTTATGGTACGACCCTTCGACTTCCAGGAGAGTTCGTGGATCCTTCATCCCCTTTGAGGAACATGGATCTAACCTCCTACACGAACAGGCTTACAAACGCAATGCGTTCAGTTAAACCTGTTTCCACTCGACCACAATCAACTGATGTTTTCGTTCAACCTGAATCACGATATAATACACACGTTTTCATACGTCGAGACTCGTATCGACGACCTCTCGAATCAGCATACGAAGGACCTTTGAAAGTTGTTCAACTCAAACCCAAATACTATGTGGTCGATAACAGCTGGACAAACGATAGCATCAGCATCAATCGCCTCAAAGCAGCATATTTAGATGGAAATATTATTCACGTCGACTTTCCTTCAGAAAGATCACACGACACGATTCTCTCACTTATAATACCTCAACCGACAGCCTACACGCACGTTGATACTTTGACGATATCGGAAAATAAATTTAAAACAACGCGTTCTGGAAGAAGAGTAAGATTTTCAGAACATTTGAACGATCATTTCACGTGAGATACTTGTTGACATTTTATATCGTCTCGATTTTCCCTTGCACTATATATATTTTTAAAAAAAAACCAAATTTAATACGCTTATATATTTTTATTTTTTATTTCAAAAACACAACAAAACAAAAAAACCATATTATAAAAATCTTTCTTTACGCTATTACGTGTGTTTGTGTTTATTTTCCATTTTTTCGTTCTCTTTGTGTTTTTGCGCGCGTACAAGTGTATTTCGACATGCACTTACATATTTTTTTCTTTTCCAGGAAGGCTGGAAAAGACAATAAAAAGAACGATGAAGTTTTCGAGGAACTGAAATTTTCATTGTACTTTTTCTTGTTTAATATAATGTACGTCATGGTCCCTCATAGTAAAGAAAGACAACTAGACGCTGCTAAAACTAGCAAGCTATCGGAAGAGTGCTTACCAACGAAAAACTCGTTGTGTTTAAACTTCTGGCTGGCCACGTCCTAGGGTCATCACTTCCTCACTAGGAGGGAGTGATCTGTAGCGGTTAATAAATCCCCAAAATGAATACCTCTGTCAATTTTCGACATTGGATGCTGACCACATTAGTTTTAATGAACTCATCTAGCTCAAGGCACCCGGATATGCATCCGCACCAGAGTACGAGTGATTACGTCGTGCTCAACATCCCTTGCAATCGCTAGCCAGATTAGATCAGACGATCCTCGATATATTGATAGCCTATCCAATATATCTTCGAACCCCCTCGCTTCTGTTTTTGATTTCAATTGGTGGACACGATTCATATTAGAAGGTGTTACTGGTTAAAGCGTTGTCAAACTCCGAATACCTGTGGCATCTTCAACATACTATAGTCAAGCTTAACCGTTCTGCAAAAAGATACTTAACGGAATTTGACAGTTCGATGATTAAATTGTTTGACTGAGGTTAAAATTAGCGGATATTTGTGCCTGTCTGAAATTTTTTCTAGTAGACTTGGTAGACAGAAAATAATATAAGAGGTCTATCTCAGTTCTATGAGTGGATACAGTGTCATACAGATTACTGCCAGGTTCCATCTGTAGCGGTGAATAAATCCCCGAAATCAAAAGCTTTGTAAGTCTTCAAAATTGATGCCGGTCACATTGGCTTAATTTGACTCACCTAGGTGAATGTGCTCGGTCACGCATCCACAAAAGATAACAAGTTAGTGCTACGAATCTCTTACAGCTGTTAGTCAGCTCAGATTACACGCTTCTCGACACACATATAACATTCCAAAAATACCTTCGAATCACTTCATCTATGACTACTGATTTGACTGAGTTTACATACTTTGATTATCAAGGTTGTACTGTCAGCTAAATTCCGCTGAGCCCTAGCCAAATCACCCGGTAGTTGGGTCATTGGATATCGAACAAATCGTCGATCCTCGTCAAAGTCAAGGATCTACTTTAACTAATATATTTCTGTAATAACGTCCTTTGTGTTGTACAGTCTTCAATGCATCTATAGTGTCTTGATGCGTCAATGGGGTAATCAACGTAAGGTGCTGACCGCGAGTTATGACTTCGACGTTAGCTAGTTTATCACACCACTCACGTCCAACTCGAGTAGGCCTCCAATCATTTCGACATAGATCATCTACGCTAATGTTCTACACTGGTGAGCAAGACTGCGAATAACGCAACCTAACATTATAATCTTTATTATTGCAATCTATACTTATTCTTTTTCATTTTTATCATCGCCTATTTTAGTCTGTTGCTGTGAACTTTCGTTGCTTCATGTCAATGTTGATTAGTATTTAAACGTAAATAATTAGTTCAGTCGATAGAACTAACTAATGAACTACGATTATACTCGGCTATCGTGATTCTTTAACAAGCATTAGCATCATGTAAATGCTCCTGTGTAATATGTCTGTTAGAATATCAACAACTCGTGAGTATAGCCACAAGGTAACACGAACGCGTGTATGCGGGACAAGATTAACTGTCGACCATAAATTTATCTTTCTGCTTAACCACTATCCACTAGAATGTTTATTTTGACCACCGCCTGCCTAATTTCAAATTGCTGAGTTCCATGGCCAAACAGAGGATACAAATGCTAGAAATTTACGATGAGTTCGAACTATCAATTTTTTGCAATCTTAGATCTCGATTAGACTGTTCGTCAGGCAATGTTACGTATTTGGCTTGAATTTATTCTGGACTCGTACTAATTCAGTCTACAACGCTGTGTTAATCGAAGAATCTAATCAACAGTACTTCGTATATAATCCAGATTTCAACTACTGTCCACTTCGTATCTTCATTTCTTGAAAGCAAGAGTAACCCAGGCGAGTTTCATAATTTCATTAGTTTATTTCGTACCATCTTTATGATGAGTAATTACATATCTTAGTTGCTTTCACGTAAAGTAGTCATATAATCTGCCACTTCTGTCAAGTTTTAGTCGAAATCATGTACATTTATTACTCGTTAGTCGACATACTGTGCTAAAACATATTGCATGTACGCAAGCACTCTGAGTCCATGTCCTAAGTAGACACTTTGTCGTACGTAATATGTCACTTAACTCTAGGTAACAAGCTCCTTGCATCAGCCTTGTACGAAATGGCCACGTTACCTGAACCCTCTAAACTTCAGTTACATTGGTGTTTGCCATTTTAATTAATGTTTACTATACTCCTTGTATTTGCTATTATTTCACACGGTAAATCATGGCTTGATCTCCTTATTACACGACAGTCATTTTAATTCCATTTTCGATTTACTTGTATGCAATAATGGTTTGTAAAATATCTAAACGTCCTCGAAAATTCTCCACGAACCCAACCATAGTTTTCGTATATACTTTTCTCCAAACGTCCAACTGTTACGCTAATAATACCCAAACGAACGTTCAGCGCAACTATCAGTATACGTAAGAACGATGTTACTTAGATTTGACTTTATAATACATCCGAACTATTGTAGTTATTCTACTTCGATATCGTACTTTATATTATGAAGTATTTCCTCGTGTCTGTTATCTAAAAGATGATTTCGGTACATCAATCGGCTGCTCAACTATTCGACGATTTAAAACCTATCCAGTTCAATTGGTGGTCTGACGACATTATCATCCGCGCGAATCATTAGTTTGTGCAGTCGAGCGAATCTCCTGCAAACCGAAAACGACATTGTCGCCTCTATTCCAACACTGACAGCATTTTTCACTGGTATCATTGACATGAGTTCAGAGTAACACTCTTGGTTTCTTATGGTCTTTTCGATATTTTTCTGTTCGCTAATCAAACAAACAAGCAGCAAGCACCGTTTGTCATCTTTTAGAGACTTCAATGTGCCGTCTTCGCCCTGGATTTGTAGCCTTCAATCCTTACTGACTGTAACAGCAGTCATCGACTTTCCAAACTCTGATTACAAGTTGATTAATAGCCTCTCACAACAAAATCACGATCACTCTTCACGGCTATACTTCTGTACTTACAGCTAGTCTGTTAAATATAGATATAGCTAGAAGTTGACAACGACACTGTCTGACATTCATCTTTAAATCAATGGCAGTATAAACATCCGTATCGATTGATAATACACTTATCCTACTATCGCTATAGCGTCAATACTCTTGTGGCAAAGTTAACGTTTCTCATCAGAGGAACTAAATTACTTGTCAAAGCTATATACTTCAGCGCTACGATATATTCTTTTTATTATTTCTATGGTTAATCGCCTTACGTTCAACCAACGTTCTATTAACATACTATTACTCGCTGTTTCTTGATCAGTTTCTGCCGCTTCGTTTCCATTTGTCTTACAGCTCGGCAATACCCAGAGGATTCATATTAATCGTTTGGCAATCTCCGTCGCGCGACTACTCCCGACATGTTTGGTACCGATTCAAACGGCAGTTGAATCTGATGGGGGAGTATTGTAGGGCCAGTGGAATTCAACTGAGCCCTAGCCAAATCACCCGGTAGTTGGGTCATTGAATATCGAACAAATCATCGATCCTCGTCAAGATCAAGGACCACCGACGCGCATTCAGTTGATCGTACGCCATGGACTGGCCCATGCGGCAATGGTCTCACCTTAGATTGTATCTACTTTAACTAATATATTTCTGTAATAACGTCCTTTGTGTTGTACAGTCTTCAATGCATCTATAGTGCCTTGATGCGTCAATGGGGTAATCAACGTAAGGTGCTGACCGCGAGTTATGACTTCGACGTTAGCTAGTTTATCACACCACTCACGTCCAACTCGAGTAGGCCTCCAATCATTTCGACATAGATCATCTACTCTGGTGATCTACAAGGTATTACTGGTTAAAGCGTTTTGTAAATTCAAATACCAGTGGTACCTGTATCAGCAACGCAGACGAGGAAATTTAATGGGTTACAGCAACTCAAACGCCACCATTTCTTATAGATCCTAGATCAAATCGACTGCTGCTGAACACAGAAGATCAATAAAAAAAGAATCATCTTTCATTGATAACCCAATGATTTGACCCATTTAGGAAACTACATGTTTTGATGGCAGGATTGTCTTAGTCTAACTCTTGTGTTATTGTCACCTGCTACCTCCATTACAAAAAATGAGCGAAAAATATGTGGTTTCTCTGTCATCCATTATGGTTTTTTCATGTTCATTGCTCTTTTCCCTTCTCAATCCCACTTCATATCTCAATTTAAATTCTAGATATAGCTGTACCGTTACAAACAAGTGCAACAGTAGACGCCACCGAAAATGGAAGTCTCAGTGTAACGACACATGATCTCTAATGTGCTAATCAATTAACACTTTCTCTACACAAACGCATTGGTTATTGGATTGAAACTGGAGTAATTTTGTAACTTTGCGCTACGTGGTGTGTATGAAGCCAAGTAAGTGTATTAGTCCAGTGTGTGCTTGATATCAATAAACTAAAATAATCACATATATATCAAGCAATCCGAAATCTCGTGACCTAATGTTTCACTAGGTTTGCCACTAATATTGACTAAGTAAGTCGATTATTGAGAAAATGAGAACTAGATCATTAAAAGTCAATTGTAAAGATAAACAATTCAATTGTCAGCGCGAAACTCTTTACTGCATCTTAACTGTTATCGGTTTGAAATGTAAAACCTGTGAATCACCGTAAATCCAGGGGTAATTGGATTATTTTATGCTCAGGCTTGTGTAATCAGCAATTATCTAACCAATGTTGAAGTTATTCTGAATTTCGTAAAGCCATCAATCCGAAAGTTTGTCAGATTTTTCTATCTTTGGGATTGAGGTATTCTCGTCCACCTGTAGATGGAATTATCTATGTATTACTTTACTTGTAATAGTATCACAACTTTCTGTGTTATATATACTACCAGTCATTCAAAGCATTGATAGATATCCTGAAGTTATGAAATGAGTTTTCAAGGCTGTGCTCTAAAGAGATTTTACTTATAATTCATGTGTAATAAGTACGTCAAACGACGGCAACAATAAATTTAGCCATATGATTGTGGGTTAATAAGAAATAAATAGTCATTTCTTATACTATGTGATATCACCCTAGGAAATTAGAGCAATTTCTTGTCCCATCTCAAAAGCAAGGTTTCAATCTTAATCTGATCTTAGGGAAAATTTCATCAGTTTTTGGTAAGTCATAATATAAAATTTTGAGAAAATGCGACAAAAACTTCAAAGGTTCCCCGAAATCCCAGACTTGAAGGAAAAATACGTATTTCCATATGACTTTGAGGTAAATATCAGAATTCTCTCAAACCGAGAGACGGGATTCTTATTTGGAAGTTGAAAAAAAACATGGGAAGGAAGAAAATCGTTCCAGTTGATACTTTGTAGGATGGTTATTATTTTACAGCCTGTTGTGGGTTCGCGAAACGTCCCGCTTATAAGCACTGGGTTTCTTCTGGTTCCTTACAACTGATCGAAGCCCATCGGTCTACTCCGGGTGACCGTGAGTTTGACCATAGACGAAGGATGTTACGTAATGAAATCTGGCAAAGCTTGCGTAAGGACCGAGAAGCCTGGTGGTCGGAGCGTGCTAATGAGCTGGAAGCAGCAGCTGCATCTGGTAATTACCGGAAGCTCTTCCAACTCATCCGAGCCACTGGCAGCAAGAAGTCTGGTGTGAGCGAAACAATCTGCGAGGATGACGGAACGCCAAACACTAACATCCATCGACGTCTTGGACGATGGGCAGAATTTTTCGAAGGGCAGTTCAACTGACCTGCTGCTCCGGCAACATCGGTCAGACTGTCCTGCCCTCCATGGCCGGTGAAGACTGATCCACTAAATGAGGCGAAAGTCCGCAAGAAACTGCAACTCTTGAAACGTTACAAATCACCAAGCCCAGACGACTTACCTCCGGCTCTTTTTAAAGATGGTGGTGACTTTCTGACTAAGGGACTGACGACGTTGTTTGCCAAGGTCTGGGAACTAGAGAGTGTACCAAACTCATGGAATGAGTCGATAGTTGTCCCTATCTTCATAAAGGGTTCACGTCGTTCCTGTAACGCCCCCAAATGCCCTGGTACGGATGAGAGTGGGGAGAGTCCACTCTCCCTCTCGAAATGCTCTCACATGGCCACGCGTATATAGCCTCTGCCAGGGAAGTCCTACTCACTGCCTTCTCGTGGCATTACTGTTGTTTACGAAAATGAGAGGACGAAAAGCGAATGTCCGGCGCTTTAACCGGATCCCAAATCAATGGTGCACATGGGCCCCAGTATCCTGAAGGAACAAATGGCGTATGAACCAATCGTTGGTCACCGGCTACCATGGGACTGCATCTCCTCACGATGCTCCACTGCCTTGTGGGTTAGACGTTCAGGTCGAAGGCTCGGGGTGTGGCTCCCTAAGAAAACCACCTGCTTCGGTTCGGGTACTCGGGCAGTATCACAGCCCTCACACAAATCAATTGAGATTTGTGTGGCGCATATGTATTTGGTGCCTCCTTGTACCTATACCTATGGGTTAAAATAAAATAAATATAAAATCGTTCCTGTAAAAACTATCGGGGGATAGGTCTACTTCCGATTGCGTCCAAGCTATTGGCTTCCGTTATACTTCGTAGGTTGTTCAAAACTCCAGAAGGATTGACTCACGAGGAGCAGACTGGGTTTCGTTCTGGTCGAGGATGTATTGATCACATCTTCACCCTCCGCCAAATGTTAGAACACCGCCATACTTATCAAAGGCCAACAATCGTAGTGTTTCTTGACATCAGGGCTGCCTTCGATTCGTTGGACAGAACTGTTCTCTGGGATTGTCTATTGAAGAAGGGTGTGCCTGAGAAGTTTATTAACATCCTAAAAGCCCTATATACAAACCTCAGGCACCTGCTTCGGTTCGGGCACTCGGGCAGTATCACAGCCCTCACACAAATCAATTGAGATTCGTGTGGCGCATATGTATTTAATGCCTCCTTGTACCAATACCTATGTGTTAAAATAAATAAATAAATAAATAAAATCAGGCAGAGTGAGGGCATACAACCACCTTTCTGCACTATTCCATTCAAGCAGTGGAGTTAGGCAGGGTTGCCCAATCTCACCATTTCTCTTCAACTTTGCCATCGATGACATTCTGGAAACAGCTCTGATGGATGTAAGTAACGGTGGTGTGGATCTGTTGCCTGGAGAAAGACTTCTCGACCTTGAGTATGCGGATGGTATTGTCTTACTGTGCGAGAATGCCCAAGCTATGCAATCCGCACTTAATCAGTTGGCAATCAGTGTCCGTAGGTATGGTATGTGCTTTGCACCCTCGAAGTGCAAAGTTCTTCTACAAGACTGGCAGGATTCTAATCCTGTACTCACTCTGGATGGTGAGCAGATTGAAGTAGTCGAGAAGTTCGTGTATCTAGGTAGCTGCATAAGTGCTGGTGGTGGCGTGAGTGATGAGATCAATGCACGTATAGTGAAAGCCAGAGCGGCTTATGCCAATCTGGGCCATCTTTGGCGCCTTCGTGATGTTAGTCTGGCTGTAAAAGGTTGGATCTACAACGCGACGGTGAGAGCAGTTTTGCTCTATGTATGTGAAACCTGACCTCTCCGAGTTGAGGATGTTTTTTATTTTAATTTTATTTTAACACATAAGTATAGGTACAGGGAGGCACCAAATACATATGCGCCACACAAATCTCAATTGATTTGTGTGAGGGCTGTGATACTGCTCGGGTGCCCAAACCGAAGCAGGTGGTTTTCTTAGGGGTCCACGCCCCGAACCTTTGACCTGAACGTCTGACCCACAAGGCAGTGGAGCATCGTGAGGAGATGCAGTCCCATGGTAGCCGGTGACCAACGATTGGTTCATACGCCATTTGTTCCTTCAGGATACTGGGGCCCATGTGCACCATTGGTTTGGGGTCCGGTTAAAGCGCCGGACATTCGCTTTTCGTCCTCTCACTTTTGTAAACAACAGTAATGCCACGAGAAGGCAGTGAGTAGGACTTCCCTGGCAGAGGCTATATACGCGTGGCCATGTGAGAGCATTTCGTGAGGGAGAGCGGACTCTCCCCATTCTCGGCCGTACCAGGGCATTTGGGGGCTCTGTGTTCGATCATCATTGTCTTCGAAGGATTGCTAACATCCAGTGGCAACACCATGTTAGTAATGCAGAGGTTCGGCTTCGTGTGTTCGGGCACAGAGACGATAATCCAATTGGTGTCACCATCTTGAAACACCAACTTCGGTGGCTTGGACATGTTCTACGAATGTCGTCGCAGAGAATTCCAAGTCGTGCATTATTTGCCGACCCTGGGACTGGTTGGAAAAAGCGGAGAGGTGGTCAGTATATGACATAGTGTCGTGGTATGAAAGAAAGCTGCAAAGGGCTGGCTTCTGTTGGTCCTTCACGACTCCCTGGCTGGGATCCAAGAGATGGTGTAACACAGTGGCTAGAGACGTTATCAGATATGGCTCAGAATAGAAGCCAATGGCGATCCTGCTGTAATCTACTTTTACTTTCTTCATAAAAAGTGGCTGTATCCTCCTTAAATGTAAGATTTCTTCTGAGTGTACCTTTTCGTCTCCCCCCATTATTGTTCTTTTTTTTATTTTATAAGCCCCTTCGTTCCTTACTTTTTTTCCCTTCTTAAATTCTCATTGTTTTGTGTTGCGCATATATATTTGGTGCCCTCTTGTACCAATATTTATGTGTTCAAATAATAATAATATTTATTTATTTATTTTAACACATAGGGATTGGTACAACGAGGCATCAAATACATATGCGCCACACAGATCTCATTTGATATGTGTGAGTTCTGTGATACTGCTGGGGTGCCCAAATCGAAGCAGGTAGTTTTCTTAGGGGTCCACACCCCGAGCCTTTGACCTGAACGTCTGACCCACAAGGCAGTGGAGCATCGTGAGGAGATGCAGTCCCATGGTAGCCGGTGACCAACGATTGGTTCATACGCTATTTTCTCCTTCAGGATACTGGAGCCCATGTGCACCATTGGTTTGGGATCCGCTTTTTGTCCTCATTTTCGTAAACAACAGTAATGTGACGAAAAGGCAGTGATTAGGACTTCCCTGGCAGAGGCTATATACGCGTGGCCATGTGAGAGTATCTCGAGAGGGAGAGCGGACTCTCCCCACTCTCAGCCGTACCAGGGCATTTGGGGGCAGGATGGTTATTAAGTTCCTTAGCATACCTTACTAGCTATTGCTTTTCTAAAACTAATAACTAATTCGCGAGGAATGTAACAGAATGCCATCAGATTCGCATTCTATGTGGTGTGTTAGCAATTATCCGTAACTCATCACTTGTTAGCTTAAAATGTACTGAATGCTTATTTCTTGTGATTCTGTTATATGAGATAAGCTCGTCATGCAGCAAAATAAACAAATGTGTAAAAAATTTTGGTTGTAACCAGCTGAAGAGAAACCTCGAAATATTATGAATTCATACTATTCTGCATCATTATTTGTTCTTGCTTTATTTAAACAAATATCGGTTTGTAAATATCTAACATTGTAATAAAGGTCTGAAGCTGAAGCTGTACTACTATCTGGACATGGGTAGAAGGAATTTCCCTTTAGCCATCAGAAACCTCAGCTGTTGCTCCACTGCCTTGTGGATTCGTCTTCTAGATCAAAGATCCTGGTAGTGGCCCTTTAAACTATCACTCACCTCGGTATGGGCACCCGGGTAGTATCCTAGCCCTCATAGAAACTAAATGATGACTACAATTAGAAAATCTATTCACGCTTTAATTCCACCCCTCGTAAATCGTACTGAAAGCTACTTGTTAACACTCGTCTTTATTTTACATTGCGTCACTTGTATATCCCTTTATTTTTATCTTGTATATTCTTTTATTCCTCAATGTCTACAGCAGCTCGCCTATGGTGGAAACCTTGTTTTTTTCAAACGATCTCAAGTTACTGACTTGTCGTGAGTTAAATTCTATTACCGAATAAGAATTCTGAACCAGCCTTCCTGAAACTACGTGTGCCATTGAAACTGAACTGCCACATTTATTGCAAGTTAGCAATTTTTGTGTCGCTCGATATCAGACTCGCCTTTAATTCTTTGGAGAGAATTGTATTCTGGGATTGTTTGTTGTAAAGTGATGTTCAGTGGCTGTGTTTGCTCGTTGTTATTTCCAAAGGATTCCCGACGGTCAGTGGCAACACCATCTTAGTAATGCTGAGGTCCCGCAACTTGTATTGAGGCACAGTAACGACCATCTGATTTTGTCACCATCTTGAAAGACCGACTTCAGTGGCTTGGATATGTACCACGGATGTTATTCCAGAGAATCCCACTTCGTGCATCATTTGCTAACGCTGCGATTGGTTAGAAAGAGCGGAGATGTGGTCATATGAGAACGTTCGTCTAAGTTTGAGTGGATAGTTCCACAGAATTTGGGCACCGACTTGAGGTAAGACATTAAGGAGGAATAATGTATTTGTAGAATCTCCGCGAATGAGTTTGAAGTAAATCCAACGTTTCGCTTGGCAATCTGGTCCAAGCCTTTTCAATGAAATATAATCAAAATTATCGAATATAAACAGGTACATGGTTCTTCAGTTAACTGTATACTAAATAGGTCATCCGACCAATATTACACGTTGTCTAAAGTAAGTATTTTCTTTAGTGAGTATGATGTGAAACGAAATGTGTTAAGACAACAGATTGTTTGTATTTGTATGTGGATGTGGGTTGTGAGATGGAATTTCATTCAGTATTTATCGCTTATGATCAGCCATTTTTTAAGAAAACATAGTGTGTAGCGGTAAAAAGTTCGGGATGAAAAGTCAAATTTCGATTGTTCGACATTAATTCCGTGTTAATTCAATGTAATGATTACTCAATGTAGTAGTATTTGTTTTGTTTTCCCGTATGACATTTTATTCTGTATAACATATGATATTCTTGTATTAAGTTAACATGTACTATACTCAACATATGATTTGTTATAACTAATTATTTTCGTGCTTGTGGCTTTTTTGGGGAATATGTTTCTCTCTTCTGAACTTAGACTTTTTTCTCTAATTATCGGGGCTGGAACGCGTTGGAATAACTCAATGACTAAAAGGTGTCCGAGAATGAGCGGTCATGTGGGTTTAGAGGCAGAATTAAGTTACAGTATCTATCTAGTTCATTATGACCCAGCTTTCAAAACAGCAAACGGACTTTCCAAGCGTCATCTTGATTAGCAAAATCAAATTTGATAAAGTCTTCATAACACCGAAACCACATATCAAATGTGACATTGGATTCAGGATCGCAATGAACCTCAGAGATACTGCAAGGGATACTATCAACTGAAGGTGCAGTAGTAGTAGAATTAGAAATGCTTGGTTGTGTGTTCGGCGAAATGTTTGTATCTACTAACATCTGGATAATTTTCATCTGCTGCTCAAGTAATAATTCCACTTTTGAGAAATCCATGTTTACACCAGCCTCGTCGCCAAATTCGCTATGTTTGAAGAAATTATGAGTTCACCTAAACTGAGAACGGAACGAAGACTCTACGACACAATGACAGATAAGCTAGTTATTTCGATGTCACAACACCGCTAACTAGAGAAAAAAGTCCAAGTTCGGAAGAGAGAAATGTATCCCACAAAAAGCCAGAAGCACGAGAAAAATTAAGTACAGAATAAAATGTCATAAGGGAAAACAAAACAAATACTACATTGAGTAATCATCACAGTGAATTAAAACGAAATTAATGTTGAACAAAAACCATAATCGGTAAGTCAATCTAATTTTGACTTTTCGTCCCGTCACATCACTTATTTAGTATACAGTTAACCGAAAAACCATGGAAAAAGCTTGGACCAGATTTCCAAGCGAGACGTTAGGTTTACTTCAAATTCATTCGTGAAGATTTTACAAGTACATTCTTCCTCCTTAATGGACAAGCGGTCAGTTTATAACATGGTGTTGGGTTATAAGAGATGACTGATATCTGTCGGTACGAGAGATAGTTCGAAAGTGGCTTAAGGCTATCAAACATGGCCCAGAAAAGAAGCCCACGGCGATGGTGAGAGGAACTTCTTTAACTGAGAGAATTCCTTCTGGTTATATTTTTCCTAATTAAACTGATTCTTTCATTACTTTTTTCGTTCTGAAATACTATTTCCAATTCATTTTGTTCCTTTTTTTTATGGTACTGTCGTTGTACTCCCTATCTCTTAACAATTTCACTTTTATTATGCGTTACATAATAATTCTGGTGCACCTTTGTATCAGTGTTCATGTGTTTAAATAAATAAGAGCACTATGAAGTTCTTCGCGTAGTGTACATCTACCCCAGCTGCTTACAGACTAACTGGAACATGTTAAACATTTGTAAATCTTACTGAGTTCAAGAAAACTGTGACTAACCTAACACATGCCAAAGTGAGATGACTTACCAGTCCACTTTGAATTCGGCTGTTATGATTTACTGGCTAAACTATTATTAGAAAAATTTTCCCGGACTGTCTTCTAACCTTGGTTATTTAGGTTTGTATAAACAACAGATGGTAGACACCGGAACCAGGTGACCAAATCTTCACTCCACTTCATATTTTGCAGGAAGATTGTACTTATCACTTAATAATTTTAAAGACGAAATCCAGGTCTTTGCCTTCCACCTTGCGTCTTTCAGCAGTGGTATGTCGATGAGAGCAGTCTCTAAATGTCAACAGCCAAACCGTCGGTTCTTTGTCTTATCATAACAATATAGTTTCGTCATATAGTGGTTTAAATACATCATATATGTTGTAGATGTGGTAATAGTAATAATAACTGTAGTTGTAATCAAGTGCTGCTTCGTTATGCACTAAGTTAGTGGCTTGACTTCCAACAAAAGGCCCACATTTTATACATTAAAGTTTAAACAGCTCATTATCGTCTAAGAAAAATTGTCTTCAGTTGATGTAATTGTTTTAGATGTGTCATATGTATTCATGTAAATCAGTTTCATGAAGAACGTTTTAGCAACGACTTTAAGGTTTTATGATTTTTTTAGGAAATGGCTTCTCGAGTAGCTGCAAAAGTGACTCGCAAAACAAAGGCAGTGGCTGATTCTATAGTTCATCCACCATTCCTAAAAATAATTATACCAGCACAGCAAGCCCGACCAGCCCCACCTTTAGGACCACAGCTAGGTAAAGTAAGTTCATTCTGCTTTTAAAAAAATCAAATTTTTGTTAGCGAAACGTAAACATCGCTAATTTCTGTAAAGATTTCAATGAAAGAACGAAAGATGTTTTAGAAGGAACTCCAATGCCGTGTTTTATATCTGTCAAGGTAACCAACATTTAAACACTATTTGTTTAGCCCGATCGATCATACGACTTAGTCATCAGTCATCCGTCATCTATGCATTTGCTAAGAATGGCTGCAGCAGCTAAGAAAGGTGCTTCCTCTCCAGGTTAGTCTCCATTTCATGTACTCTACTTTGGGCATTCGGATTTAATATTAAGCTATCTTAGTGATGTATTCGTAACTTTGTGTAATCTGACAAAAAGTTTGTTTGTTCGTTGCCTACTTATAGCATTGAGGAGTGTGATGGACTGTACGTCGTAGTTTATTATCCCACAGTTGTATGACAGTCCATGTAAGCAACTCGGCAAACACTTGACCATTAAGCATGTTGGGATCACTGACCAAGCAATGTTAGGGCTAATCGTAGGGTTTTGTAAGTGGTTAGCCGACCGATTGAGCTATAAACACCTATTGACTGAGGTTGCTATGCATGCACAAACATAGTCTATTCTAGTGCACTATATTGGCTGAAATTGGGAATTGTTACGGATGAATGGCTGGACCTTGAACATCAGTAGGCAAAGGAATCGATTGCTGTAGTGAAAACACATCTCTAGATTAACATCTGCAAGATAGACGTAGTCATTAGTTATTTGTTTGTTGACATCGCGCAATCGATCTATCGTAGTGGCTCGGTTGCACTCATGCTTTCGCTGCATTCCAAATTCCGTATTAAGCACCATGCCCTACTTATCTATTTGATTTTGAATATATGTGATCATGCAAGCAGACTGTAGTCATTTATATTGGTTTCACCACTGAAAGCATAAAAGTGGACGGTAATATGTATTAACACGTATTGCATTAAAGTTAACTGAAGTATTTAAGGCATCAGTACTCAAAAATGTTTAATTACTTTATGGTGTTTTCAGTATGATAAGTATAATGTCATTGGATTCGCCAGCAAAATCCAGGGATTTTTGTGTAGTTGTAAATTTAAGGAATTTATCCTGAAATCCCTTCAGCCACCTTAGTTTATGTATAAAAGCTGCTAGTCATATATACCCATGCTTTTCTGGTTGTGCACAGATGCATTTTTTAACATTTTAGGTACTGAAGTGTGTGGACGTCTTTCTCTTAAACATATTTATCACATTGCTCAGCTTAAAAAACAAGATCCACATTTATTTACAGCGGATTTGCAAGATATTTGTAAAATGTTAATTGGTACAGCACATCGTTTGGGTATTGAGATTGTAACACAAGATGACATCAAATCTGGAAAAGTTGACTACACACCCAGTGGATATGCGAATTTCCTCCAAGATCGTGAAGCATATCTCAAACAGAAAAAACTAGAGACGGAAACTGCCAAACAAAGCAAAATGATGAGATTGTAAATCAATATCCTGTATGCAGTAGAAGTATAGCTTTCTTAATATTTAGCAGTATTTTTGATTGTTATGAATTCGTAAGTCGGCTCAATAATGAAAGCATTTGATTTTCAACCAACTGGTCGCAGACTCCATATCCACTTTTTCTAATTGTTTGGTCAGTGGGATTGCACCACTAACCCTCATACACAATCCGGTCCAAAGATATGCCTAAACCTGTACTTAACAAGTAATTTACGATCTTTAAAATGAGTCCATTCTTTTAGTACTGTATCTTTCTATAACACTAAAGATAGTTCGTATCAATTAGCCTATTGATTTTGTTCGTGTAAGGCTTGGCAACGATTTGGAATAAATCATGTTATCACAAATGGAGACCAACCATAAATGTGGAGGATCCCAACTCGATAATTTTGCATGTTGTGAACGACCTATGCTTTCTGTAAATCACAACACTATCTGATTGTAGATAGCTTAGGGTTCAAAAATAGTAAAAAAAGAACATACCTCTAGACCAAACGACGCTTGCACAAATGACACTAATGAAGATTACCACCGTATGCGAAAGGGAGCCCTAATGCCTGAACTAACGGAGTAGCATCAGACACATGCATGACCTTAAATAATGACAGTCTTTTAATTTTGCGAAACATTGAGGTAGCGTAATGTAATACAGATCACTCGTTTGTATTAAGTGATCAGACTTTGACAGCTCGATAAGTGACTACACGAGAAACAATTTTCGGATTTCGTACGCGACTCATATCTATTACTAAAACTGTCAAATGATTCAGCTGTAATTAACGTGCTTGACGTTAGCAGCCAGTGTTATATGCAGGTACGTTTGCTGATTAATAGGACAAGAAATCAGTGTGATTCCATACAATAGAAGTGTTGACACTGAGTTAAACACTGTCCAGTGCTGCTATTTTATTGGCACTACGTCAAACGAAAGAATACGCCTAAAAACCGAGCTTATATTCTAGATTCACTAAGAACTGATAAGCCACGGTTTTCAATTATTAATGTTATATTTCCTTGTGAGGTTAGTCACATTAAAATCCACGAGTGGATTATTCGAATTTTATTGAGTTTTAGTCATGACACCTGTATACTCTAAATTTTTGAGATAACATTTCATATATTTGATAAGTAAACATAGCCGGCTTTAAGTAGTTGACACTAATCTCTGTTAATTAGTCATTAATGTGTAGCTTGTCTCCATTCATTTAGATGATAGATCGATTTTCGGACGTGGCGTACATCATGTAGGCTGAAATGCTCTAGTTTTATAGAACTCATATTAACAAAATTATTGGTACATAACTTATATGTATTACAAAGGTGGGAATTATCATTTCGCTCAAGTTACATCCAGGATATATTAAATTGTAGAGTGAGCTTATCTATACAAATGATAGGAAGTACTCAAAAAGTCAGAAAACAAAGAAGTACACGATTGTTTATATAATGGCTTGACAGTGTTCATGCTGGGGTTCCATAGATCGTGAATTATCCTTTCTCATTTGAGGATAACTACGCCAAAGTGGAAGTTCAACATTTTGACCTAGAAGCTGACCGCAACGACTGCATGGAGCATTGAACAAGTCGCGATAACTGTGAAGCCAAGCACAAAACCCACGAATGGCAGAAGGAGGTTTATATTCATTAGAAAAATGAAGAAGGGCACATTGGGCTAAGGAAGTGATACGACGAAACAATGGATGACGACTTGGTGTAAAAAGATCGAGCTTTGATTGATGTATATTACAAAAGCGGATGAGTCTTGAGCCTCGTTGTTGTCTATGGTCTGGAAGTGACCGAGCTTTTGAGTCAGGACTTAATAAAGAGACAACAGTATCACGAATTTTCGGCAATGAATCAAGACCTGAATCAGATAATAGTTCCTCTGTTGCTAAGGAAAAGGGTTTCTCCTCAATATTTAAATTGTTGTTAAGGAAATCAGAGTGTGTTTTTATAATCATCGGTTCCGATACTCCACGAACAATAATTCTTTCTGGATTCAGCTGACGAAAAGTCACAAAACATTGCATTATCTCACCAACCTTTAGAAGAACAGAGATATTAACAAAATGACATAAAACTGAGGTTGGGTTGAATTTTAATGGTTCAGTTTTACGATGGTTTTCATAATAAAATTGAAGTACTTTTTAAAATAAAATAATCGTGATAATTCTGTTTAATTAACGCTACGCAGTTTTCTGATGTAAAATAAAGTTTGTTTACCTCCTAGAGTGTGGCGATAAATTTATAAAAAACAGATGATAGCAAAAAGTTTAGATAATAATTGTTGACAAGTATTAGAATATATCCGAAACAGTTAGAATTAACGTTCATTATCTCAACTCATTGATGTGACTTTTATGCGAAACCACGAGCCTAGGTTACCACGCAACGATTTCACATTCAACAGTTTTGCATGAGAAATTTTAAGACAAATAGTAAGTAATTTAACCTATTGTCTGGTTTCATTTAGCAGTTGTGAGCTGTACCCACTAAATCATCATTAACAATACCATACAACATGACATAAGTTCTTTTGCATAACCAAGAGGTTGATGTTGTACTTTGTACACTGGCATGCATAACCAAGGGGAAGGATTTCCTTATTTATGTACACACCCTACTATATCCTAAAAGTATAACGTATATAGATAACCACCGCAGAGTACAAATAATTCGACTACATGTATTTTCGAAATCTATACGTATGAGTGAAAGTTGCTAGGTTTAGGCAAGTGGACTACCTACAAGTAACACACTAAATTAATTTATTCGAACACAAATATTATTACAAACGGGCACCAAAATATGTGCCACACAAACAAGCGGATATTATGAAGAGTATAGTATATATTAGTCGCAACAGCATACCTAATATACAGCCACAAGTAGTGAAGTAAGTAGTTCAGTTAGGAAAAATATAACCAGAGGGAATTCTCTCAGTTAAAGAATTTCCTCTCACTTTTATGAAGCTAAAGCAGGATTCCGACCGTAGCTGCTATCTTGACGTGGTGGTCGGGCTTGCCTATCGTGATGATCTAACTGAGCTATATTGGCTGGAACATATGTTCCTGCAGCTTCTACCATGGAGAACGGTAAGACTAAAAGCAGCAACTCAAGGTCTGAGGACGAAGTCGTACTGCTGACTGTACAGAGGTGTGACAGCAGTAAGGTGTTTCCCTAGGACAATCAGCATCTGCAGCGATGCTGCCTTCTCACAAGGAAGGAAGGGGTTAGAAAGGGTTGACCCTAAAAATGTTACACCTCACTTTACCCCACGGATTTCCGTCCCCGGTATTAGGAACCCAACTGTTAGCGAATCTATCTCCGAAAAAGATGAACGTATTATTCATTCTTAATCCAGGAGATCGGATCGATAGGCAGAACACTTTAGGGATCAGTTCAACTGGCCTTCAGCCACACTTCGGTTTCCCACGACCTCCAGTCGACCTGAATGGCAAGTTGATGTAGGTCTTCCGACTCTTTACGAAGTTGAAAAAGCTATAGGAAATCTGAAGCGTGGGAGAGCAGCAGGCCCTGACAGGTTTACCCCTGAGGTTTTTAAGGATGGCGGTCCAGTATTAGCAGCGAGATTGACTGAGGTCTTACGTAGAATCTGGGAACTGGACGTAATCCCATCTGACTGGTCTCAATCACTGATTGTGCCAGTCTATAAGAAAGGACAAAAGTCTTCTTGTGACAATCACAGAGGAATTAGTTTGACTAATATAGTGTCTAAAATATTAGCTTCAATAATACTTGGACGCCTAACCAAAGCTCGTGAAGAGCAGACTAGAGAAAACCAGGCTGGTTTTCGACCTGGACGTGGTTGTATTGATCAAATATTCACATTACGTCAGGTCCTAGAACATAGACACACATTCAGACGTCCCACAATTGTAGTATTTCTCGACCTTAAGGCGGCATTTGGCTCTCTTGATCGTGAGGTTTATGGCAGTGTTTGTCACTGAAAGGAACACAACTGGTCGAGTGAGAGTTTATGGCAAACTGTCATCAGAACTGATTACCTCAAGTGGTGTTCGTCAGGGCTGTCCACTGTCTCCATTCTTGTTTAACTTAGTCGTTGACGTGCTTTTAGAGATGACACTTTCCTCATCTAAATTTCCAGGAGTTGAACTTCTACCGGGAGACCCACTTGTTGACTTCGAATATGCCGATGACATAGTTCTATTTAGTGAAGACGCTGACAGAATGCAGAGTCTGTTGACCACTCTTAGCAACAATGCAAGCATGTTCGGCATGCGATTCTCTCCCTCGAAATGCAAAATATTGCTTCACGATTGGGTGGCATCGACACCCGAACTAGTGATAGGGAGTGAAGTAGTTGGGTGTGTCGACCGCTTCACTTATCTTGGAAGTCTGATCAGCCTTTGTGGTCTGGTGTGTGACGAAATCTCAGCACGGATACAGAAGGCTCGACTAGCTTTTGCCAACTTGCGTCATTTGTGGCGTAGGCAAGATATCCGACTATCAACCAAAGGACGGGTTTACTGCGCAGCAGTTCGTTGCGTCCTACTTTATGGCAGTGAAACATGGCCAGTAAGAGTAGAGGATATTCGTAGGTTACTAGTATTTGATGATAGGTTTCTTCAAAACATTGCTCGTATATCCTGGGACCACTGAGTAAGTAATGCAGTTGTTAGGAAACGGGTCCTAGGTAAGGATGGCAAATAAATTGAGGAAGTAGTAGGTAGGTGTAGACTACCTGGTTGGGGTCTGCGAGACGATAGCAACCGATGGTTAGAGACCTTGAATGACATGGCTCAAAATCGTTTGCAATGGCGCAGGTGCATCCACTCTTTATAATGGCTCTCTACTCGAACACAACTGGTCGAGTGAGAGTTTATGGCAAACTGTCATCAGAACTGATTACCTCAAGTGGTGTTCGTCAGGGCTGTCCACTGTCTCCATTCTTGTTTAACTTAGTCGTTGACGTGCTTTTAGAGATGATACTTTCCAAATCTGAATTTCCAGGGGTTGGACTTCTACCGGAAAATTCACTTTTTAACTTAGAATATGCCGATGACATAGTTCTATTTGGTGAAGACGCTGATAAAATGTAGTCTGCTGACCACTAAGCAACAGTGCAGGCATGTTCGGCATACGATTCTCTCCCTAGAAATGCAAAATGTTGCTTCAGGATTGGGTTGCACCGCCACCCGAACTAGTGATAGGGAGTGAAGTAGTTGAGCGGGTCGACCGTTTCACTTATCTCGGGAGTCTCATCAGCCCTTGTGGTCTGGTGTGTGACGAAATCTCGGCACGGATACAGAAGGCTCGACTAGCTTTTTCCAATTTGCGTCATTTGTGACGTAGGCGAGATATCCGTCTATCAACCAAAGGACGTGTTTACTGCGCACGCAGTTCATTTCGTCCTACTTTATGGCTGTGAAACATGGCCGGTAAAAGTAGAGGATATTCGTAGGTTACTAGTATTCGATCATAGGTGTCTTCGAAACATTGCTCGTATATCCTGGGACCACTGAGTAAGTAACTCAGTTGTTAGGAAACGGGTACTATATAAGGATGGCAAACCAATTGATGAAGTAGTGAAATTTAATCAGTTGAGATGGCTGGGACATGTGTTATGTATGCCCGACCACCGACTGCCCCGACGTGCGGTTTTTTCTGGTGTAGGAGTAGGTTGGAAGAATGGTAGGGACTGACAGACCAAAACATGGCACAAATCCATGAAGTCACTGACAAATGGACTGAGCCATGTTGGTAGGTGTAGACTACATGGTTGGGGTCCGCGAGACGATAGCAACCGATGGTTAGAGATCTTGAATGGCATGACTCAAAATCGTTTGCAATGGCGCAGGTGCATCCACTCTTTGTGTTCTCCCAAACTCTAATCTTCTGAATTCTTCCTGTCCCTTGTTTTACACTTTCCAAATTTATTTCTCTGGATTATACTCCTTGAGTAACATCATCAAACCCTAATGTTCCCTATCACTATTTATACTTTCACTACGTCTACCACTACGGGATTTGAATCTATAACTGCATCTCTGTGCTAATGTGGTATGGCAACTCGAACTGATGTACGTACGTACGAAGTTCCACGTTGCTACTGACTGACTGAAAGCAGGATCGCCATCGCCTTCTATTTTGAGCCACGTTTGATAGCCTCGAGCCACTATGTTGGATTATCTATCTCTCGGACTGACGGACACCAGTCCTCCCTTATAAGCCGGCGCCACGTTATAGACTGACCAATTCTCTACTTTCTAACCAGTCCCAGCGTCGGCAAATAATGCACGACATGGAATTCATTGGGACGACATTATTACTTCGTCTAATCCGAAATGGAGCTTTCCTGATAGCCTTCACAGTTAATGTAGCTTATACCCAAGTTCCTGGTAAATAAGTTAATTAAATTAAACTTCGAATTGTCTACAGAGGTTTGTATACTTAAATAATATTAGCACTCGTACAATAAGTAACTCACAATTTGGTATATTATTCCGTAGGAAGTGGAGTTGCGTTTTTCTGAAATAGAAAAGTGCAATCACTGAGATGTGCTCCACAATTCCGATGATCTGAATGTAATTTAAAGCTCAACTTTTGAGAGCACAATAATGTAAGTATGTCGAAGACGTGAAAGAACGTGTGAAGTACCAAGTAACTGTATTTGTATGTTTGTATAAGGAACTAATAAATATTACTCCGTAAGACTACTGATGAAAATGGCCATAAAAATGCCACTACTTAAAGTACATTTGACAATAAATTACCTTATACTTACCCTTAAATGTGCTACGGATACAATAGATGATGGTTCGATTAACGTTATAGTGAGGTCCGGCAAATTAACATTTAATTCATTGAGTAAATGTTCCAAATCAGCTCCATAATCTCGATTGATTATATTGAGAAAATCCGTTCGCCTGCGGGAATGATCTGTATTTAAATGAGAACTATAAAACAGTCAGATAGATTGGATCAATTTACGTCAACATTAGCATGAATTAGAAATTATTTATCCGATCTGGGAGAGAGTAATTTGATGGTGGTATCTTGAAACTAAGGTCAAATGGAATGATGAATGGTATGTGGTGTTTATTTGTACTTGGTATACGACACAAAGACATCGTTCCACACTAAAAAGAACGTGATATTACTATCCCCTTAAGAGCTATAAATATATATTCGCGCTTTTAGTCAAATAAATTTTATAATGAACGCTAGTCAAAATCTGCCTTAATCGTCCTAGAATTCTATTTACTTTATTTTTAGAATTCCAACTCGTTGCAACGACTAGAAAAGAGCCCAAAACAGAGTTGTTTGGAGAACCTTAGTCGATAGCCTGTGCTCCAAGAGGATTAACAGGCGCAACGTATTCATTTAAACAAATAAACATTGCTACAAGGAGATGAAGCGAATGGAGTAGACCGAAGCGAAACGACGCGCAGTGGAGATGGCGGGTAAGCCAAATCCCATTTAACCAAACTTTAATCAGTATTTATAGACACACAAAAATAAGTTACAGACATGTGATGAGTAATGGGATAAGAAGTGTACACACACACGCTCATATAAAACAGTCAAGATTGATAAGCGAATGATTAACAAGGTCAGAATGTGACTCAACTAGAATGAATGGATTGGCCTGTCCGAAAGCTAGAATAAGATACATGTGGTTAACATGTCAACAGACACTACAGAGGCACCAAATATATACGCGCCATACTAATGATTCGATTTGTATGGAAGCTGGAATACTACCCGGGCGTCCAAACCGAAACAGGTGGTTTTCTTAGAGGGCCACTCCTCGAGCCTTAGACCTAGAGGCCTAGTCCATAAGGCAGTGGGGCAACGTTAGAAGATGCAGTCTCATGGTATTTAGTGAACAAAAATTCGTTCATACGCCACTTGTTCCTTCACAATCCTGGAGCCCATGTGTACCATTGGTTTGTAATCAGGATTTTACGACTTCCGTCGAAGGGGGTAGTTCGAAAGTTAGGCTCAAATATATAATCATATTACAACCACATTTCGATCTGAAGGTGTATTCCTCCCATCCTACCAACATAAAATTCTTTAATTTGACTTATTTTGTACAACTACCAATTAGGATAAAGTGCTGAAGTTGTAAGAAAAAAGACTACTAAATACGGAAGGTTTGAGAGTGTACTATGATTATTTAGTTGTGAACTACCCTTGGATTCCCACTAATAACAAGTAGTTTTTAAATAATCGTATGTGAGGACATAAATGAGCTAATAAATTTAATATTACAATACGTTAATTTAAAATGGCTTTTCTTAGTGTTCTGGGAACTGTCGCTGACTGTAGACGAAAGCACTCATTTTTTAAAAGGTTCTACTTCATAAATAAACGACTTATTTTTTAGCTTGCGTAAACAGCTACATAAATGAGGAATAAGTTTGACAGAATCTGATTGTCGAAAAATAAATCTTGATACAATAGTGGGTCGTTAAAAATAACGGAAGATCCGGAGTACGAAAAACCACATTAATTATCAAGGACTAGTACAAAGACAAAAACAAGACGATATAACAGTAACATATGTACTGATTAAAATGAAATGTACTAAATGTATATCTTTTGCTTTGTTTGATCAAGTGAGTTACTTTTCAGTCAACACCTGACAAACAATTGTTACTGGTTCATGAGTCCGAACATAAGGCATAAAGTTCTTCGTGTAGCCTAGCGTTTCGACAAAGCAATGAGAAGGCGGAGTTGATCTGAAAAATGTGATGTATTTGCGCTATACATTTCGAAAAATCTGATTACACATATACTTGTCGGGGCATTTTATATGACAAAATTGTTCGAAATGTATAGCCCAAATATCACGTTTTTCAGATCAACTCCACCTTTTCATTGCTCTATCGAAATTTATAAAAGGAACTAAGTGCCTTAAAGTATCCTAGAGCATTAGTTAATGACTTCGATATTAGACAGTATATGACTTATTCTACCTCCAATCCAGTTAACATGACATAACACCTAGACATATTATTTATGATAGATACCTTTCATATAACACAAAGTTAACTTTAGTAAACGGGTAAGTAATAGTGAGGTTTGACGCAGGGTATTAGGGAATGATGGTAAATCAGTTGATGAGGTTATGAATCTTCATCGACTGAGATGGTTGGGCCACGTGTTGCGTATGCCTGAACACCGATTACCACGACGCGCAATGCTGACTAGTGCAGGGGATAATTGGAAGAAAGTTAGGGGCGGCCAAACCAAAACGTGGCATCAGTGCTTGAAGTCACTAACTTCTGGTCTGAGCCATGTTGGGAGATTCAGACTGCCTGGTTGAGGTCCGCGTGACTATCGTAACCAATGGTTGGAGACTCTTGGTGAAATGGCTCGGAATCGATCACAATGGCGTCGGTGTATACACTCTCTGTCTTCCTTAAATTAAGAGATTAAAATCGCTTCATATCTGTCTAGGAACTAATTCTTTCTTCCTTTACTATCTCCTTATACACAATCTATCTTCTATATATTACCACCACTGAATTAACTACTCCTATGAATCCGGTGTTCATCTTGTTGTGCTAATGCGGTATGGCAACTTGGACCGATGCATATACGTGCCTGGTCCTACGTTGCAGCTGACTGACTGACTAACTTTAGTAAACTGAAACGAAAATTAAAATAATTTTCGACAAATTCTAAGTGACAGATATAGTTAAGTTTCATGTTTACCAATAAGATTGTTATATCTCTGCTGTTTTACGTGTAAATAAACATATCGTTTATAGGAAGAAAAGTCACAGCAAATTTTACGTAATGTGGTCGCTTAGCAGAGTGTGATAATAGAAAGCAGAATCCGAAAGTGTTGGAAAAATTAACTGAAACACAGAATACATCAACGTTAATATACTATTAAAGATTCAAGCTAAAACTACCGTCTGAATGCGGAGCAAGCCAGTAAACCTTCAAGCACAGTACGGGTACGTCCCCAATATCGATGACTCCAGCGTTCCGCTTCGATTCTATCCATAAGCCAGTCAACACGACGAAAATCAGATTCTTTACCGTGATCATCGGTCCCCATGTACTGAGATAGCGAAGATTCATATAGCCAACTATTACGGCTAAATTCCAACTGTTCAACAGTGTTAAATAGAGATAATGCATTTTGTAAACCATGGTCACTAGGTCGACCAGATAACCGATTGACCTGCATTCGACTGGCTAGTTGATCCAAATTATTAAAAACGTCACTACAATAAAAAACAAATAAGTATGTTAAACAAAAAGCTGCGAAGAAGTATATGTTTAAACGACTAATTGGCAACACATTTAAGAATTTTAAGAGCCCTCATTTGTATCATATTCTCTCCGGTATCTTGCAACATAGTTGGAGATCAAAACTAAGTTTAATCAAAACGTGACTGGTACTTGTAGTTTCGATATACATATGAAGTATTCATTGGTTTTGGGAGCTTCTTTATATGTTTCGTCTTGTGCAGAAATATAAAAAAACATAACCACTTTGATACGTGACATTATATTCATACAACAACTCTTAGGTTGAAATACTAAAGACTAATATGACGCAGTGGTTTTAGTTGTGAACTGCAGACTAGATTTGAATATAGAAATGCTAGCATAACATTAACTTGGCTTTGTCCAACCATCTCAGTCGATGGAGATTTACAACCTCATTTACCGATTTACCATCGTTCCCTAATACCTTGCGTTTAACCACATTATTACTTACCCGGTGATCCCAGCAGATATGACCAATATTTCTGAGACATCTGTGATTAAATACTAGTAGCTTACGAATATTTTCTACACTTAGTGGCCACCTTTCGCAGCTACAAAGTAAAAAAGAAAGAACTGCTGCACAGTATACTCGTCCCTTAATTGATAGACGAATATCTTGCCTTCGCCACAGATGACGTAAGTTGGCAAAGGCCAAGCGAGCTCTTCGAATCCGTGCTGAGATTTCGTCAGACACCAACCCATTAAGGCTGAGCAGACTTCCAAGATAAGTGAAGTCGTCGATGCGTCCGACTACTTCACTCCCTATCCTTAGTTCAGGTGTTGACGCAGACCAGTCCTGAAGAAACAGTTTGCATTTAGAGAGAGAGAAACGCACCTCAAACATTCTGGCATTGTTGTTCAGTGCTACCAAAAGACTGCATTTTATCAGCGTTTTCATCAAACAGGAATATAACATCTGCGTATTTTAAGTGGACCTCCTGGAGAAAAATCAATCCCCGAAAATCCAGACGACAAGAAAGTTATTTCCAGCAATAGGTCTATGATGAAATTGACGAAAATGGAGAAAGTGAACAGCTTTAACAGACGCCACTTGACCTTAAAAAGTCAGATAACAACTAATAAAGTTCGAGAAAAGAGCCTTCACAAGGTTTATGTGCTTCTGAAGTAGGCCTTTCAATGGCAGACACTAACAGAACCTCTTAGTCTAGAGTCAAATGCTGCTTTCAAGTCAAAAAATACCACCATTGTCGGAAGCCGATAAGCATGCCTGTGTTCCAGAACCTGAAGAATGGTGAATTTGTGGTCAATGCAGCCACGACCAGGTCTAAAGCCAGTCTGATTTTCTCTTATTTCCAGTTCACGAGTCTTTGTTAAACGTACGATAATTATTGAGGCTAGTATTTTAGATGATATGATACTCAAACTAATCCCTCTACAGTTGACACATGATGACTTTAGCCGCTTCTTATATATTGGGACAATCAATGATTGCGACCAGTCAGATAGGATTACGCTCAACTCCCATATTTTAGCTCAAATATCAGTCGACCTAATCGCTAAAAATGGATCACTATACTTAAGGACATCTGGAGCAAATCCGTCTAGATCAGCTGCTCTTCATCGTTTCACATTAGCTATAGCTTACTGAACTTCAATTAAAGTCGAGAGACCTACTTCAATGTTCCATTCACGCTGTTTAGGAATGGTGGGTAGTTGTAGAGTAGCTGAAGGCCAGCTAAACTGTTCTCTAAAGTGTCCCGCCCATGGATCTAAGCGTTTGTGCTGAGGGCAAATAAGTGTCGTCTTTTCCCGAGATCGTCTTACATTTGACTTTTTAATTCCAGTTCCTTTTACTAGTCTGAAAAGCTGTCTGGTGTGACCTATAACCACTGCCTTTTCCATCTCCTTTGCTTTTGTTGCCCACCACTGCTCACAGTCGTCCCTTAGACTTTTAGTTAACCTAGACCTGATCTTGTCCAGAACCTGATGGGTTGAGACAATTTTCCAAGCCTTTTGCTCACCTGATTTGATTGACTATTTTGTGTAATGCTAACTTTTCACACGACAAACTCTTCGAACCAAGAGTTTGAAGGTTGTTGCGACCTTCAGGCACAGTCCCATTTATTTTTCCTTCTCCAGTTGTAAATAGAGGACTAGGAACGTTTTCACACTTTGTACTACCATTTCTATTGAATAGCATAAAGTTTTCGTCCACAATCTTATTTTTTTCCTCAGGATCTTTTTCATCAGATTGTATAGAAGTCAATAAATTAGTCAGGAGTAGTCTAAGTCGTTGGATTTCATATAGGCTCTCTTGAGCAAGGGATGAGATATTATTCTGCACGAAACTGCCAGAATAAAATGTTGGAAAATTCACATTCATTGCTGTATGAGGTACTGGTGGGCATTCCATAATGGGAGGAATATGTGTTGGTTTAATATTAGATTGAGAGGCGAACATTTCATAATTGAGACGAAAACCTAAAAAAATAAACAGAACTTGAGACAAAGGAAACATTAGGAACTTGGCGTGGTGAATAACTATTACTATCAAATAACATCCCAATATCCGAAATCCAAAATATAAGGTTGTATTTAACGGTTAAAACTGCTATGAACGTGGCATGAAAATGACTGAACAGATATAAACGAAACGATCAATTTTCCGAATTAGACTAATAAACAAGCAACAAGAAGTAGTGACATAGGCTTTTCACATGCATTAAAATTTTTAAAAGCCGTTAGCACTCGTGCTCAACACAAATTTCAACTCCGTTAGAAGAAACGAATAAGTATGATGAGCATAGTATCCCAATCTCACTGTATTGGGGAATACCCAAAACTTTGGCAATTTCCCCAGAATTTTGTTACACATTGAGGAAAACCATCAAACTTCTTACGACTTTGGGAAAACCCCACAAATTCCTCAAAGTTTTCCCAAAATAAGGAGACTTCGATCAGCTGGCAAACACTATTTTGTTCGGCTAAATGGAAAACAAGTCACAAATATTCGTAATTTTAACATGATCCCATTGATCTGTATAATAAGTATATATATACATAATCAACACTTGATATTTTTCAAGCAAATGCATCATCTAATGGGAACCCTCAACCTACATATCATAAGCTAAGAGCCTTCTAAAAGTACGTCTAGGAACTCTAGTAAATGTTGAATAACTGTTCATAACAATGAAGCCAAAAACACGCTTGTCCAGAAAGGATGACGAAGAACAACAGAAACGAGAAGGAACAAACAAATCCAGTGGACATAATTTATGGACGACGTCTTATCGACGTTAAAGCGACCTTAAGAATGTTTGACGAGACTACAAGTTATGGTCCTTTGAGTGGCTCTAAAGCGGCCTTCAGAATAGCCACCTACTGACAAGGACTAAATGAGTTTTAAACGTGTGTGAAGGTTGAGGATTGCGAGTCGCATGGGATAATTATGTTGAGAAATTATATTTAAGGCTTTCATCACGAACTGATATCAGCTAGAATGACATTTGTCTTACGACACTATTTAGCCATATGGATAAAGAATTTCGCGCTGAAATCCAAGACCTGTTATCGTGAACCAAACTACTTCACCCACGAACTATAATCTCGTCAAAAATGCGTTAAGACTTCACATAAAGTGTCAGAGACTAATGAGCAAGAAGAACATCGCAGTTATAACTTAGAAATCCACTTTCAAAAGCGTAGTGAGAAATTCCGAATATGTAATCAAGGTCATTTTCAATGTACAATTGTTATTTCGTACGTTTCAAAATTAGATTCAGATTTGTATAGTAAAGACAGAAGGCCTACGGGATGTTATTCCTTTTCTCATATGCTTCTGTGAGTGTCCAAACGTCTCTTGAAAGAGTCGATTGAAGGTGAGGACACCACTGCTTCGGGCAGCAGGTTCCAAGTATTGAAGACTCGTTGTGAGAACCTGTATGCCACTGGTATTTTATTCGTTCTTGGTTTTCTACTCGCCTGCTTTGTCTTCTGAGATGTCCCGATCTGGTGAGAAGAAAAAGAGAGAGTAGGTTAGGTCCAAAATCATTTCTCAGTATTCTGTACATCAAAATTAGATCTCCCCTTAATCTGCGATAGGAGAGTGTGAAGAGATCTGGCTTTTCAAGCCGCTCTTTGTATGGTAAACCCCGGAATTTTTTAATCGCACGGGTAGCTGCTCTCTGTACGTTTTGTAGAATATCCTAATCGCCTTTTAAACACGGGCAGTTCTCAAGCTTAATTCTCACTAAGGACGTGTATACTTTTTTGAACATGATAGTATCTAGCTTAGTGAATGTCCGTTTTAATGCCCAGAGGGTTAAAAACCCCATAGCTGCGACCTTACAGCAATGGGTCGTCATCTTAAGATCCTGACTTACTGTCACCTCCAGATCCTTATGAGACCGAACCACTGGTAATTGCACTTCCCCTATATTATACCTATTAACATTTGAGTCACTGAAGTGCATGTAGACACACTTTGCCGCGTTGATAGGTATCGGCCACTCTTTAGACCAGTTAATTATATTATTTAGGTCTGCCTGAAAAGCATCTGAGTCTGTGTCTGGTTATTACTCGCCAGATCTTTACATCGTCAGCGTATAATAACATTAAGACTGTACTATACTTGGAAGGTCATTGACATACATTATAAAAAGTAAAAGACCTAGGAAGGAACCTTGAGGTACTCCACCAAGTACTGGTCTCCAGATGGAGCACTTGGAATTTGTTCTTACTTTCTGTCTACGGCCTACTAGGAAATCTTTGATCCATTTTAAGAGGTCCAACAATACCAAGGTTTTCCAACTTCAATAGCAGTCTATTAGTTGGCACCTTGTCAAAAGCCTTACTGAAGTCTATGTAGAAAATATCCGCTGAATTTCCATTGTCTAGCGCCTTTATCCAAAGTTCCCTTGCTGTAAGGAAGTTCGTCGCACAAGATAGACCCTTTCTAAAACCATGTTGTTCTGTTTATCAAGTTATTGGTTTCCATGAGTGCCATTACGGTCCGTCTGATTGCTCTTTCCAATATTTCAACTACAACACTGGTGAGGCTTTCAAGTCTGTAGTTCGATAACACTTGTCTTGGTCCTGTTTTATGTATGGGAGTGACGATTGCGTCCTTGCAGTCCATAGGTAAGACACCTTGATTAAGTGACATATTGAATATCAGTCAGTTGGGCCGCGATATATTGTGCAATATGTCTCAATATTTTAGGGTGTAGTTCATCTGGTCCTGTTGATTTTTCCGTGTTTAAGGTGCTAAGGGCCTTAAGCACATCGTTTTGGTCGAAGTCCGCGGTGAGCAGGTGGTTTATTGACTCTTAATTTTGGTCTGGTTCTTTGTCCGAAGGAGGTTTCTGAGTGAAAACTGCCCCAAAATAGTCAGCCATAGCCTCTGCTTTGTCCTGATCTTCCTCTATCATTTCAGATTCACTCCCTTCATTAATTGGATTTGGAATCCAATGATGCATCCTTGTTCTGTAGTTTATGTACGAGAATATTCTTTTGGGCTGCTTGAGAGCAGATTGTGCCAACTGCATTTCACATTTTCTTTGAGCTTCTCGAATTTTTGTTATATACTTGTTTCTTACCGATCTTTAGCGTTCCGTCGTACCCGCTGTGCCAAGGCGGATGGCGACATCCCAACATTTCTTCTTTTGTCTTAATAAACGTCGAATATCCCTGCCTATCTAGGGATGTCTGTGTTTTTTCTTCGTTGGGACTGTCCAGGGTATGTTTGGTTGTATAACTGCCTGAAATGCGTCCATATCTCTTGTACTGATGTCCTTGAGTCAATTTTCCAGTTTTCAGCCGATGCTGCGGAGTTGATGGCCTCCATATCTGCCTTCCATATGTTAGGACGGGCCGGCGCAACTGTTTGACAGGCAATCTCAACCACGAATTTGAATAAGACGACTGAGTGGTCACTTCTCACTAGTGATGGAAGGAAGGTCATTTGACCAACGTCATCACCGTGTGTGAAGACTAAATCTAAAAGAGAGAAGTTTCTTAAGTCATATTTTGTGGGGGTTCTTATGTGTTGGAACAAAGCTAAGGCAATCGAGGTTTCTAACAGTTTGCAATCGAACGACGTTGTTGATGATCCTACTTCTAAATTAACCCAGTTTATATACGTTGCGTTAAAGTCATTTACTACAAGGCTTTTACCCTTGTTACACCAAGACTTAATTAAGAGAAAATCATCTACCACGCATTCTGGACTGTGATATACTACAACTAATCGATTATCTTACAGTCTACATTTCAGCCTACATCGCACCAATTCACATATCCCTGAAACATATGCTACTGTCTCAGCTACTCTTATGGTTAGGGTACTTTTCGTGTACGGGATTACCCCGCCTCCCCTACGATTTAATCTATCAGCCGTACTGGATAAAAAACCAGATAAGTGAATTTAATTATCTAATACTTCCGGCGTTAATCAAGTTTCTGAGACAGCAATAACATCCGGTTTCTCTTTATCCATCATTGACTTAAGCTCTGCCATTTTATTTAGTAGGCTGCGAGCATTTTTGCAGCATATCTTTAAGTCTGTGGAGAACTTTTCCTTACCACCCAGAGTGGTTTGGGGATCGTTTTGTTTCGAACTTTTACAATTTGAAAACCCTTAACAATGAGGTTTCTTTCGCCGTTTCGGCGATGCTCATTTACTTCTACTTCTGCAGCTCGTCTCTTAATATGATCAGCTAGGCTGAGATCCTCACGGATATAATATTCCGGATCTAATCAGTTTACGTGAGTTACCTAAAATCAGGTTCCTTTCTTCAAGCGTGGCAAATGTAACCTTCAAGCGGCGTTTTTCTGAGGGCTTTCAGAATCCACACTTCGTCCCATTCTATAAAGCTTACAAATGCTAACTCCTGAAACGGTATCTGAGATTAGTTTGCTTATTAAGGAGATAATGTGACTGAAGTCGTGTTCAAATCTAGCCTTTGATTCCTTATCGGAAGATTCTCTTAACTTATGAAAAATGACTGACCTCTCAGAGAGATCTTTCTTAACACTCAGTGGTGCACTTATTTAGTACTTGTTGTGATTATATTTGCTTTTGTATTCTTGTTGCATCAAGAAGCATTCTTAGTCTACTTTAACTTGAAGTATTTCGATGAAGGTTTGAGATTTGACTAATTCTGTTTTGTGGTATTATTTTCTCGTTGACACTTGTTTTCGTATTAAGATTATATTTTATTTTGAACCTTCTTAAACTCATTACAATGTTTGGAAGTATTATAAATGTCGACAGCCTATTTGTTTATTCTTTGTGGGGCAAGGAATACCGTTAGGTACGTACGAAGTGACATAAGATGTGTACCTCCGCACGTAAAAGATGATCGAAGCCTAACTCTCGTTGGTTTTGTATGTTATCTTGTAAGAATAAGACATTACTGATCCAGTAGTCTATGAGCCTCCTTGTTTTGGCCGTTAAAATGAAATAGTAATGGTTGTGCTAGTAATACAAGAACTGAAATTAAATAATACGTTAGTGTAGTACGTGCTATTACAGGACGTGTTGAACACCCGACTGTGATAGACGGAAAATTAAAAATTTTAATGAAACTAACGAGGAGTGAAGTGCCACTAGAGACCTTCCACAAAATGGTGAGGAAAATCTCCGACTAGTGGTTCTTCAAATTGTCAGGACTTTAAAGAGGATGCTACAAAGGCCTGTTAGAATAGGTCGTTCTCATTAGGAGTTTTATATTTGCCAACGCTCGTTGTCTGAAAAATAGATTCTATGATCTAGGAGCACTAGTAGAAAAATTAAGGCCACTCATCGTAGCTGTGACGGAGGCTTGAGTAGTACATGACTTCGAAACCACACCAGAATTGAGCAGATACCACTACCTAAGATATGATAGACATATATGCAGGAAAGAAGGCGGCGTCCTTTTATACATAGCCAACAATATATAAGTATCTGCTACCTTGCTTGTGAATCCATTGAAAGTAGATTTTGTGAAGTCATTAGCTGCGAGCCGAGTAGCGGATGTTGTACATTTATACTCGATTTGCTCAGCTGATGACTTTATTTTAGTGCACGTTCAACCAGCTCAAGTCAGGAGTTCCACTAATTCTGTCCAAAGAAGAATGCAAAACATTTACGAGATGGAAACCTCATTAAACCAAGGTCATCAAAACAACTTTCAAAATGAAGAAATAAACGATTAAAAGGAATGTCATCTAATGCTATGCACCTACCAATGATAGCAACGGGGACGATAAAGATCATTTTTGTGAGAATTTGAATTCGATCATGAGTAAAATCTCAGAAAACGGTGGGAACATCCTGATGAGAGATGTAAACGCCAAATTTTTATTGGGCAACACCGTATTTGATAATATCACGAGAGGTCATGGACCGGGAGAGAGGATCGAGAATGATTAGAGATTTTCAGAATTATGTGCATTGTTGAAGGCTCCCCAATATTGCCACAAGAACGCTTACACAAAGTTAAATGGGTCTCACGGGATCACTCTACTGAGAATCAAACCGACCACTCTGACTGTATACATAGCGTCAATAACTTGCTAAGGAGGCTTCAGACATTAACATAATAGGTGATTTCCTGAATGTTCTAGTATCCCCCTAATTAAAGTCTGATCTCACATGAGCACACAACTACAACCTTGAAAGGAGGCTGTCAGTACGATCTTTCAAACTAAAACTGATGACTCTACGTTCCGTACCCACTAAAATTACGGAATTTCCGACTTATTGCGGCCTTTTTAAGTACATGCCATCCATAAATTTCCTTCCACCTAAACAATATGGCCTCAGGTAGCATCACGCCTGTATTGTGAAACTAATGGCTGTTGTATATAGATGAACTACCGTCAGTGATTGAATGGGTACGATAAATACAATGTACTTCGTAAACGTTTTTAGAGAGTTGATCGTACGTGTTTTATCAATGAGCTCAAGTTGATAGGTACTGAGTCACCACAAACATACTAGCTCATATCATGCTTAAACAATTAAATATTGAAGTTCAGAATAAATGCTCCTTCTTAGGAGCAACAGAATCTCCTGAAGTGACTTAATGGGTTTTAAATAAAAGAGTGGAGGACTTTACTGAAACCGTGTAACTGATACTTAATTGTGCAAAATAGAACTTGGATTAAAACTGAATGCACCAATCTAGTATGCAGACAATTTGTGACGTCAATTATTGAAAACTAAACACTACAACTCACACATTTTGATACCACTTTGGATATGAAAAATTTTTATTTTTCATCCAAACTATTCTTTAACTTGATGAGTGTTTTCACTATATTTTAGTATTTTGGAGACTACAGCAAAAATCTCTATCAATCACTTTGTAATTTAATACAATGGGACAAAAACCAAAATAAAAAATTACATCAATATACAAACAAAAATGATGGTCTGTGAGATAACAATCAAATGTAATAATAAGGTTTAATTATGATGCATTCATCAAGTGTTTAAAGGAAGAAGGTTTGCAAATAAAAACAGTGAACCAATTCATTATTATCTATGAAATAGAAATAAGTTCATTCCTATGTAAAAAGCCTAGCATAGGGACAAATATGAACAAAATACTGTCCGAATAAAAAGAACATAAGTATACAGAAAATATAACAAACAGAAAATAAACAAAAAAATGTCAAGCCAGAAACAATCAATTTCATAATAATTTATATATCTGTAGTTTATATAAAAAGTGTAAAAAATAAATGCATTGCTATGAGGACCTACATCTTCATATATTGTTTGTAAATTAGATGAAATTCTAATCAAACCTCAGCTATTGGAACCTAAACAAAGGGTAGAAAAACAACAACTAATGTAATGAATCAAAACGGAATCGTTTCGAAAAGTTATGTAAGTAATATCTTTAAAAAATATATTCAGTTTCAAAGCAGTTTTGGTGAAGGAACAGATTATTTTCATTTAAAATGACTAGAAAGTAATGATTTTAAACTTAGACTCTCTCGTGTTTATTTTTATGTATTACAATAAACTATTTTAAAATAGTTAATGGTTTATGTTATTGCCAATCATTTTGAAGCTTATACCAGTTGACTTCTCCGATAGGTTACCTGCTGTTAATCCTAAGTGTTTGCATGTATCTCTAAAGTTTGATTTCATTTAAAGTTTCTTTGAATATCACAATCTTCGCTCTAAAATATGACCACTCAAACTATCGATTACTTCAACATTACGTAAACTGAATGTACAATTCCTGTTTACATTGAATAACATCAGTCGGATAAAATATTTATCCATACTCATGTTTAAATTTTATTAGGTTGTTAATTAAAATGATTTCTATATACTCTTATCAGTTACGACACAGTTTAGATTTTGTATTATCAAACATATATGCTGTCATAATGATGTCAGTAGCTACAAAAATTTAAGTTACTATTAAGTTGTAGTTACTTATAATTTGATTTTGTGTGTTTGATGATTCGTTGATGCGATGACAAAATTAATTAGCATTACATTCTTTAACATAGCTTTTACTATATTCGTAGAAATTTATAGACCAGGGGTTAAAGAGGATATATTCGATGTATTCAAAGTTTTAAACCCTACTTAACCTACTTCGGTTTGAGTAGCCCTCTATATCTAGGGTGTAGCTTAAAGCTAGATTTATACATCTGTACTTTGTTAGTGAGTTACATTACAATATTACTATTTTCTATCATCTTTACACTGTCTTTTATAACGCGGTATCGGAATATTCGTTCCAGTAAATACATTTAAAGTTCAGCTAACAGCTACGTTCATGCATTCGTACTTTGTTAGTGAGTTACATTACAGTATTACTATTTCCTATCATTTTTACAGTCTTTTATAACTCGGTAGTGGCATATTCGTTTTAATTTGAGGAACAGTAAATTAAGAGATTAATGACAGTCAAAAATAGAATATGTGATGGATTGATAGTGTGTGCATTTCGAAAATATAAATATTTTATCCGACTGATGTTATTCAATGTAAACAGGAATTGTACATTCAGTTTACGTAATGTTGAAGTAATCGATAGTTTGAGTGGTCATATTTTAGAGCGAAGATTGTGATATTCAAAGAAACTTTAAATGAAATCAAACTTTAGAGATACATGCAAACACTTAGGATTAACAGCAGGTAACCTATCGGAGAAGTCAACTGGTATAAGCTTCAAAATGATTGGCAATAACATAAACCATTAACTATTTTAAAATAGTTTATTGTAATACATAAAAATAAACACGAGCGAGTCTAAGTTTAAAATCCAAAACAAATTTAACGCTGCTTATTTTTGTTTAATCATTGATAATAATATGAATAATATGAATATAGAAACTAGTTTATCTCACCTCATCGGTTTTGCTGTACTCATGATGTCGATTATGATGACGATGATGCAAGCATTGAGAGTTTTGATGAGGTTGTCGACTTGTAACAAGATTATTAGGCGCTGAATATTTAATATTATCAGACAACGAAGTATATGCCAATTTATTACTTTCTGATGGACTAGAATGAATTTGACAAGTTGAACTTTTCACTTGAACTGTTTGAGACGATGGTAATACTTTTGAATGCAGTTGTATGTAGTCTTCTTCATCTATTGGATTACAACTCTTTGTTGATTTATTAACATCAACAGAACAGTTATTAACCAAGTTATTATTATGATGATGATTTATAGTTGTGTGGAGCTGTTTGGCACTAATTTTAGGAGAGTTAATGTTATTTTTATTGCTATTATTTTGGCTTTGCAAATTATCACTTTCTTCCAATGAATTACCTGAAAAACGAATAAATTTCTTACAATAATTAAAACAATTCATTGGAAATATAATGAAAATATACCATTCAGACATCCCGGAAAGTTAATTGAACAAAGAAACCTATTACGCTTCGAAGTATTACATTTACCTTCATGAGTTTTAATGGATTGATAAAAGGCTATTATTGAAAAAAACTGCATTTCGTTTTACTAGAGACAATTTTTACTACTTTCTTGAACTGTTTGATTAAGTAGTTTATTTAATTTTGTGACCACTCTCGACGCAGCCGGAAAATTATTAAACACTTACTATGCGTCTTATTCTAGTTCGCAACTATAATGTTCACCACTAATTCTTGCTTGGTATTGAATCCAGGAATATCAAGTCTCATGATGAGTTATTCTTAAATGGTCGGTAATATTAATCTCAAATAATTTTTGAATTCTTCAGAGATTTTCATATGATGACTCAGTTAAAGTTTGTTAATCCATAATAAATATATTCGTGAAACTTTAGAAAATTACATTGTAATTATGCTATTAAATTTGAAACTCGATTTCCGCTGCTGACTTTGAGATTAACAATTTTTAATCTCAAAAAAAAAACTAAATTATTCAACCAAAGAACTAGTAGACAAATTTCATAAATCGTGGGTCGAAAAAACTATGATGATGCAGTTATCTTATGATTGCCTGAGTGTAGATAGTTAAAATATCTATCAAAACGTTTTACACAAAATACATAAGGATACATTAAATACCTAAAGGCAATGGTACAATATTATTCCATCGAACCGTCCATAACTCAGAATCAACAGATGAAAGTGATTGTACTAGCATTGATGGAAAAACACCACGTATAGAATAAAATTGTTGATCATCATTTTTGTTTGATTCAGTCACTAGAAGATCACCTTCCCACCAACCATCATCAATACTATAGCCAGATATTGAAGTTAACTGATCTCGTCTGGTTGTTGTTGTTGTTGATGATGATGAATTATTAATTAGACCGTTAATATTAGGAGCACGACCAATCACACGTATAACTGCACCAGCTTTAAAGCTTAATTCATCTGGATTAGTTCCGTGAAAATCGATTAAACTTCTTACAAATGAACCAGAAAGAGGTGGTTTGGATATTTCATGACTAGAAAATTCTGTGAAACAAAAAAATTAGAGATAAAATACTTAAACATTTTCAGAGTTTATCTCCTTTAAAAATTACACCGCCAAGCAAACTCAAAAATAGCATTAAGCTTCTAAGAAGATTTATTCAAATTATAATTTTCATATAATTTAATTAAGTAAAGATCAATAAATAAGATAAACGAAACATTTGGCTAGTAGTTATTTTATAACTGTCAGTAGTTTGATATATGCTTGTATGCATCAAATACTTTTCCAAGTAATAACCAACGACAAACTGAACACTTAGTACCGTTTCCGACACTCATATGATTAAAATATCGAGTGGGTTGAAAGTTTTATAATTCTAGGAACTTTGAGATTTATATTAATAGGTTATTAAATAAATAAAACTTTAGGAATCCCCTAGATAATAATGAGCTCTATAAATCAGGGAGAGCGATAGAATGATCATGTAAATGTCATAAATACTGTGATTTTTTGAGTTATAAAGAAAATATAGTAGTAGAATGCAGATCTGCTTGTTATCTTAGTATTCAGATTGGCAACTGAGAATAAAGGGAGTGAGGTAGATTCATAGAATTTAGAAGTCCAGGCCTTTGCTCTATTAGCTAAAGAGATTACCGTTGGTCTGGTCGGCATATAGTAAAGTAGTCATAAGCGGACTGTATAATTAAGCGACCGGAACTTATGTGAGGATATAAATGGTCAAATTCATAACAGTCTTCAGTGATGATTCCTATAAATATCGATTAAAAATAAGACGAAATACCAGTTACAATAAACATTTTAAATCTCATATTGCAACTGATATCAATATATATCATTAACGAATTCACAGAAAAACAACCAGAGATATTGAACTGTTCCACAATTCTACATGACTTTTGTGAAACATTGTAAATTCAAGTAAACTGTATAAAGCTCTCTGTAAGCTAAACGTACCATCTGTGCATAAAAGTAGAGGTGGATCTACTTCTGGAGGAAGGGATAAGAACGTAGAATCCATTTGATTAGGCTTCTTAGAGTTTTTCTGATCATTGTCTTCGGAACACTTAGTTAATTTAAAATGAAGGATGTCATTTCCACTAGAATGCAGCGCTGAGATACTTTGATTACTATTATCACCGTTCATAATGATTTTTGAGTTTTGTTTAGGCACATCTACGTTAGATAGTTTTAAGTAGCTTATCGGAACCAAACCTTCGTTTCCATCTATTAAACTTCTTACCTGAAATTGAAATGAATACAAACACTTAGAAGAAAGCAGGATAAATATACAACGTTAATTATAAATCTCATTTCATAAGACAAAAATGTGTAAACAGTATTTAATAATGCTGAACTGATAACAGACGAAGTAAAAACAATTGATATTCATATAAGTTTACGAAACGTAATGAGAAAATACTTGTTTATTATAAATACACAATTTAACACATATATGCATGATAAAAGATTGGTTGTTGTGGAAAAGGTGCTATTCTCTGTGACTATAATACATGGTTTGTTTGATGAACACTGTAAGCGAATTTCGGGGGACTGACAAAAGAATCCTCAGTGCAAGGTTGATAAAAAATATAAAATGAATAATATTTACAGAGATATCAAGTATACTGCTTTAATATAGTGTCTAATCAATCTTCTATTAATTTAATACCAGGTATTTACTTCATATATGATAGGCATTTAGTGTAATTACGTTATATGTCTAGCCTTGCTATGTATTTTCAAGAACAAAGTTTTAAGATGATGATGTTAAATTGATTCTCAATAAGCTACTTTAATATCACAAGAAGAAACAATGAAGAAAACAGTCAATAAAATGGAATATCCTATTAATTAATGCACCAACTAACCAATCATATTGAAAGTAATAAACATTTCATTTACAAATGAAACTATAAGTACTGATAATTCTACTTTTATGCATACCAAAGTCTCAGTACAACGAAAATATGTGATACCATACCAAAAATAATGTTGACTAAGATATTATAGTCTACTAGGTTGTTTTTATAGAGATTTATGTAGTTTGAAGGTAATATTTATTCTACTCTGAAGTGAAAGAGAAAATCAGTAAAAATCACAATGTACTGGATAGCTGTTTCGTCTTGGTTTGGAAATCTCTAGAGGTCCACTTCAATGATCCCATGCATGTGTGGTCTTCCCAATGATACCAATTCATGAGGAGGATTGTCTTTATCAAATTAAAAAAATTTTATAAAATACTTCAGTAGAATACATTCTATTTCAATGGTGGTTAGGTTTATGATTAATTTTCTGAAATTATAGTTATAAACCTTGATTGGTAAATTCAATCAAACTGAAAACGAGCTAGTAAATCCCTGAAGATAGTTGTTAAACATTGGCGTATATTACACATCAAAGTCGGATACCTGAAAAATTAGAGGAGGTTCAAAAGTCTTGCACTGAATTCCGCATGGGTCACATGTATTCAAGTGTTGAGGAATCATAAACTAGTATTTAATAAAAATCCAGTAATTCCTACTACTCTTTTATAAACATACACATACAAACAAATTCTCTTCAACAAGATTCGGAACAAAGAACAAGTTCCAACAGACTGGGAAGAAGGACACCTGATCAAGATACCAAAGAAAGGCGATCTCAGCAAGTGTGATAACTACAGAGACATCACTCTTCTCTCAATACTAGGAAAAGTCTTCAACAGGGTATTGTTAGACAAAATGAAGGACTCCGTATACGCTCAACTTCGCGACCAACAGGCTGGATTCCATATGGATCGATTGTGAAACAATCAATTGAATGAAATTCATCACTCTTCATCAACTTCATTGACCAGAAGAAAGCATTTGATAGCGTGGACATGATAACACTATGGAGGCTTCTTCAACACTACGGCGTGCCTCAGAAGATGGTCAATATCACACGGAATTCGTACGATGGATTAAACTGCAAAATCGTGCATGGAGGACAACTGACAAGCAAGGTTGGTTACTCTCACCTTTTCTCTTTCTCCTGGTGATCGACCGGATCATGAAGACGTCAACATCTGAGGAAAATCATGGGATACAGTGGACAGCTAGGATGCAGTTGGACGATCTATACTTCGCAGATGATCTGACTCTTCTATCGCATACGCAACAACAAATGCAGAAGACAACCAATGTAGCAACAGCATTAGGACTCAACATACACAAAGGGAAAAGCAAGATTCTCCGATACAACACAGCATGCAACAATCCAATCACAATTGACGGAGAAGATTTGGAAGATGTACAAATCTTTACATATTTGGGCAGCATCATCGATGAACACGGTGGATCTGATGCAGATGTGAAGGCACGGATTGGCAAAGCAAGAGCAACATATTTACAACTGAAGAATGTCTGGAATTCAAAACAATAGGCAACCAACACCAAGGTCAGAGTTTTCAATACAAATGTCAACACAGTTCTACTGTATGGGGCGGAAACCTGGAAAATCACGAAAGATACAGGTGTTTATTAACAGTTTTCTACGCAAAATACTTCGGATCCGTTGGCCGGACACTATTAGCAACAACCTACTGTGGGAGAGAACAAATCAGATCCCAGTGGAGGAAGAAATCAGGAAGAAGCGCTGGAAGTGGATAGGACACGCATTGTGGAAAGCACCCAACTGTGTCACGAGACAAGCCCTCACATGGAATCCTCAAGGCAAAAGGAAAAGAGGAAGATTAAAGAACACAATACTCCGGGAAATGGAGACAGACATGAGAAAAATGAACAAAAATTGGATAGAACTGGAATGGAATGCTCAGGACAGATTTGGTTAGAGAATGCTGGTCGACGGCCTATGGTCGATTGGGAGTAACAGGCGTAAGTAAGTAATTCTTATTTCTCTCTAATAAACATACTGTTAATAATTCGTTAGACAAATAGTTCATCGTATGTGCTAACTTTCATAATGATATTTAAATACCTGAAAATATTTGACTAAGTGTAGCATATTTGAAAATCCTAATCACTTTCTTTTAATCTTATTTACTGGTGAATGATCGCTGAATTATACATTAATCAATATGTACTGTGTTAGAATGTATCTGATGTAAGATTCGAATGAACATAATCAACTTGTAGAACGTTTAATAGATCAAGAAGTTACTACCGGTTGTCTATAAGTATACAAAACCTTAAAACTTTAGCTGATTTGCATTATTTGAGAGCTGACTTACTACTAATAATAAATAATAATTAATAAATATTTCAATAAATAACTTGATACTTGTATAATCCTAATGCATAACGTACTTTTATCCATCCATTTTGAGGCTCGCTACTCAATAAGACAACAGTTTCATGTACGACGAGATCTAATTCATTAGATTTTTTAGCTCTAAATTCATGTACAACAGTTGCTCGATGCAAACGATTATTTTCAGACCATATGGCTTCAAAATCTATATCGTCTTTATTATTTGTCAAATTATTGGAACTACCAATGCGTACAGATGAAAATGAATTAAATGTATCATTTGGATGGCTTTTATTATTATTGTTATCATTATTAATAGTTGATCTATGAACAGTTATGTCATCATGAGTTCGTGAACTGATTTGTGAGACATTTTGATAATCGTGCTTTACACGCGTTTCGTTGTTATTTGGGAATAAATTATTTTGATTTAAACAATTCAATTTTGTACTCGTCTGAGATGATGATCTATAAGTTGGATGAGGAGTTCCATCAGTAGAGTTATCCATTTGACCAGAGGTTGATGGTCTAGGGACTAATGAAATAAGGAGAAGAAAAAACGAGTGATTGATAGACCTGTCAGTTTTGAACAAATATACGGATAGGCGATAATATCGATTTTGTGATGAACAAATTGTCTAAAATAAATGTTTGGTAGTGAAAGTGACGAATTACAGTCCTGTGGTGATATATATCTTGACTATTGACCAAATGACACCATGTGAAAAGACATTCACAGAAGAGAACACAAAATGGTGAAACAATCTATCATTTTGTGAAGTAATGTTTACAATTTAGGATAGGTTACCAAAGTATCCGGTTTATTTTCCTTTATTTCAGAAATTACTTGTAACTTAATGAATAAAGTGACTTCTTGGTATAAAGAAGAATAATTCAAAGCCTTAATACCTTTTTTGTTAGGTTTGAAAAAAGATCATTTCATTAACAACACAAGAATAAAAGGACTACTTATAATTGAGAAATAGTTAATTTTAGCAATATAATGTTAAGGAGTGATCTGTTATAGGGGGATGAATATTGGAGATGAAACGTTCAGTGGAAAATATCTGCAGGAACCATTGACAAGCAGTAAGTTAGACGATACAGTAGTTGTACCTGTCTCACCTGGCAATCCATTAATCGTAGTTTCAGAAACATATCCTATGATGGGCTCAAACCCAGTTGCGTCTAAGGCAGAATATACAAACAGTTAATTGTGAAGTTCATAACAAGACGATATATTAAATGTACATGAAATTGCAGCAATACTGTTGGAACCAACAACGAAGTATGCAATAAATTATGGCCACTTGGAATTAATCGAGTATTCAAAAAGTACTGCGATCCTAAACCTCTACCTTACAAAAATATAGAAGTAAGAAGAGAAAACGTGCAGATAAAAAAGATGAGCTCATCGTATTAAAGGAGGATCATAGAACTTTCCGTGGTGAAGGAAAATGTCGATAACTCAAGATAATACAACATTTATCGGGATCTAACCATGGATGTTCTTCATGTTAAATAATTTCCAGTTTTAAAAGATCGCAGACGCAAAGCATGTGGACACTCCTACAATTCTTCGTAAAAGAAGAAGTGTTTTAGCAAGATAAATATTGAGGAATTTGAAATTTCCTGAGCTAGGTTTTAAATAATTGTTTATATATTTATTTTTCAACTAGTAAATAGCTGTATGGTTACATTACTTTATTACCCTTACTGTAAGCTTTCAATCAAACTATTGACTGTAGTTATATGCTTTAATATTCCCCATTTATTGCTAACTGATAATGTATTCTTTGGTTCGCCCCCTACCATTTATGACTTAATTGATATTAATGTTGGACTTCTTATTTTCTTTCCTGTACGGTCTGGGATTTTCAGTATGCTTTTTTAAGAGTTTTGAGTCATAAACGAATTGAGTACAATTCGAACTAGTTTGTTTACTATCATCAACTTCTGATTGTCTACTGGGCTGGAAGTGGCTCGAGGACGGATAAGCGTTAAAGTCTTGGTATTTTTTCATTAGTTTGTGTGTAGATTTGTGAAACGAGTAACCGATCTAACACGGAATATAGTACGTGATATCTATTAAGATCTCTAGCCACAGCGAAATTGGAGTTTTCTCAAAATATAGTATGAACGAATCTTACTGATCAAATTCAGAATAATCATTCTTTGAAGAAATGGTATACAGTGAGTCAATTACTGTCATAAATTTGAGTATTTCTTACTTACTGTGAAATCATTTTTATTTTTAATAATCTACCAAATGCTCAATTCCTTTGAAAGTATCAAGTCAAACCTTGACGATGATACTTAAAATCTAGTGTATTTTTATAAGCGGTTTGTATCATGACACTAGATTACATTGTAGTTAATACTTTTCTTTATATATAAGTCGATATCATGTATCACAATGCAGTATTCGGTACTGTACATGTTAACGACCAATACACTTCGACAAGAACTTTTTGAATGAAATGGTTATTGAGTAATAACAAAGTTACAGGTTCATTTTATATTTAATTTAAACATTTAATTTAGAATGAACATTTTTGAATGTTCAAATGGTTGGCTATCATTTTAATTAATGAACCACAGAGAATTGAAATCTAGCAGTGTTACATTATTTAGTGGACGTGATAATTGATTAAAAATATTATAACGGTAGAAACGTGAAAATAAAATAAAATGATGGCTTTGCTCACAAGTAGATGACCAATTATTAATCCCATTTCTACAAAGTCGATTAGTTGACTGAAAGAAACAAAACAAGCAACAAAAACAAAATAGACGTCAACAAGGTAGATAAATGTGAATTAATGGTCAGAACTGTGAAGAGTTATATTTTTTTAATTGAAGAAAAACTAGAATCATATTAGTAGATGGTTTTGAAGATTATTGGTTACAGTTAACTGATAAGTGAAGTAGTGACCACTGATGTTTTTGTCGAGTCTGTTGGCAATGACTGAATTTTATCGACGAAGTTGCAATGTGATCATTAGTCTGTATGACTCGACATAGCGTGTTAAGACGGAATAGCTCAGCGACAATGTTTCAGATTGTAAAGTAGAATAAAATGAGTTTAAATTCCATACAGGGTGTCAATTCCTTTAAAATTGCAAGTACAACTCAGTAAGGAGTACTGACTAACACGGAGTCTAGGTTTGAGATTTTTCATCAACCATCTACCACTATTTAATATGATGAAAAGTTCGAGATTACATCAGCCCAGTGGCAGGACGCACAACTTTCAAATTCCTTTTCCTACAATAAGTAGCTGCTGAATTCCGAAATATATACATCATAGGCGTAACATATAATTTATATCATTCAATGAATGTAGATATAATCGTCATTTGAAAAACCATGCTTGCAGTAGAGGGGAACACATAAGGCATACACCTTGAGATGGTATATGATAAATTGTATTTTTACATAAAGAACACAGAAGCATAAGTGTTAGTTAACCCCATTATAAATCATTTGTGATAATACCTTAAGTAACTGAACTATGGAATATTTAGTACACTGATGAGAGGTACTGGGCGAATAAACGTTAACTCATCGAAATTATCAGTTAATACATGAAGTCATGTAATCAACGGACGATTTATCACTTTTACACTTCTCATTGTTAAAGTTATCAATTAGTGTTAAGTTTGATATCTGCTAAAATGTACTGCTTTATACTTGTCCTAACTTCCAAAATCCATATTTCAAAACCGGGTGATTGATTAAATAGTGGTTCACATATTGATAGTTACAGTATCACAACAAAAGTATCAATAAAATACTTCAATGCAACATTTAAACCTCTCGAAACTGATTCATGAAAGAAACATTTCAACAGACTATAAATACTAGTAAACTATTTTGCTGAGAAAAAATCAAAGTTTTGAGCTAGTTTTATTTTATACAAAATATCAAATAACAGATAAAGAGAACATAAATATGATCCATTGACAACATGATTTGAATTATATAGTTTACATTATTGTAACGATAACTTATAGAGAAATTATAATAACATGTACCAATAGTGTATATCTCGGAACATTTAAATTAATTATTATCTGTATAATTAACTATCTCTTTAGAAATTTATAAAATATTTCGCATCTGTTTTGTTAATGTTTATATATATGAAGACGGCCTGCTTGAATACCTGGGCTACCTGTTCCTGCCATCTAGATATTTCAACGAGTTATCTGTTCTTTGTATGTTTTAACACATCATTACGTCTATTAATCGCATAAGTAATTCAGGCGCATTTATGAAAAGTTTAAGACCTTTCCCTGTACAAGTTACAAAAATGTACAACCAGAGACATTGTGGTGGCTGGGAATATGCATTGAAAAAAATGAACATCATTCAGATGTTGAGTGATAAACTGCTAACATCTAACTGGCAAGGTGGACTGCCTTCAATTCCTATTAAGTCTAAACATGTATCGTAATTGTGGTGTAATCACAATTTAAGAATACCGGTTAAATGATTTACAAGATAATTGCTTAGTATTATTACATGATTTCAATAATTATCGTCAAGATCAATCAAGTAGTAACTTAAGGAAACCTGTTGAAATACTGTGTGCTGAGAATTCTATATTGTATCGAAAATATAGTACTTAATAAAGCCATTATTAATAAATAAGTAAATAACCTTAAGCTTATTTGTTATTTGACATACAGAACAAAAATGGTTACTGTGACAAAAAGCAAAAACAATCGTTCCAAAACAACGAAAATAAATAAACAAATTAAAGAAACATGTTTATTTCCCAAAATTTACCTCGATATCATCATTATCGTCAACATTGAGACTTCTTTGAAAAGGATAAGTTGTTGTATTACGTCCTAAAAATTCAGATCCATACGGTGTATAAGATTGATCCCATTCACTTAATAATCTGGAATCATGATCAATAAATTGATTTACACCGGAACTACTAGCTGCACTATCACTACTTCCTTCACCTAAAGGTCGAATAATCGATCGCCGATTAGGTGTGGAATGATTTAACAAACCATTATTTCGTTCGTCATTATTTAATTGAACAGCCACAGCAACAGCTGCTGCTTCCGCGGCTATACGAGCTTCAGAAATAAACTCGTTTATATCAACTACAAACAGAAAAAGATAACTAAATGATATTAAACACCAGGTAGATAACTAGACAAATTTTATATTCAAGATTAAAATGATTGTTTAAGCAGAATAAATACATAGTTTTCACTATTAAAAAAGGAAAATATAAATTCAGACAAATGAAAATGTTAGATTGAAATATTTGATTTTATTAATTGGACTGTTAGTATCTATTTTTAATAGAAACCTTTTTAAAAGGATATAATTCGATAAGTGTTGATCATTGTAACTATAGTAATCGGAAAATTATTAATTAGTTAAATGGGTATATATATTTATATTCAATAATATTGGTTAAAAACCAGATTTTCATCTACAAACAATTAAGTAGAAAAACAATGTTTTCAATTTGAAGGGAAATAGAAAGTTTGTTATAGGGATTATTTTTTAAATTTTAAAAGAAGACTCATTTGAAAATTAATGCATATTATTTTGAGTTAACAAAAACATATAAATGACACAAATAGATCAAGTTGGTTTTTTTCACGAAAAATAAAAGTGATTTTAATAATTGAGATCATGAGCCAATTGAGGCCAGACCACCATGGAAAACCTGGATCGTGGATACTCACTGCTGAGGAATCTCACAATAGGATGCTACCAGGTTTTCCATCCTGGTCTACCTTCAATCGGCTCATGATCTCAAATATTAAAATTACTACAATATACACAAAACCCCTTCTGATAAAAATAAAAGTGTACATAGAAACATTAGTTCTGGACAAGAGGATCGGTTGTTATTTTCAAAATTTACTACAAGTGTTGGTCTAACTACGTTGACTTTTTATTATTATTTTATTGGATGTATTGAATTCATTCATCATCTCTCGTTTTAGCATATATTTATTTATTATTTTTATGAGTCGAAGGAAGGATAGAAGAGATTACATTACAAAGTGATTCGAGATTTGAATTATCAAAAGAATGTTGAGTAATGAAAAATGGGATAGAAAAGAAGAGACTCAAACAAATATGAATTCGAATGTACAGCTTATTATTTCTAATTTGACAAGAAGTATGCGAAATCATCGGCTGGTTTATTTCTTGTAAATAAGTATCATTATCCCATATGATAGTTAGTAATCCAACTGAACACAATCAATTATTCAATTAACCCCTCTATTACCATTAATTATTGTAACAAAAACTTTTTAATTATCTAACTTCATTCACACCATAATTTGTTGCTAACTTATAAATTTTACAAGACTTTTTATTTGTACACACAATCTTTAATTGTTACTATTCACATTTCGTAATTTAGCATTATAACCTCTCTATCACATCAACATGTTTATTCTTTGTTCATATGTCCTCACAAATTTAATACCAAAAACATTTTCATATTTATACAGATATGATTGTACGGCTTGATAATGAATTCGTTGAAAAGAGATCCCTTCGTTGAAATTAGTGTTTTAAATGTACGAATTTCTTTCACGGAAATATATTGATGTATTTAATTTTGATATCAAATATGAAACAGTAAACCCCATGCTAATATCCCCTAATCAATTATATATATATATATATATATATCCTCTTCAAAACTCCGCCTGTAGCTCTTCCAGAGTTACTGCCGGTCCCAAGCCCGGGTAAAGGAGGAGGGTTGGGCATGGGGTTAGCTTCCCCATCCCGTAGAAACCTAACTCGCTAAAAAAACGCTAACCAGAAAAAATAACTCAAACCATTTAAACTCTGCCCTGGTAGTTAGAGGTAATATGACGCTTCATGGTGAAAGCCGAGTTCCTTCGGAAGCAACGAGGCCGATGCCCCTTCTAACAACCAGAGCAACAACTTTCATAGGTACATGGAACGTCCGGACAATGTGGGAGACCGGGAAGACCAGTCAAATAGCAACGGAAATGAGGAGATACAACTTGGCAGTGCTGGGAATCAGTGAAACCCATTGGACCCAAGATGGACAACAAAGGCTAAATACGGGAGAGATGCTGCTATACTCCGGTCACGAAGAGGAAAATGCTCCACACACTCAGGGAGTTGCTCTAATGCTGTCCAAAGTAGCACAAAATGCACTTGTAGGATGGGAATCTCACGGATCCAGAATCATCAAAGCATCATTCAAAACAAAGAAGGAGGGGATCACAATGAATATTATCCAATGTTATGCACCCACCAATGATAGCAACGACGACGTTAAAGATCAATTCTATGAGAGGCTGCAATCAATCATAGAAAAGTGCCCAAGAAAGGACCTCACCATTCTGATGGGAGATCTAAACGCCAAAGTCGGAATGGACAACACCGGATATGAAGACATCATGGGACTACATGGACTGGGAGAGAGAAACGAAAACGGGGAAAGATTTGCAAATCTGTGTGCATTCAATAAATTGGTCATAGGCGGTACAACATTTCCACACAAACGTATACACAAAGCTACATGGATCTCACCGGACCACACCACAGAGAACTAGATAGATCACATTTGCATCAATAAAAAGTTCCGAAGGACAATGGAAGATGTGAAAACCAGGAGAGGAGCGGACATAGCTTCAGATCACCACCTAGTTGTGACCAATTCAAAACTGAAGCTAAAGAAGAACTGGACAACTGGACAAACAGCATCACAGAGGTTCAATACAGCCTTCCTTCGAGATACTGACAAACTCAATGAATTCAAGGTAGCTCTCAACAACAGGTTCCAAGCCTTACAGGAAGAAGAAACTACTATGGAGGATAGCTGGAAAGGTATCAAAGAAACATTAACTTCAACGTGTCAAGAGGTTCTGGGCCCCAAGAAACATCATCACAAGGAATGGATCTCTATAAAAACACTGGACAGGATCAAAGAAAGGAAGAACAAGAAGACAGCAATTAACAACAGTCGAACAAGAGCAGAGAAAGTCCAAGCACAAGCTGAATACATAGAAGCAAACAAGTAAGTGAAGTAGAGTATTAGAGCCGACAAGCAGAAATACGTGGAAGAACTAGCAACGATGGCGGAAAAAGCTGCAAGAGAAGGAAATATGAGACAGCTTTACGATATAACGAAGAAACTAGCAGGGAAATACAGTAAACCAGAGAGACCAGTCAAGGACAAAGAAGGAAAACCAATCACTGAGATTCAACAACAGCGCAACAGATGGGCAGAGTACTTCGAGGAACTCCTGAACAGGCCGGCTCCAATGAATCCACCGGACATCGAAGCAGCACACACAGATTTTCCTATAAATGTCAATCCACCAACGACAGAAGAAATCAGAATGGCCGTCAGCTGAAGCGTTGAAGTCAGACATCGAAGTAACTACAAACATGCTTCATCTTCTATTCAAGAAGATTTGGGAGGAGGAACAAGTGCCGATGGATTGGAAAGAAGGACACCTCATCAAGATTCCAAAGAAAGGAGATCTGAACAAGTGTGAAAACTACAGAGGCATTACACTACTGTCAATACCGGGCAAAGTCTTCAACAGAGTGTTACTGAACAGGATGAAAGACGCAGTTGACGCTCAACTTCGAGATCAACAAGCTGGATTCCGTAAGGACCGGTCGTGCACAGACCAGATTGCGACACTACGGATCATCTTCGAACAATCAATTGAGTGGAACTCGCCACTCTACATCAACTTCATTGATTATGAGAAGGCATTTGACAGTGTAGATAGGAGGACGTTATGGAAACTTCTTCGACACTACGGAGTTCCTGAGAAGATTGTCAACATTATCCGGAACTCATACGATGGACTACAGTGCAAAGTAGTGCATGGAGGACAGCTGACAGATGCATTCCAAGTAAGGACCGGAGTAAGACAAGGCTGTCTACTCTCTCCCTTCCTGTTTCTTCTGGTGGTCGACTGGATTATGAAGACCTCGACATCTGAGGGAAACTACGGCATACGATGGACAGCTCAGAACCAATTAGACGACTTGGACTTCGCAGATGACCTAGCCCTCCTATCACATACACACGAACAAATGCAGATAAAGACAGCCAGCATAGCAGCAGTCTCTGCATCAGTAGGCCTCAACATACACAAAGGGAAAACCAAGGTCCTCAAACACAACGCGGAGAACAGCAATCCAATCACTCTTGATGGCGAAACTCTGGAAGACGTGGAATCCTTCACATACCTGGGGAGCATCGTCGATAAACAAGGAGGTTCAGATGCAGACGTCAAGGCGAGGATTGGCAAAGCTAGAGCGGCATTCCTTCAACTGAAGAACATATGGAACTCAAAACCACTGTCAACCAATATCAAAGTCAGAATCTTCAATACGAACGTCAAGGCAGTCCTACTGTACGGAGCTGAAACTTGGAGAACTATAACAACCACCATCAAGAAGGTACAGGTATTTATTAATAGCTGTCTACGCATGATACTCAACATCCATTGGCCGGATACCATCAGCAACAGCCTTTTGTGGGAGAGAAACAACCAGCTTCCAGCGGAAGAGGAAATTAGGAAAAGACGATGGAAATGGATAGGACATTCATTGAGGAAATCATCAAACTGCATTACGAGACAAGCGCTAACTTGGAATCCTGAAGGGAAGCGGAAAAGAGGAAGGCCAAAGAACACATTACGTCGGGAAATAGAAGCAGATATGAAAAGGATGAATAAGAACTGGAAAGAGCTTGAAAGGATTGCCCAGGACAGGGTTGGATGGAGAATGCTGGTGAGCGGCCTATGCTCCTTCACGAGGAGTAACAGGCGTAAGTAAGTAAGTAATATCCTCTTCAAGAAGTTACTATCGATTGATCTATTTTTCATTATATTTGGCTACGAATTTTAGATAATTCTTGGGGTTAGCAAAATATTTTTATTGAATTATTTGACCTCTGTGAAAAGGTTTTCGAAGAATATTATACAAAGGAAAAGAATTTTTAAGAAAATAATAAAGGTAATACATGTATAAAATACAGTTACTAATGTTCATGTTTATTACGAGAAATAGATATTATTTTGTCATATCCATTGAACTGTATTTGTTTGAAGTTCAAACTATTCCATAAGCCTTGATACTCCCGGTCAGTAAGTCATTCATAAGATAGGACTTGACTTACATGTGAACTAGTTTAATTCAGTACATTTCACATCAACACGATAAGGTAAGAAATAATTAGAATGGAAACCAGTAAATTAAAAATCACACCGTATAAATGATAGTATCAAGCAAAAGTTAGTATTATCGATATATTGCCATATCGTTTGTGTCCAACTATTTATAATTAACAAACATGAACCGGAACACTTAAACACCGGATACACCTCTGTTTAATATTGTTCGATCAAGAGGTCCTTATGCTAACAACAATTGTAATTCAGATTGTACGGTAGTTAAGATAGCCACCTCGGTCAATGAAAATTCTACCACATACCAACGAACTGACTACTTCTACCAAAATCCCTACGATTAGACTCACTGTTACTCGTTCAATGGTTTTACCATGAGCAGGTGGTATTTAAAAAATATTTATGATCACTTTATATTTCATCTTCAAAAGTCATGAATCAATATAAGAGGACTTCTGTACTCCTGACAAACAAACAAACATCTCACCAGCATCACAGAAGCGGTAAGTTAGTGGAACATAGGCTACAGTTTTGTATCTTAAAATAATTGAATATATCAATCTATGAGACTTTAATTCCTAATGGTTAGACTATGCACTAGTCAGATGATGCTAATTGAAGAACTTTGCTACACTTTTCTAATACCGTCAATGTTAAACAAAATCCACCATTTAATTGATATCCAAACAAAAAACATAGGGAAACTCATTTTCAATTCACCTATCCATAGAAATTTTACGTGATAGTTATGATAGATAAAAAAAATTTGAAAAATATTGTATTACGAAGGAAAATGAATTGATCGGAATGATCGCAATTCAGAACAGAAAAAACTGATAAAAATGCAAGGATATTAAACCAACACAAACCATCTAAGTGAGTTGAGATAATAATTAACTTTGCAATATAAAAATATTCTCCTCTAGAAAAAAAGAGAAGAAAAACAAAAGTATGCATTTAAATTACATCGATTGGTATTGAGTCATGGGATGGTATGGCGTTCTCGATAACTTATTTTCTTAATCTACAGAACAGGAAGTGTGAAATCAAAATTTCCGACAACTAAAACTGATAGTCTACAGCCTAATAAGTTTATGCTATATTTTAGTTTCTACGTATTCATCTTTTGTATTCCTACCAACTTGTACTTTAACCAATAATTAGCTTCGGCGTAAAGAAATACTTGAAATAAGAAATTTTTAACCAGAAAAACAATCAATATGTCTCTATCCGCATCCTGATATACTATATCTACCTGTTCTGACGTTCAACTTGAGCATATTCTGAGATTCCAGCATATGGTAAAAATAGATCGGTTATGATGAAGATTGAGTACATGAAGATCTATATACTGAGATAAGAATAGTTTTAAAAAATTTTTGAAGCATAAGTAAAAGTCACCTTTAACTCAGTAGTTGATAAACTACTAATCGAATCCGTAATCTGTTTAAATGTACAGTCGATTGTTAAATACGTTGCGATTTTACTCTGACTGTTACAAATTTTGTACACTTCATGTAAATCACAGAAAATAAACAAACTAATTTTCTGTGTTTCAACTTTTATTCATATATTTAGGATCCACTGGAGTATTGGTTGGGTACTATGACATTATGTCTGCTTTCCTTTATAAAAACGAAAAAGTGTATATCTCTCATTTACAAAACAAACAGATACTTTAACTAGTAAATGAAATGATACAAAATCATGGTTATCGGTTGAATATCGGTGTTCAAGATTTTTAGGTACCATCTACTATTTAGTAATGTAGGAATGATCAGTCTGAATATGGTAACCACTAACATCTTACAATGTCTTAGGAATATTTACATCATTTCTGTATGTAAGCTAAGTTCTCACGCAAAAGAAAGTATAAATTAAAGGAACCAATTTAACCTACTGGATGAGTTACGTAATAATGATAGACATGCTTCAATTTTTACTTGTTCAATCTGTAAAGAAATAGAAGTGCGAAAAAAAGAGAACTATTTAATGTGTGCTAAATATAAAGAAAAACACATTAATAGGGAATTGTAAATATGAAATTTGAATCAACTGCATTGTTATAAAGAAATTTGTATCATATATACAACTAGTAAATATATATACAATTAAAGGAGAAAAATAGCGAATAACTGAATTCATATTATTTCACTATAACCGTAATTCTTAATTTATTCCAAAATTAAATGTTTAAAAATAAACATTCATAAAAAAAGTTTCATAGGAAAGACTAATTACATCCTACTATCAGATAACGACTGAAGAAAATACATCTCGTGGTCTCTTATATAACTACGATGATAAAACAGATTGGAACGGTATTTTTCGGTCAGTAATGATGTCAATTATTCGATAGCAACATATACTCTGAAAAAATTTTTAAGTTTATAAAGTTTCTGACTCCACAGTCATGTATTACATTTCATACACGTATTATGTAACTTTGAAAAAAAGAAATATCTACTTGTTAAATTTCATTGTACTCTTATTATATTGATCAATTCATAAGCCAATTATTCCGCAGAAATTTGTTTAGAATTTTACAACAACATTCTGACTGAATTATTATGCAAAAAGTACAACTAATGTTCTTCCAGTCTGTGACAAAAGGGTAAATGATTAATAAATTTTTGGTTAAAACATTATATTGAAATTTGTACAGCATTGGAAAATGACATTTTTTCTAGAAAAGGAATAACATACATTTAGCATACAAGCAGCATACTTTCTAATCAGAACCGATTTAAGTATATATATATATATATATATATATATATATATATATATATATATATGGTTTTAAAGAATGAAAAGCAGTACCTTCTGATGGTAAAACGGTGTTATTTCACCCAGTTTCATTTAAGTGATTGCCATTAAAAGTTGTAAACTAAGCCTATATGTTCAGGTGTAAATAACTGTCAGATCATGATTTCAACCAGTGAAAGATCATTATTGCCTTAATAATTTGAATTTTTCGGAGGTTTATTTGCTATGTAACTAATTAATTATTTGTTATCAAATTCACTTCAAGAGTATCGTTGTGGTCATTGTCTGATTCTCTCTTACCTTAATTTTTCAGATGTGTCTAAATCTCATTTCATAATTCAATAATGCATGTTGTCAGCATTTGATTCTGGTCAATCGATGGTTTTTACACTTTCCAGAGCAACATTCTAATGTTTTTATACAATAACGACTTTACTAATCACTTTAATAATTTCAAATATAAAACTTTATGTATCGTTTCATCCCAATCAATACGCTTTGTAGATGTTATTATAGTTTTAGGCAGTTGACAATAATCTATATATCCTATCGTGAATTTCTATCAGTTTTTGACAGTTGTTTTTCTATTTATTTTTTAAAATGATCAAGAACGATTACAAATATTTTAAAGTTTCAGGACATCTTTCTTGTGTTCAGTACAATCGTAGTGCCCAAAGGGATAACACTATCGCGTTCAAAAGCAACTGAATAGCATTGATTAGAAAATAAATAAACATTATTATTGAAGTAGACTAGTGGTAACATTGCAACGCGGTCGATAGAACTCGATCAAGAATAAGGACTAAAGTGGGATGACAAATGGCTACTAAACAGTGATTAGTTAGTTCAAATATTTTATATCAATAATCTTATAACAGTAGTGTTGTTCTTATTATCTCATTGATGAATAAAACAGTTATATCATTAATCAAACTGATTAGCTACTTAGCATTAAGTAATATCTTTTAGTTTAATGTTATGGACTACTATTTTTAAATTTCTATTTTTAATTTTAAAATATTGCAGTACCTGATGAAATTTATTTTAAGCTGTCAACATTCTTCCTCTTTAATGTCGACAAAAACTTTTTATGAAGTATTTATTATTAAGGTTGAATTTACAATATAATTTTTCGTGTTCATGAATTTCTATTTTGATGACATATTGTCAAAAATATTTTTTCCGCCTAGTGGGAATTTCTTTTTATTTCTTTTTATCATACAATGAAAAAAAATTATTCAATGAGTTTTTCTCTGAAAACTTCTTTTGACATCCTACCGATAGATAATGATATAGAACTATTCTAAAAGGAAATTATTATTAATCGTTAAAAAGTAGTTTTTGAACGATAGCCGTTAGTTATTTAGTTGTTGAAAGTTACTACTATATATATTGTAAGAAAATAATTAAGGAGGCAACTAAATATGTTGGATAATTGGTGAATAGTGCTAACATCTACCCATCGGAAATCGTATCTAACAGTAAATTACTGAAGTTTATAAGGTTGCTATAAAAGCCTTTCGGCAGAATACAGCTAATGACAGAAAGGTTTTTAGCTTCACCAGCTTTAGAGTACAATCGTGCTTGTGTATTCTGTTTTGCTTTAAACTATTTATACTTGGACTAATAAACTACCCTCTTGTCAAAATAAAATTGAATGAAACAGAATTCAAGATTGAGACATACTGTAGTGAACAAGAATACCAGTGGGGACAATCGAATGTACCTGACATGAAATTACAAGACTTGTTAATAAAATCTAACAATCATATAGTAAATGCTTAATTTGCAAAATGTGGACCAAGTGTCTCGAAATGACTCAGACTTCATTGTTCTTGCATTTTGATACAAATTGCATTCTGTTTCCATTATTTACTATTCGATCCTCTTGTCTCTCTGCTGCCAGATATTCTGTTCACGACTAACGTCATATACTTATGTCAATATAAGTAGCACACACCACAATACTACTTAAAACATCAATGGTTTAACTATTAAGCCACCTCCCCACTGTTTAAGAGCTATTTTTAACTATTGAAAATTAATAGAATGAAAGGCTTTTGAACAACGTCGAATTTAAAGAGAGTTACTTTGATTGAATCTCCACTGAAAAACAAAGTAAGACAGCTGTTTCATTTTAGTACCGAACTACTCAGCAGTGACCATGCATAACTTAATCGAGGATCGAAATTTGTACTAATATAGCATTGTGGAAAGCGCTTTAATTTTAGTCTGTTGAGGTGGTGTTCAGTGTTCCCTAGTTTTCACCAATTGTTCAGATAATGCTAGGCCAACATGTAGGTTATGTTCATAATACAAATTGGCTGATAAATTTCACAGGTATGATAACTAGTGCAATCTGGTTTTATAGTCTTTATCATGAATTTATACTAGCTGGACAACAATCGTGAATCGAGAAGCCCCTGACAGCTGTTTCGTACTGCTATGGAAAGTTCCAGCAGCATTCATTCTAAGCCACACCAGGAACCGAACCCAGAATTTTTGGGTCTTGAAATTAGCCTCCAACCTTAAGATCACTTAGTTGTAATACATTTATAACCTAAACTAATTTGAGATGTTACTCAATTATCATCCAATGTCATTAGTGAATAAATACCTCATTCCTGACATGTCCACTGTTCATGGCCTTGCACTCAGAGATGCATTTAACTGAGGAATTCTATACTAGGATAAGACAGCTAACCAATACTTCCTGGTTTTCAGTGGTTTTCTAATTAACGTCAGTTTGTGATTCAGACTAAGATTCAACAATCTCCACAAATCCCCATATATTATGAACCCCTACCTTTATTGTCTGTTCTTGTAACACACATAGAAGATTATCCAAAAAAATCATTTGGTCGTCTCTAGATAAATTGAATGTGTTTGAGATATAATGCAAATATTAACACATGAAAAACAAATAAAAAGAAGCCAATGTTATACCTTTTCACGACGTATAGCAAATTGTAATTCTTCAACTTTATTCTCAACATATTCTTGATTGAATGCTAATAGTTCATTATTATTTTCCGTTTCCTGTGAAAGAAAGTTTCACGTACATAAATTCCCCAGACATTACAAAATAAAAAAAATAGGAAGTATATATGTCCAGTTAATTTGAACCGATCACTTTTACACCGGAGAGAGTAGGTACGATACAATTTTTCTTTAGTAATATTGTCATAAAGCTAACGTTTAGTCTATTCTGGATATATTCTACTTACTGTGTTTATTTGGACGAATCTACACTCTGAAAATAGGAGAACTAAATCAAAAGTCCAGCGCTCAAACTATATTGCTGGGTATAAATGCTCTACTTGCAGTATTCTTAAAAATATAAATGCCGGTTAGTAGTTTAAATGGGCTAAAATAACTTAGAAGAACAAATAACGTATGAACTTAATTTACTATCTGCTTATGATGAAAACATATCCTGTAATAATGTGTCATCGTCTTTGGCTTGAAGATTAGGTCAATAGCTTAATATAGGACATTTTAAAAAACTAGCTGTTTTGGTTTGAGCCTGAAGATAGTATAGCAATACTCATATAAATTATGAAACATCCTTATTACTAATTTGTCTATTTGTAGTGTCGGTTTTTCTTATTCGCTTAACCTAAACAATTTACTTTCATGAGTTTCTCACTTGCTTTGAAATTTAATCTAACTTTTGTGATGTTAGCAACCTTGGAAAAAATACAAATGTCTATTTCATATATCTACAGTTCGAAGAACGTCAATTTCCATAGATAAATGTGATAATAATCCGCTAATAATTGCGTAATAATACACTGTTTTAATAGAAAATCAATTGCGTTACAATTTATCAGCATGTACCTAGAAATTCCTCGGTAAAAAATAAAACATGAATTTTTATGATAAAATCGTAGCATCTATACTGATCACTAAACAGGAAGAATGTATTTGTAAAATCTCAGCGAATGAATTCGAAGTAAATCATATGTTCAAAGATATTTCTTTGAAAAAGCTTGAACCAGATTACCAGGTGAAACATTGGATTTACTTCAAATTCATTCGCTGAGATTTTACAGATACATTCTTTTTCTTTAATGTCTCACATCAACTCGGCGCCCAAATACTGTGGAAATTTATACTAATTTTTTTGCATTTGATGAAGAACGAAGGAGTTCCTATTAAAATTATTCTTTTACATTAATTTTTGAAAGTTTCAGTTAATTTTACTGAAACTATTAATAAGTTCATAAATAAATAAATACCATAAATTTACGAATAAGAAACGAAATTTACGAAATAAACATTATCCACAGATATATACAGTAATAGTTGTGTAATATGATGAAATTTTACTTGTGAAGATAAAGTGTAATCAGGATTAAAATAGAGAAAGAAAGAAAAGAAAAACAAATCAACATCAGATTGTGATTGTTAAACTTGCTTTACAAAAACTAAAAACAAAAAAAACCCTAAGAAGATTTCTGTTGTACATATTCATTGATTTTCATAGGTTCGCAGGTACATTCAGCTAAAAAGTTTCAAACAAGGCCGAGACGTATCCTACATTTCACAACTAGTTATAACGCATTTACTGAATTGAAATTTATCAATCTTTTGGTTAATAAATGTCCAACTTATGCAATCAGAAACGATATATTAGAACATAAGAAAATAGTTTTAAAAATATCAATAAAAATACATAGATTCAATAAAATAACTATGCGTAAGGTTATAAATTAAGTAGAAAACCAAACGAAGTATTTATAGACTTAAGGAATACATAGAAATTTGTTTAAGGTACAGTAAAATAATTAATGAACCCTGGTCGTGATTAACAATTCTATATCATAAAAAAGAAAGCTGAAATCAATACTAACACAAACACATTACATTCGACCAACTCACCGAATTAGTTGGTTGTTGTTGTTGTTGTATTTGATGATTAGATCCAGTCATCATACTAGACACTGGAGTAACATAACCAGCCTGTAACATTTTCATTTCATTTTCATATGATTTAATACATCTCTCGCGTATCACCAATCGTCTTGAAAGTTTACGTGCGATTTGTTCCAAATTACTTTCATTCGTAGCGGAGCACAGCTTTGTTGTCTAAATTTATATAATAAATAATGGAGAGAAAATAATTTAATAAAATACTGACCTAAACATTATAATGAGCAGTAACAAGACAGAAAAGGTATTAAATTTGTTTACAGTATTAGTTATGGGTATTTGCGCACAAATAAACTTAGTCAACGCCCTTTTTCCGTAGTTATACCATATTTTTCAGCAAACAATCACCTGAATTTTACACTCAGCAAGTGTATGCAATACAGCTACATTTTATTAATATGTTGTTTTGTGTCTTCTCGTTCTCATACAATCTGTATAGCACACTAGTCACTTGATTAAACTATTTATAGCATATTTTATTCATTAAACGATCCATCAAATAAAATGAACATTTTTTATCTTCATTACGCAGATGTATATAACCGCTGTACTATTAATCTATTTTTCTTTTCATTTGGCAGATAAAATCGTAAAGTTGCGAAATGAGCATGAACTTTTTGTTAAATTTCAGTTGGTTTGTAATTAGACCATTACCTTTCATCAAATGTTATCAGCATGTACGATTGCACAATGTTGTACAGAAAAAATAAATGTACGGTATTTCTAAGTCTTTGAAAACTTTTTCAAATTAATCTCAATCCATGATTCATGGTACTTCATCCTAACTTATGTTTGGCATATAAGTACTTTAAGAAATAACGCCTCTCCTATCAGGAGAGATCACTTGCTGACTTAGAATACTCAGAGAACGGTCCTGGATCGTGAAGTTGGTTGTGCACTTTGAAGTTATTGAAGATTCATTTACTGTGGTTTAAACCTTACTATTTGTATGACAATAAATGATGCTACAAAGCTACACAAAGTGGAGTATGTGAGATAGATTTTGAACCTGCAAGTCACTGATCGAAAACTGAAAAAGTGCAGATTCTTCTGGTGGCCTAAAGAGACAAAGCAAGAACGGCTGGGATGCATACGTTTCCCTATAAGCATAAAATATTGCTTTGGGACTGGTGTGCGTCAACGCTTGGACTGATGATAGAGAGTTAAATAGTTAAGGGAGTTGAGGGGCAAACAAACTAAGATGTAGTATCAGTGTGTAGAGTTATTAACTGTTGGTCTAATCAATGTCAATGAGTGTAGACCATCTGGTTTGAAGCCGTGGTATTATCGTGAATAATTGTTGGAGACGTTGGTTAACATTCATTCCGAGAATTAATTGTTATTTCTAAAACGGTGTTCTCTATCTGAAGTCTCTTTTGCTTATGGAGAACGCTCAGCTGATTTTGCAACATCAAGTGTTGTCCGTCAAGGCTGTCCACTATCTCCATTTTTGTTCAACTTCATCGACTGAAGTCTTGGGAATTGATCTCCTTCCAGGAGGTCCACTAATTGACTTAGAATACACAAATGACACAGTCCTGTTTGGTGAAGACGCTGATAAAATGCAGAGTCTTCTGGTAGCACTGAGCAACAATGCCAGAATGTTTGGGATGAGCTTCTCTCCCTCTAAACGCAAGTTCTTGCTTCAGGACTGGTCTGCGTCAACACCTGAACTAAGGATAGGGAGTGAAGTAGTCGGACGCATCGACAACTTCACTTATCTTGGAAGTTTGATCAGCCCTAGTGGGTTGGTGTCTGACGAAATCTCAGCACGGATTCATAAAGCTCGTTCGGCTTTTGCCACTTACGTCACCTGTGACGAAGGCGAGATATCCGTCTATCAATAAAAGGACGAGTATACTGTGCAGTAGTTCTTTCTTTTTTACTTTGTGGCTGCGAAAGGTGGCCACTAAGAGTAGAAAATATTCGTAAGCTACTAGTATTTAATTACAGATGTCTTAGAAATATTGCTGGCATCTGCTGGGATCGTCAGGTAAGTAATAGTGAGGTTAGATACAGGGTATTAGGGAATGATGATAAATCAGTAAATGAGGTTTTGAATTTTCATCGATTGAGATGGTTGGGCCACGTGTTGCGTATGCCTGAACACCGTTCACTACGACGTGCGATGCTGACTAGTGTTGGAGACGGATGAAAGAATGTTAGGGGCAGCCAAACCAAAACGTTGCATCAGTCGTTGAAGTCACCGACTTCTAGTCTGAGCCAAGTTAGTAGATGCAGACTACTTGGTTGGGGTCCACGTGACTACCGTAACCAATGGTTGGAGACTGTGGGTGACATGGTTCAGAATCGATCACACTAGAGTAAATGTATACACTCTTTTTCTGCCCTTAAACCTTGAGATTAAAATTGCTTTATATCTTTATTTCTAGGAAATAATTCTTCTCCATGTATTATATCCATATATGAAGTCTTTTTTACTATCATTGAAGTAAATGTTTCTATAAATTTGTTCATATTGTTGTGCTTATGAGGTGTGGCAACTTGGACTGATGCATATATGTGCCTAGTCCTACGTTGTGGCTTACTGACTGACTTTTCTACCAATGCTGATACTATTGTTTCTACTACTTTGGTACAAATACTGATAAATTCATTTTTTTATCCTGATGTGGTGTGGCTAATTGTTTATAACTGACTGACTAATAATCTAGTTATGACAGTAAATTGAAATATAAAATGACTAAATTTAATTTCTGTTTCAGCAATTATGTTGTTCTCATATTCAATCGAAAATCTGTATAATTCATTCAGAAAAGTGCAAACAAGAACATATCACATTTAAAATGAGACTTCGAAGCTAATATATGGTTACTGGTATTGTTTTCCTACAAAAACTATTTCATACCATAAGCAACGTGTTTGAATTGTACATTTTAAGGATGGCATAGATGACGCTATAACTTAATCACACGGTTATCTTTAGTTACATATTGGTATGTTTTCTGGACATTAATTATAGATTTCATATTAAGCATTGTAAGGAAAAATTTGCCTCAAACGTATTAAACGTGTAATGGATCACGCTTTATAATACCATTAATATTGAAATATCAGAGGTATTATCATGACAGTTGTCTAAAAGATCTATCGAAAAATTTACTCATAACCAATTCCTTTAAAACCAATCACATAGAAAACGTTTGTTGAATAATATTCGATTGTAAAAATATGAACAAGTAAAAGACATATCCATTGGTTTAAATTTACCTCGTCTCCTTTAATTGGTTCAAACTGATATTGAACGGGTTTATTAAAAAGTGGTGATAATTTTAGAAAATCTTCCCAAGCGTTCGTGCGGTTAATCTATTTGATAATAGTTATTAGTTATTGTGACATTGATGAGGAAGAAAAACAATTACATAGCGAAGTAAATAGTTAAATTATAGTTGGAAAAGTAAATGGTTCACACCATATCATTTAACGTTGTGAACATTTAAATACTGGCCACACAATCAAAATATTTTTGACAGACATATCGAGAGGGCTATATGTTTGGATTTTAATTGAAATAAGTCCTATAAAAATGATTAATTCTCATAAAGTCAGTTTTATTTAAATGGAAAAAGCTAATTACTGATATGAATGTTGTAAATTATTATTCATACAACTAGGTGGAGTAACGTTGACTGAGTTGTTAAAATGCTCAGCTTTTAACAAATAAGTTATAGGTTCAACCTTCTCTCTGTCCAATTTGGTTTATAAATCTAGGGAATAAAAACAGTAGTCCTTACGTAAACAATGTGGTGTGAAATCAAGTAAAAATGTCTGTATTTCGTAAATGTGTAACACTGAACTATCAAATGACATGTTTCGTTGATTGGTAACATCTTACTAATGAACAATACGAAGTTCATCCCTAATTTCCAGATCGTCTCAATAATAAAATCATCATACAGTATAATGTTTTAAAATTTATACGAATTGAGTAACAGGACTAAATATTAAAATAATAAATCTAATTTAGTGAACTGAAGAAACCACAATTCCTAAGATATATTTCTTTTATTTACTTAAACTTCATTTGTAATTATATTTATATGAACTAAAGCCATCAATATTGTTTATGTGGCTAATCTTTTAAGTTATAGAGTTTCCTTTTAAACGAATCAAGTAAACTCAACTAAATAGTTGCACAGTATTTAAATTTAACGCTAAACAGTAATTAAAATAATTATGAATTTAAAAATGTCAAACAATTAGAATCTAACTGTTTATGAAAAACATTTTAATAATTAGCCTATGTAAATTACATGTCAACTGAAATTCAAGTAATATTAAGGAACTCTTTCGTTCTGTCACATGCTTTTTAACAGTTTATACTGATCCAACCAATGGTCTTAAAATAATTTGAAGATTGATTTGTCAACCACCACTGAATATTTTACATGATCTAATTCATCATATAATGTGATTTATTCCCTAATCTTACATTTGCTACCCCAATCACTTAGGACTCAGCAAGATAAGATTTTGTGTCAAAGTATTTACAGTTTTATTTTAAATATAGAATCAACGTACAGCTTTGGTTAAAAGTAGATTACAAGTTTGAAACATTCTTAATCCAAGTGGTTTAACGTTACGACGTAGTAGTAATAGTCTTCACAAACTCACTGAGGTTTAGAGCCAATACTCTTTAGTCAGATTTAGTAAATGAATTGCATACCTTCTAGCATATTCGAGCATCCTACTTTGAATTGAATCGAATTCGTTTAACCTATCCTACGTTCTGTTATGATAAGACGTTTATGCGAATTTCAGAAGAAATATAGACTTGCTTTTACATGAGGTATGTCCTGAAAATGAACCTCGGTTGGCAAGCATAAAGATCCCACTTTACGGCTTACCTATCACCTATATTTAGCTAAACAGTGTTAAATATTTGACAAAGATATTAACATATCTTGATTGGAAATAAAATATGATTTTTTGATTGAAATATTCTCATAAACATTCAGAGCATCAGGAAAACTTGAAATACTTACCAGTAAATGATTTATAAATTTTTTTAAATAAAAGAATAATAGACTAATTTGATGAACTCTTACTTGTGAGGATTCTTTGAAAAGATTATCAAATCGCTTTTGTGTAATTGTACAGAATTCAATTTCATTTTCACAAAGAGTTGTAAACACTTCACCTAATTTTTCATATAATTCTCCATCTAAAGTCTACATAAAAGATGAAATCAACAGTAGGAGCATTATTAAATCAATAAGTTCACAGTTTAATCTTATACTTCTTAAAGTTGATAATTTATTGCTGATCGTAATATAGGAGTTCATTATCTAATTTTCAAATAATCCAAAATAATGTATCATATTAGACAGAATCACATTGATGAATAACAATCTTCTACCGACAATACTTATCGCACAGTCAGTCTTTGAACAGCTTGACTTAATGACATAATTATGCTGTCATATGTCACAGTTACATAATTGACAATGGTCAATAAAACAGTAAATAAATCTCTATATAGCAGGGGTATATTTTTATATTATAGGAATATTAAAATTTTACAAATAAAATCTTTTAAAGCATATGTGATGATATACAAGGTGATTCAAATACTGAAATAATCGAATCGCATTTTCAACATTGCGACCATCACCCAACATTATACGTAGTCATGTAATCCTATTCACTTGACTAGCTATTATTCATAATATAACTCATTTATTAAGTACAGATTTATGTGTTCAGAGATAAAAAGTGACGAAAATTCAGACTGATTGTTATGCTTAAATCGGGTAGATCAATACAAATACTACCAAAAAATATTATCTTTCTGAATTCTTAATCGTGATGTATATACCGATCTGTCACAAAACACTTTTAAGTATACGTGCTTATAATAGTGTTACACTGGTGAACATTTCGAACGACTTCTTGAATGAAGTTACACTGACTCTCGTTTTTCTCATTTGAAGTTTTACATTTCTTTTATGAGAAATTGAACTTAATGAAAGTTTTACCAACAATGAATATTCTCGTTTCAATCACTCAGTAACTAAGTGTATCCGACACTTGAAAAACCAGTAGTTGCGTTTTGATTTATTTCTTCAAGAGATGCTATTCTAATAAAATTTTCGATTTCCTAAACTCTAAGCTTACAAGTAGTCACATTTTTATGTTACGTAGCCCTTATTTTCGTGATTAAACTTGTATTTTCTGTTTCATTAAAACTTATGTTGAGACTTGAATGAACAGTCTTATAAGCATCAGGTATTAAGTTCATAGTTAATATTAGTTAGAAATTACATTTCAAGGATTAGAAATGAATCGCTTAAATATTTAACGTGATTGAACAAATTTATCCTCATTATTGAGACTTATAAATTTAATTAACATTTATGCTGTTGATTGTGATATTAATTTTCTTTTTTAAAATCATTTGCAATATAACGTAGGTGTCCTTGGATTTTCGGTGGTTGATTTTTCAGTGTATGTAAGTCAGTGATGAAAACTATACTCGGATTAGATTATTTGTTACAAATTAGTAAATAATTAAAGAGTCAATTGGTGGGGATATACAAATTCATTAACTGAACTGAATAAAACAGGAGTACGCTGAATTAAAGCTAGAGGTGACGAGAATAATAAATGGTACCAACTCACAAATTTACTGACTATTAGCCTGCGATGTATCCATAGATGAAAACATTATGGTTGATCACCACGTAATAGCTGTAGTCGATGTTTGGTGACACAGCATAAAAGTAGTCTTAGTGACGTATTTTCGTTCATTCTATATCTTCCCTTAAATATCGAGTTCATTTTCATTGTATGCATTTCATCATTCAGTTCTGATGGCTCATTTAGAAGAACATGTTTTGTGTTTATCTATGCTCTATAGTTGAAATTGTTTTCCATACAATCTGCTAGCTTGTAAACCTTCTATCTCACGGTGCTAATATATGTTTTAAGTCGGTTGTAACCGGGTGATCAATATTTCAACTATAAGGTGTTATTTAATCAAAGCTATATAATAGTAAAAATACTTACCTTTGCTAAAACAGGTAAATCTTCACTGAAGTAATGTTTTAAGTGGGCATTGATTGCGGTCAATTGAAAGAGATATTCATTTCTGGCAGTAGTTGATCTAGAATCAAATGCTTGGCGTTTACCTAGGAGCTAAAGGGATAAAACAATGTATGATAGGATAGCTTGAGCCATTGGTATGAAAAATACTAAAATACAAAGTCTCTAAGAATGTTTTTGAATGAAACTGACGTTAAGGAATATGCTCCGTAAATATCTTTGTCCGATTAGTAGATGGTTTCTTAACGTGGGTCGATATCAGAGGGAGAAATTTAAATAACTAGGAAACGTTGAGTAGCTTTTTGTTTTATCAAAAAGTAACTCAATTAATTTTGCACTTTCAAAGAACAAGATGTTCCAATTTATCAAACGGACAACGTTAAATTACAACATGAGATGTCTACAAATAATTTTTAAATGGCAATTATTCATATTAAATAGTTAAAGCCGGTATCTTCAAAAGCAATGTCGTTTCATAAAGTGCACAGTTGTTTATATATATATATATATATATATATATATATATATATATATATATATCACTTTTTTGTATTGCAGTAATTCAATTAAACTGTCGATAATTGGAAACAAGAAAATATTATCAAACACGTTCCTTACCTTATCATAATTCTTATGTAACTGCGCCATGGAATGGAATATATCAGTGGATCGACGTTGAATTCTTTTAATAAAAGTTTAAAGTGGAACAACTATTATCAAATCATTATTGAAAAAAACCACTTTAAAAACAATAAATCTTTGGTAAGTATAACATATTAATTGCGTAAATAAGAACTTTCGTCTAAATTTGACCGAATAGTTTCATAGTATTTGGGTGCCGAGTTAATGTGAGACATTAAAGAGGAAGAATGTATTTGTAAAATCTCAGCGAATGAATTTTGAAGTAAATCCAACGTTTCCTTGAAAAAGCTTGGACCAGATTGTCAGGCGAAACGTTGGATTTACTTCAAAATTCATTCGCTGAGATTTTACAAATACATTCTTCCCCTTTCATACTAATTACATGTTGGAAAAAAAAATAGGAAAACCATTTTGTGTTAAATTTGACCCTAAACAAATTTTTTTAGATCTGATTTGCTTTTATTTTTAATAATGAATTTGTTTCATCATTATTAAAAAAATATTTCATTATTGTTGTTAAAAAAGATAATTAGATGTGAAAATTACTTATTCATAAAGTGTTTGGTCAACCAGAAGAACATACAGTAAGAATTTTTGTACACTATATCGTTTTAATACATTTAAGGTTTATAAAAATCCTATAAATATTTTGTTACACCTCATATTACTTTGTCGAAACTTTAGCTTTGTGGTTAGCGCACTTTGGCTTAAACCCCTGTTACATAACTTCAACTACTAATTCATCTCATTTTTTATGACGGTGAATTAGTAATCTCGGCAGTTCAAACAAAAAGTATTACACCAAGCCTAGTACATGAATCCAGATTCCATACATTTTTTGTAGTCCTTCACATATCTACGCAACAAACATGAACTACAAAGGATGTCTATTTTACGAACGAATGTATTGCTTACAAGATGATTGTTTCATTGCCCAAGCTGTATTAAAATATTTTAGTGAATATCTCAAAAGATGTTGCATGAAACATCCAATCTAAATATAAGCTTATGTAAAGTAAAAATCACTAAAAAGTGAATTTTATTAGCAATTAACGTTACTAAGAAAAGATGATTTTCGAAAGTTTTGGACATTAAGAAATTCATTATAGGTGAAACCACTTGCTCTATTAGAAACTAATCAATAGTTATTATAAGGAAAGTCTTATGCGGTTTTTTAACGAAACTTTTAGTACGGTCAAATAGAGAATATATATAAAAGTATTTATTTTAGTCTTGCAGCACATGATAGTTTGTAATCACGTCATTAAAGGGTGTTTGGTCAGTAATACTTACTAAATTAAACAGAATAAGCTAAGATCTGCAAGTTTACCTTCCATCTGTATAGTAGATGTTTAGGTTAAACTTAATTTACAGCTAAACTTGTTAGTATAGAAACAGTGTCAAATTCTTCTTGCTAAGTCAGAATTTTTTCTGACTTTACTACAGTTTATCATATTGAACGACTTGAGTTGATTTCACATTTACGTTAGTTTATTAATTGTACGTTTCTATTTTGAACAACTTTAATTTTATTACTCTAAACAAACATTGCATTATGCTTTTTTTAATTGTAATAGATTTGATTTTTAGAAGTTAGTAATGCGGGGTTTTAGCTAGTATAATACATAAATAATATAAAGTTAGGTATATAAACTATTAGACAAATTTAAGAACATAAAATAACAGAGAATTCTCCATTAAATGTTTAATGCTCCCTTAATATTCGATAATTAATCATGACTGTATTGATTTCTGATTGGATAGTCAAATTTATCAGTGAAATAGTACCAAGTCTTAAAAAACAGTAAACAATCATGAATTTCATCTTAAATGTGAAATCTATTATGGAAGAATTTGCTAAGAAATTGAAGTGGAACTAAATACATCTATTTAGATCACTTATAATTGTTATTTTGTTTCATTTACATCTGGTTAAAAAATGAAAACGTCAAAACCAATTAAATTTAAACTCTTACTTTTCTTTAGCAGCCAATGTTTTTAAACGAGTTTCTTGTGCTTGCTTCTCTTCTTCTGCATAAACTTTATGAGATTTCACCATTTCTTGAACACATGCAGCTAGATCTCCCTGAAAAATAAAACAAAACAACACAGGAACTAATTACAAATTAACATGAAAAACCAAGGAAAGTCATCATCATTTGTACGTGATGTTTTGTTTCCCTAGTTGATACAATCTGATACAGAGAAACTTCAACTGTTATTGTATTGCGTACTACTTATACTGACAGATAGAAGTAGTGTATAGCAGCAATCGGATGTGAAATGCCTGTTAACAGAAGATTGGCAAGACCAAGTTGGAAAGAACAGGAAGAGAAATAGAGAGTAATTGTGATAAAAACTGGACTGGAAGAATCATGAAGTATATAAAGAACAACTGAAAGGTGTTCAAATGATGTGTTTAATGTAGTTTTCATATTTTATGAATGCACTCTGTAAATTCGTACTGAATAATGAGTTGGTTTTCCACATCTCAGTCCTTTGTTGACCACAGTATGATTTGCTTCATAAGACATCCACCGTGAATGATGTGTGACATATTGAGCTGCTCAAACGGAATCAATGTCATTGACTGTGAAGAATTATTAGATCGCGAAATCATAATCCTCTATAAACATTTTTAGTTAGCGTAAAATTACAATTTTAAACCATTGAATGATTGGTGATTGGTTTGCAATAACTAGAAATATGATCGATGAGATTATTCAGATCACATGTTAGCATGAATTAAAGTCTAAGGCAGGGCGGTTTCTAACTAAGTTTAAAATGTTGACATCTAATTATACATTTAACTGAACACACTCCTTTCAAATATCAATACATTCTGTGACCTTTTCAATAAACTGAAGTACTCAAACATACTAGTTTAGTGATTCTGTGCCCATTTTCCTTAATTTTTATGAGCAATGAATTAGAGAACTAATTTACTAAGTTTCATAACACTTCACAACAGCTATACGGGCTCAGATTATAGATAACACTGCCGTCTGAAGTAAATCTTGATATTCTTTTAAGCTTATTACTTATTTGTGGACATATTTATAGTTTCTGTGATAACCATGATCAGGAGATTCCTTATCAATGGTATAAATTCAAAAGGAAAAATAGATAATGATCCGACTCAAATAAGAAGTCATCGGGTTTTTGTCTAGAAGATCTACTCAATGACCACCAATTCTAAATTTACTCTCAATATGCAAGTGCTACGTTTATCTGCAGCATAAATAAAAGATGTATTAACATTCAGATATATAGAATAATAATATTCACTACAATATATTGTCATTAGGTTTTACACTTAGGAATCTAAATTAGTGATTCAAAAGAATAGCCAAATTTATTGCAAATACATCTTTTAAAATTTTAGCATATGAGTTTGGTGATTGTTAATTCACAATTAAACTTTTCGTTTATACATCCATTTTTAATGTGATGAGCATTTTTAGACAGATGTGTATGATGCTCATTATAAACTGTAGTTTTTTTTATAGAGTAACTGAGACAGTATACGACTTAAAAAAATTGATCAAGTGCTTTTAAACGAGGACAAAGAGGAATAATAGAAAGAAAGTGTAATTCGTAATTAATATAACTACTTAGTATAATTATGTTCTAAAAGGTTTATATATAAACCAAATGGGTTAATCACAGCAAAGAATGAGAATTAGTAAGTTCAAAACAAAAATATTTTGGTTTTAGGAGACTAACCACTTTTTAATACCATTTAAAACATATTGCTATCATGTGCATTTTTACATGGATACTCATTCCAGGATAAGATTTCTAACAACAGATACCTTACTACAATACTAGTCAAATCAAATGAAAACCCATGAATTTTGGAACAACCGATAGTAGTCATCCACTAATGACATTGGATAAGAATCATGATACACAATAGATTGGATGAAGTTGAAGAATGAAAACTATTAGATCTCAATCCGATTACTGAATGATATCGGACTCAGTGAGACTTGAAAATCCTAGGTTTAATCTCATCTAGGTTCAAGAATATAACTTGTCAATAAATCCCAAATTAGGATAAAAAACCTATCCAGAACTCTCTCGCATAAATTCCTTCATCAATATTAGTGTTCACGATTAATGCTACTTTTAATAATATTTTGGCGAGCCGAAAGAAAATTATTTTTTTTCACTAAATAAGCTTTCAACTAAATTGAAGGTTAATTCAAAAATTAGTAATAAAATAGAAAAAACTACCGATATGATAAGAAGTTAAACATTCTTACTTGAAGGATTTTCAATTGTTCAAATACACGTTTATTAACTGACAGACGCTGAGATTTAAGTGGTTTCAGTTCAGTAGACAATCTTTGTTGATTATCTGATGCACGTAAATGTGATAATGCCAAATTATTCGATTCGGCTAACAATGAATACCATATATGCCATACGTTATGTTGTTTATTGGAACTAAAAAACGGTGGTGATAATAAGGGTAATAATAATAACAATAATAATCAATTTTCATATTTTGTCTCCATGTAAAAGAAAATATATAAGACAATTCTTACAGTATAGTATCATTTTCTGATGAATAAGATGATTGTGTTGTAAATTCTTTCTTTGAAAGAAAACTATTTACAAGCTTTTGCAATGATTGACCATATTCACGTTCGATTAATGCTCTTTGTTTACAATACATTCTAAAAATATAAAATTTATACATAAATAACGCACTGTTGAAAGAAATCTTTTATTTCTATCTAAGTGTTAAAATCCACAAGGAATAAATACAATATTAATGAGTTGACCCTTCATTTTTATCATAATTCTTCTGAAAAATCTATTTGAATTTATAACACTCCATACAAACATAGTCTGTTAGGTTATAATACCCTGATTTAATAATTTATCATTTTATAACTATATTTATATAAATATACAATTCGTTGAGAATCATAACATCTAGCGGTGTTAGTTACCTGAAATAGTCACGTTTAGAGTTGTGAATCAGACGTACAGCTTAAAAAACAATACTTTCCAACTCTATCCAGATGAAATAAACACTAGAATGCTGAATGGTTTTTCCACAATCACGTAAACAATAAACTTCTGACACTTGTACGTAATATGTTCATAAAACTGGAAAACTTTTCTAGGGTAGAAGGTTCATACGTTACATTTCTAAGAGTCATATTTTTGACCATCGGCTTTATGGACTCAAAAATAAGCCGTTTATTGACTGTCTTGTTATCGTATTTCATTGAATAACTGGGATTCCCCCTTCCCAAAAACTTATTATTTCATTTTTTGAAAAGCCATCAAGACCTATGATGGATGGCGCAGTAAATCTTAGCGTCTTTTACATGTTTTAAACATTTAATTTGAACATGAATAGAAAGTTAGTAAAATATATTATGTACACTGGGCAAAATGCCATGAATTTGTAGATACTATTTGACGAGAATATGCTAAATGAAGTAAGTCAGTGGATTACTTCCAACTTTAAATTCTCCTGCAAGTTATTTTGGAATGCAAAATTGGCAAAAACTAGTGACAAGAAGCATTCGTTGTCAACAGCGTACTTAGTCCAAAAAATAATCTTATCATAGTAACAAAGCTACTGCTATCAAATACTGCTATCAATTACTCAGTCAGTCAAACAAACGTTTACTGCATGCTACATATAATGTAGATCATTATAACATTCAAACTAAAAGTCAGTCATGTGATAAAAATGCCTCTGAAAACGATACATTCCATGCCAATTTCAAGAAAAAATCCACTATTTTGTTTGTTCAGGTGTTTGGAAAAAAAACACCTTCCCTAAGACTCAGAATACTTAGATAATTAATCAGAAGTTCTCTGTAAACAGGTAAATAAAGCTTCTAGAAGTTACCAATACGAAATCAATAAACAGGAAACCCTTCCTATTTAAGCAGTCTGTCATACTTTCAATTTTTAGCATGAACACTGACGCCAACTAAATTACAGATACATTCAACAGATGAGTCTTAAATAGAACAAAATACGCATCCTTTACTCCTTTGCGCCCAATTCAGTGCTGTTAAAATGAAGTGGGACATTTAGTTACAAACAATGTTATGAAGGCTATTATCTCAAGTATGAATAAAACGCAAGTTTAGCAGTTTCAAGAATGAACTAACATAGATATTCACGGTCAATGTGTTTCCAAGATAAGATACAATCTACGGAGAAACAAGTTAGTCATTTTTGAATATGTGTACGATTTATTCAGGTACGATTATTTCCAGTTTTAAAAATAACAAGAAGAAAATGCAGGAATAAATATAATCCAATACCAACTAACCTCAGATCATCTAATAATTCTGTTTCTGAAGCATTTTTGCTCTGAAGTTTGGCATAGTGTTCATTGTGAATAGTTTTTAGTTGGTTAAGTGGTTTCATTGACTGGAAGAAAATAGTAATACAAAAAGACCATAATGTAATATCTAAATTCGTGTCAGAAGTGTTCATAATTTCCAACAGCGTTTTAAGACACATAAATGTGCGTGTACGTGCGTACAGTATTAAACAATAAGTGATCAATAAAAATGACCCTTTACTTTACTTAATAAAGTCGGATCCATTGGACATGACTCCATGTTCTTTAATAAAAAGTTGTAGTTAATCATTCATAAAAATACAAATAGTTTACGGTTAAAATTGACAAAAAATTGACTTAAATTAACTATCCGAAATGTATATAATGAATGACGCTGTCTAGTAATGCACCATATGTGTGTTGGTTATCGGCTAAACTAAACTAAAATACTTGAGAACCTCGTAGTCGGTATACGAACAAACTACACTTACATTCGCCATGTACACATGTGTTTAACCCCGACTGAAAGTTGAAAAAAAGGATGACAAACATACATTCAGTAAACTAATAAGACTACAAAGTTCGTAGAACAGAGAGAATACCTCCAAATTTGTCGTTGTCCCTAATGAGTAAACGTCTTATGGCTCTTTGAAGCTATTTTATTATGATGTAACTAAGAAGCCATACATTATCTAACTTACTAAAGTTATATTATCTCATGTAAAAAATTCATCAGAAAATTCATAACTTAAGTATAGCTTAGACCCATTTATGCTAATCATCTGCTTAACTTTTAGTCATAATTTCCTCTGGAAACATTTTTCCGCTTTACAGAACTTGTCTTTACTCTACTAACACATATGAGTCGTTTTGGTAATCTGATTATGCCAAAAGTAATCACATCAGCCGCTGGACTTACTCTCTAATTCTTTGATCATTCGATGAACATGAGGAGGGAGACAAAAATTAGATATTACGATGGCAGTTAAGTACTAATTATAGCATGATTAAAAATAATAATGAGAATTATTAAGTATGGGAAATAGAACGCTAGTCCGTTGCGATTATTACCTAGAGCAGGAAGAAGGTTGAAACAATAACAGGGTGAAATGCTGGACACGTTGCTTTTAAACACGGAGTTTACACTTAAATTGGTGAGCTGATAAAGCATCTGAGGTTCGTAAAACGTTATTTGTACCGAATTTGTCACAGTTCATTTAGCTATGCAGATAACTATGAAAGATAGTGATGCAAGGATGTGAATTAAATAAACAAGGTGCTCCATAATTGGGCTATTTATCGACCTGTGCATTCTTTTTTGGCATCCAGGAGGCGTTACATTTCAGAATTTATTTGGAGAGAGCTCCACTTTTCCAACTGATTTAACCTGTTCCGCAAGAGCAAATAAACGTCAAGATGGACATTGGTATGATCGAAAGAGTGACGCATCCATAGATCAAAGGCCGGATAAAGAGGATGATTGTATATTTATTGGAAAAACACATTTCTCAAAACGAACACAAGAGTAGAACTTTAAGGATTTCTTTGGTAATAAGATAAGGCTTCTACACAAAGTAGATATCCATTCACTTCAGCTTTCTACTAATGTACTTGGTAGGACAATAGAATTTTATCAAGCCCATTTGTAAATCGATTTTATAAATCTGACAATCAATGATAGCGGATGAATAACACATTTCTTCCGACTCTATTGGACTATATTATCGAAATTCGTATATTGGTCGTTTTAAGTTGGATTTTTAAACCTTGGATTACAACATTAAATTTTTTTTCAGTGAAACATACAAGAACTTAACCTCTGAGTTCAACTCCGATTCGTGTATGAACGTAATTGTTTAGCAGGTGTTTCGCGCGCACAGGCAGAACTAGACTTCGGTCTTTTCGTTACAAATAATAAAGGTTTTACGTAAACATTCTTTACAAAAGTATATTTCAGATTCACTAGAAAACGGAAACTTTTCCAGTGTTAATTAAATCACTCATTATTAAAGCTGAACTTCAGATCAAACGTTCGACAGATACAAGGTTCCCAAGAAAAATGCCTAGGAATATCGACAAGATTGCTTTTTCAACATGAAACGATTAATTAGGACTATTGATAATCCTGCAAAGGTTGTGTTTTCAAAAATCACTTTACTAAATTACGATTCCTCACTAGGGCTATGAATACTGCCCAAGCTTGTATGAAAAACGGAACCTTGTTAGGTTAATGATGTAAAATTCACTTAAATCACTAATTAATATAGGACTTCGTCAACTGACATTGATAAACTGTTTTGGCATAAGCCACGGAAGCGGTACAGTAATGAAAAGACATATTAAACCTTAAAAAACATTGCATTTAATTTTAAAGTATTTGACTTTTGGTGTTAATCAAGGTTAAGTGTTGAAGAATTTTTTGTTCACGTTCATAGGTTTTTTTTACCCTACGACGACACTTCAAGTACCTAAACTGTTAATCTGTCAAATACATCTAGAAACTTATGCTTTTTAATTACCTAAACCTTTATATTTAAGTTATTCTACGTTGTTTATCCCACAATCACTTTATAACTTTGAAAGTCTTTATGTTTATCTTACTACTACTGAATATTTTGCATCGGATCCCATAAAGGAAATTCAAAACGTACCACCTTGCGTTTCTCCTTGTTCGCACAAAATCTTAAATCTGTTATCATTTGGTAAGGACCAGTTTGTTTCAGTGCGGATAAAAAACCAAGCTACAGAAAAAATCGGATATGCGGATCAACAACACCTCGATTTAGATGACTTGCAAAATATCTATCCCTCATTTTTGCAGATATTTCAAATTCACAACCAAATCTCAGACAGAGATGCCCAAGCACGAAGATTAAAGGCGAGCAAGTCTGGTTTCCATAATTTTCCAAAAATGTACAAAACCCTACATTATTCAAAGTATTTATAAATACAGTGAACCTTGTAAGGTTCATTGAATATACTGTGACTATTCATGCTTTACTAATCAATCAACCCTATCCAAGCAACATGACATACGGAAACGCAGAAGTTTATTTAAAACAGAATATCATGATACTATAACCACAAAGAAACTACCTTCCTCCCAGAATAGTTAATCGACATCGTCTAACCTTGGAAAACCGTATTCTTTGACCTAATGAGAGCACAACATAATGATGTAGAAAAACAAACGTGACCCTCTAATTATAAGTATATTTCGGCCAGATGGCGTATTTTTGAAAGCCGCTGTGATAGACTTGTGGTAGAAACTCACTTCAGGCTTCATAGAGGCTTGGCCCTTAAAAATGTTTGTTTCCTCAATCAATCATTAGGGCTATCGAAATGATTTTCTTAAGTTATTCATTTCGAGTTGCTACCAAACTACCTCCACTGATCAGAATCTCCTTACCGCTAGCTGTTTTCGAAACGTGATAAGAAAATTTTCTCGCTTGCAATATTAGCCAAGTGTACTTCTTGGGGGTCCAACGTAAAACGTCTAGACTCTAGTGACATTACTAATAAACTGATGTACGTTTCGACCTAACCGTCTTATTTAACGGTCACACCCTTAAGCCCTTTGAAACTTTCATTGCTCGGTTATTAGTCGAGTGTGTAATTATTCCCGTTGACCATCCGGAATCGCTAAATGCTCTTGATGGTGTTCATCCAGTCAGCATAAGTCTGTAACTGTTTTCGAGGCTTTCGACTATTTCTACAGCCATTTGTTTCGTTCTAAACCAAAGGGGCTGAGCAATACAAAGTACTTGATAAAATGACTACAGCACTGCTGAATAGGTAGTTCACTTACCGATATTCTACCGTCTCAGCTGTCTGATAACCGTGTATTAAGAAGTAAAGGACCAAATGTTTGATCATTGTCTCGCTCTTCCTCTTAACGCTCGCAGACAATACAAACAGAAGTCTGTACCACTACTAGTCTTACCCATCTGGACTCACCTAGCTGAAGGCTCTCGGTCATGAATCTGCATCAGATCACATGTGAGAACGCCGTGCTCAACATCCCTTGCAATCGCTAGCCAGATTTGGTAGGACCTCTACCAGACTCAAATGGATATTCTTATCTCTCAAGCTGCGTAGACCGTTTTAATCGATGGCCAGAAGCAGTACCCATCAAAGACATTACTGCTGAAATAGTGGCCCGCGCCTTCGTCGAACGATGGGTAGCAAACTTCGGCTGCCCAACAACCATCACTACAGATCGTGGACGTCAGTTTGAATCTGAACTTTTCTGTTGTCTGACCGCGAAACTTGGAATCACTCGTTTTCGAACGACGGCATACCACCCACAATCAAACTTGAGTTATTATTTTGAACACTTACTTGACTAACAGCTACGTGTTTGTTTAGCTGCAATACCGGTACAGTACGATTATATTTTAATAACTTCATTATCCGAACTATGTTCACCGTCTTTTTAGGCGACTCATATGATAGCTTTATTTATTAACCGAAAAATATATAGTAGTAACGACTTTAATAGGTTTGGCGATAAGTTTAAAGGGCGGTTCAAGTAACTGTTTGATTTCAATTGCATAGGGATGATATAATAGAACGTATGCATAAGCTAGGTTGACATGTACCTTGATGAGAAATATAACAATAAAAAATCATAGTGAAAAAAACAACTTAAAAGTCAAGACATGATCTGCAGTGCTACAGTTAGGGACGTAGTGAGTATAATGTATGCTTTTCACGGGTGGTTGGTGTAATTAGTATCAGTGATAATCAGAATTAAGAACTACCAAATTAATGTTGAATCTAACATCGTTCGTCTGAAAATCACAAATCCATTGTATGTCGTTATTTGAGGCTATTAAGTATATCTAATGTAATGAATGGTTTCGGAAATGGTTTATATGAAATACATATGGATGTTAGGAAGTAAATCATGTGATAAATTAATAAAACTCGTCTGGAATATCTTCAGAATTTAGTAGTCTCCAATAGACTTAATGTAACAAAAACCATTTGCTACATATAGTATAGACCCAAAAGGAACTAGATTAAACAGGTAGTATTGCAAATAATCCAAGTGTATGTGTGATGCTGCTGACTCTTTACCGGGGTTCGAAGAGTCTATGTAAATACGTGGTTCTTACGATATGAACAATGTGAAACGAGCTTAAGATTGTATTTTGTATGTAGTCCTTCGTATATATGATGCTCCTATACTACCAAAGCCTCTGATTTGTTCTGGTCTTTCTCCGTCATTTGAGATCTGTAATGGTATTGGCTCTCACCAAGCGATCCTTGAAACTGATTATAAAACAATTGAGAAAAGTCACTTTCAGGATTTAACGTGGAGAGAAGGGCAATTATAGTTGAAGCGGGGCTGTTTGTTTGATGCATCCTTGCTGGTCATTCTGTGCAACGTGTCCTTACTCACATTAAATATATTACTCTCTTTTCAGCTCAAATGCATTCTTTAGAATTGTCAAACATATTGTTGATTGCCATGTAGGACGAGTCGGCATAGATTGTGAAGTGACTTCCATGTAAGATCTTATATATAAGGTAGTTATATCATGACAAATCTACTAGTTTGTGATTAGGACTATTATTATGGTACAGAAAATGAACGTACTAATACCGACCTAGACCATTATTTCACAGATCTTTTCTCCATATTATTTATGTTGGGAATTTCATGACACGTCCGTATTCTGTGATGTATCTACGTGAATAGTCATTTCGGCCGCCTGAATATAGTTTTGGCTTACTGATATTCGTATTATCGTTGAACTGACCGGATTGTAGTAATACAGTTATTTCGGAAAAACTTGAATCATTTCATAGTATTTCTGTTTCAATGCTGATAATGACTTTCCGACATCCTGGTTTGTCTATGGATGGCCGAGCTTGTTCCCTTTTAAGACTGTACAGAGTATAAATGGTTGAGTTATTTGGTGGCATAACTCCAGAGAATGAGTCAATGATACCTTTACTGATGTACTGAGTGCATTTTCAAGTTTTAGCGGAGATTGCAGTGTTGATAGCCTTCATGTTCACCTTCCATAAATCAGGGCGAGAAGGAACAATTGCTTGATAGGCCATATCAATCATGAGCTTGAATAAGATGACCACGTGATCACTTCTTTATATAGGTGGGAAGAACGTTATTTGACTGACACCATATTGCAGTTAATCTTTTTCTGCAACGAGGCCAGCATAAGTACAGTGCAAAAAATTTGAATCACATTTCTTTATTTCATTAGAACCAGGTCACCACCATATTCCTTCATTTTCTTTCGGAAACAAATTGAAAAAATTGAATCGGTAAATCAAACTTGACGTTACACCATCGCATTTACTGGCGTCACCTATGATTATTTAGTTACATTGAGATGTTAGATTTCCTCAACCTGAAGAAAAGTGAATACTTGTGTGAATTATGTCGTGGAAGTATAAAAGGCGAAAACTGCACACCAAAATCATGTTCTCATATGTTTCATATAAATTGCTTAGAGGATTGGGCTAGCGATTTTGACTGTTCTTCGGGATTCGCCTGTCCTGTCTCTGAATGTTCCTTATCCTTCAGTGAAATAGTAATCCGCAAGACACCTGGCGCCGTGAATTTTACGGTAACGTCCTTTAAAGAGAACCACCAATGCCCGATATGTTGCGAGAGGATTCGAAAGCCTGTTGCTACTCCGGAATCATGCAATCATGCCTTTTGCTACATATGTCTAAAAGAGTGGTCACGTGTACGGCATGAATGTCCTTTAGACCGTGGCGTTTATGAACTTATTTTATTGTCTGACTGGGTTGGGGGCCCCATAATAAAGCGGGTATGTCGTATTTTTGTCAAAATATGTATAAAGCCATATATGCTTGTGTGACCAGTTGTGAGAATGATCTTTTTCGTGAATCATATTGATCCGGTGCCACATTAGTGTGCCAACTGCTCAATGTGTCTTGCGTGGTATCTTTCAGTATATGGAACGATCTCGTGCTTTAATAATTACCTAACCGACCATGTATGCCATTCACGAGACATACGGTTTCGATTGGTCTCATTCAAGGTTCGTAATTATTGCGGCCAGATCTTAGGTCACAGTTTCTATTTTTTAGTGATAAAACACCTTTTGTTAATAGGCCAGAATTACTTTCATTGTACTCGGTAACCCAATCGAGGGTCGGGAAACCCTGATTCCAAACCAATGATGCACATAGGCTCCAGTATTCTGGGTGGATAGATAACATGATAATTTTATGGATGCGTTTATTTTAACCCACAGGTGTGCGACATGGTCCGTGAATTTTAGGGAAATGCAAATGTTTCCAGTATCCCTATAAATAAATAAATATATATATATATATATATATATATATATATATATATATATATATATATATATATATAATCATTGCTGGGCTGTGATTCAGATTTTGGTAGAAATAGCTATTCAATTAATGACATGAACTTTTATCGACTCTTTCTGCTAGGATACACATGAACCATATCCTACTACCCCTTACAACGACACAATACTGTATAGTACAAGGGTTGGTTGAAAAATATGGGCCGTCACACTAACAAATGACATAGAGATGTTAAGTTTCAAAATATAGCGTGTAACTTAGGATTTGATCGTAAGATCATATTATAGTTTAAGGTGTTTTTCTTTAAACTTTCAGTACACCTTCACTCATTTGGATTACTTCATTGTCGTTTTTCGTTCATTTGACTTTCCTTCGGTATAGTCAATTAAGTCCATTCAGTATGCTAATTTCTTAACTAACAATTATTGAGTATAATATTTATGTAGTGAGATATGTTCGAACATAAATTATTCTTTGGTTACCATCACATAAATTTTTCTTACAAGATTTGTGTTTTGGAGTAGTTGGGACTCGGAAATAATGGATTTGTGGTATCATGATATCGGAGTATAGTCGTGATTTATCTCTATTACCGTAAACTGATCAAATCAGTTTGTGGGGTCATTAATCAGCAGTATGATCTGTGTTTGAAAATGCAATTTTTCGGGTTGGAATCCTCAGGGAAATCTTAATCAGCGGTTGTATGTGCTAATTCCAGTAACCCAAAATCGGTCGTTTTGGCTATTTTATTCAGTCTTTGTTTTATCCTATAGCTTGGGTCTTAATCTTTTTGTAGACCTTTTGGTAGTCATTTTCATTCCCTCTACTCAAGCCATACTTTCTGTTTACTTTTATCCTTACTATCATATTAATATTAGTCTACTTTCGTGTTATCCATGTTGTTTATTTCCTCTTGTTGTTATAATATGGCAACTTAGACTGATACATGTTCACATCCAATCTTACGTTGTTTATGAATAACCAGCATGAATTAGTTAGTTACGAAAGCTTGCCCTTTAGGTTTATGACCCTAGGTTCGTTGAAGATACTAGTCATAAGGACGATATGGATATTCTTTCGAGGAAGCTTAAGGTCATCCTTGAGATTTATAGATATATCAACGTTAATATGTAATACATTTCATACAGAGGTCAGTTATTCACCAGGACGGTTTGGTTCTATATTTATCGTCAAGTGTCTGTTTACTCTCACTTTAGACCTGTAATTTTATTAAATTTACCTTTTTTGTAGTATGGGAACTGTGGATTCGTGTAGCAACATAATTGACTTTATCATTCGGTTAATGATAGCACAGCTGTAGGAACTCTTCGATTTATTATTTCATGAAGGCCTTCTTTGGACGAGTATTTTAACGCTCTAACGAGTTTTCGTATTAATTCAACAGTAGAAAAGGGTTTTAGTCCATTTTTAATCTAATAAATTTGATTCCCGTAGAATTTCCATAGAATGTAATCCAGATCATATACCATACATGTAGTTGCAAACTGACAACAATAACTTTTATCTGGTCATTTTCCGTACGAACCATAAAAACGCCCTCTAGTCATTTATCTGTTATCAAGAAAATTTCACTCCCACTGAAGTGACATAAAATATGCTTAGCAATAGTTATGACCTTATTATTATGATGATATTTTCGTTAATATTATGTCATCTTATTTTCCCATTGATCTCTATAGGTTAATGCTCCACCTGTTAAACAGCAGCCTTCAGAAACACCACCATTGGAATTGGACGTTAACTGTGAGGTATGTCATCGTCCAGATGATGAGGCACATTTGCTTTTATGTGATCACTGTGATAGAGGGTATCATACTTACTGTCTCCCAACCCCTCTCTCATCCATCCCAGATGGCGACTGGTTTTGTCCAGAATGTCTTCGTCAGGGGATTGTTCCGCCTGAAATAATTACTACCGATGTCCCGCCAACAACAACTACAAGTAGACGTGTTCGAAGAAGTATTCGGAGAAGGTTAATTGATTCTGAGGCAGAGGAGAGTGAACACGATGAATTAAACACTTCCTTAGATTCTAGTTCAGAAAGCCTTCATTTACCACGTGAGCTTAGTTTTGCTGCTCAGAGGAGGCTTGAAGAGCAGGCTACTAGACGTCACCGTGGACGTCGATTATTGCAGGATTTAATCGCTGATCTAAGTGAACGAATAACATCAGAGGCCTCTGTTCGAGCGCGACGCCGTCGCAGTCAACGACAACGTGTTCAAAATCAGCTTGCATCAGAATCTACTAGTTTAAGTCCATCTGGTCCAGCGCACGGTCAGACGACAATTTGTTTCGAAATATCATCTTCGGTAAGTTGTTCTCATGAAACAACGCTATTGTGTGTTTTCTCTACCATAAGACTTAACCATAATTTTATTCGTAAACAGTGTTATTAGTTATTTGTTTTTTTTTTAGACAAGTCAGCCTGTCAGTATCCGGTTGGGCCGTCCTCCAAGTTATTCGAACTCTCACCACAGAAGCCAGATTCATAATATTATTCGGTCAGAATGTAATGGACAAGTATCAGACAATAATCAGTTGGAGGTAATATTTAGAAAATAGTTAATATCTTTACTTTTAATTGTGATAATTTTGGTAGTTTATTATAAAAAAAGGTCTTTGAATCAGTGAGAAACCTAGTCTCATTTTAGAGAAATCCAAATAGTACCAATAGCTAATATGTCGTTTTTTTGAAAAAATTGAATTGGTGAGAAATGGAAAAGTCAGCTTTAGTTGGTACCAAAGGGGTTTTCTTTTCAGTTAGCTATCTGTTTAATTCATTTTCATTTAAAAAATTTGATTCATTTAGTAGACCTGGTACAACAAAAAGTATCTTGCGCATAACTTGTTTTAGAGGGAACAGAGTAAAATAGTGGCAATATAGGCTAAGTAAAAATTCTCATTGCTATTCGGTTCGATGTTTTGTAGTGACCTAGTAGAACTATATTGAGCAGTTTGTCTTCCTAAATGAGAACTAATAAATAAGTTGTGATACAACTCACTAAGTATAGGTTCAAATTAAATCCAGTGACAATCTTGGGAATGGGGTGGTTTTGTTGAAACTCAAAACATGTGTAGCTCATAGTATGGCATAAAAACGTCTTGGTGGATTCTAATCCATATCTCTTAATGATTGTGTATACAGCTGATATTTCTCCGTTTTCGATCTAAATTAAACACCAGTAAGTGAGAGTTCCAAGAGTAAATCACCTAGGCACACAAAGAAGTAGAACATGGACTGATTCTCCTTGGATAACTGGGCATTATATGCTGTAGGGAAAGTAGTGAAACGTTTACTTCCTGATGTTTAAGATTATTGAAAGCCACTGGACATTTTCAGCTGTTTTTTATTTGTCGCGACAATCTGAAGAGATTATTCATGATGATAGCAACGCGATCTTACCTTATATATTCTTCTAAAGTAATATTTCAAGATGCCCATGCATCATGGTACACCACAATGCATAAACTCACTTAGTGAACTGTTTGGTTACCAATAGTGAGAATGAGGAAAAATTACATACGTCTAATGATAATTGTTCATGCAGAGAAAACCAATTTAAATTGTTTCTTGCTTTGAAATCATTTATAAAGCATGATTTCAGAAACAGCACCTGTAAAATTCTGGTTCCTTTTTCGCCTCTGAAATATTATTGAGATGTTTCTAGATCTAGTTTGTGTTTCAAAAAAAATATCATTTGATGTCGTCAGTGTTTGGTAATATATTTAGGTTTAAAAATATTTTTTAAGAAAATAAGGTACCTGTATAAACTGTTACATTCACAGAATTAATTTATCTGATTTTTTATTATTTTCTAACTCATATCTCCATTAGTATTTTTGTGATTATACTTTTGTTCTCATCTAGCCATCCCGTAAAAGACTGCGTATACTATCCAGCAGTGATTCGGATTCAGATGATCAGAATGGAATTATACTTCGTAACACAAAACTTACTGGTCACCGTTCTCGATTACTACGATCTCCTAGTGAATCAGAAGTGGAAGAGTTTCCTGTTTTAGCGGGCCCGTCATCCTCGCACGATTCCAATGAAGTTCAGGAAAGTAATACCGTCATCCAAACGAGTACTACCAGTCTTAATGGGGATGTATGCAGAAGTAGAACTTCAGAGTCTTCTCATATGGATTTCATTCAAGATTCCACATTTGAAGTTACTCATAGTAAATCTGATTCAGAAAATTCTAATTTCGATGAAACTTTTGTTCCTGCTGTAAAAGACCCACCGAAGAAAAGTAAAACAACGAGAAAAACCAAAAGACGCTTATCTAAGAAAACGAAAGGCAAACGTGTCAAGAAAAAGTCACTCAAATCCAAAACATTTAAGCGTTCGAGAAACAAAACAATGCGTAAAAAAATAGTGAGTTAAGCAAATATACTGATGTATGTATTGTTTAAGAAATGATCATCAAATGAGAAAGTTAGTCCATCACTATTCAGTATTATAGTGTTCAGGTAGAAAATATGACACTATAGAAGTGGTTTGTTCGAATCGTACATTAAATATCAACCCAGTTTGGTTATTTGAACAAATGAGGCTTAACACACTTAATTAAGTTAAATTACACCAGAGTCGTATGGATGTACTCGTCTCAAAGACATTTAACATACACATGCTTTTATGCAACAAAATGAGATGTTTATTTATTTATTTTAACACATAGATATTGGTACAAGTAGGCACCAAATACATATGCGCCACACAAATCAAATGAAATTTGTGTGAGGGCTGTGATACTGTTCGGGTGCCCACACCGAAGCAGGTGGACTTTTAAGGGGGCGACATCCCGAGCCTTCGACCTAAAGGTCTGATCCACAAGGCAGTGGAGCATCGTAAGGAGATGCTGTCCAAATATGTAAAGATTTGTACATCTTCCAAATCTTCTCCGTCAATTGTGATTAGATTGTTGCATGCTGTGTTGTATCGGAGAATCTTGCTTTTCCCTTTGTGTATGATGAGTCCTAATGCTGTTGCTACATTGGTTGTCTTCTGCATTTGTTGTTGCGTATGCGATAGAAGAGTCAGATCATCTGCGAAGTATAGATCGTCCAACTGCATCTTAGATGTTCACTGTATCCCGTGCTTCCCCCCAGATGTTGACGTCTTCATGATCCGGTCGATCACCAGTAGAAAGAGAAAGGGTGAGAGTAAGCAACCTTGTCTGACACCGGTCTTTACCTCGAACGACTTTGTCAACTGTCCTCCATGAACGATTTTGCAGTTTAATCCATCATAGGAATTCCGTATGATATTGACTATCTTCTGAGGCACGCCGTAGTGTCGGAGAAGCTTCCATAATGTTGTTCTGTCTACGTTGTCAAATGCTTTTTTATAGTCAATGAAGTTGATGTAGGGCGATGAATTCCATTCAATTGATTGTTCCACAATGATCCGTAGAGTTGCGATTTGGTCTGTACACGATCTATCCTTATGGAATCCTGACTGTTGGTCGCGAAGTTGGGCGTCTACAGAGTCCTTCATCCTGTTTAACAATACCCTGTTGAAGACTTTCTCTGGTATTGAGAGAAGAGTGATTGCACTGATAGATTCTCGTAAACTCATCCCATCAGGTTCTGAACACGATGAAGAGCGTAAAGAAATCAGATCTAGGTTAAGCAAAAGTCTAAGGAATGATCGTGAGCAGTGGTGGGCAACGAAAGCAAAAGAGATGGAAAAGGCGGCGGCTATAGGGAACACAAGACAACTCTACAGACTAATAATAGAAACTGGAATTAATAAATCAAGTGTAAGTCAGACTATTTCGGAAAAAGACGACACTCTCATCTGCTCCCAGTCCAGACGTTTAGAACGATGTGCGGAACACTTTAAGGAGCAGTTTAGCTGGCCTTCAGCTATTCTACAACTACCCTCTATTCCCAGACAGTGTGAATGGAACATTGAAGTAGGTCCCCCAACTCTAGCTGAAGTTCAAAAGGCTATAGCTAATCTGAAACGAGGAAGGGCAGCTGGTCCAGATGGATTGACCCCAGAGGTCTTTAAGGATGGTGGTCTAGTCTTAGCGATTAGGTTGACTAATATTTTAGCTAAAATCTGGGAGTTAGACGTTATTCCATCTAACTGGTCACAATCACTTATCGTCCCAATATTTAAGAAAGGGTCAAAATCATCCTGTGACAACCACAGAGGGATTAGTTTAACTAATATAATATCTAAAATACTAGCTTCGATAATTTTCGGACGCCTAACTAAGACTCGTGAGTTGCAAACACGTGAAAATCAGGCTAGCTTCAGACCTGGTCGTGGCTGCATCGACCACATATTCACCATTCGTCAGGTTCTAGAACACAGGCATACTTATCGGCGTCCGACAATGGTGGTATTCCTTGACTTAAAAGCAGCGTTTGACTCTGTTGACCGAGAGGTTCTGTGGCAGTGTCTGTCATTGAAAGGCGTACCTCAGAAGTACATAGACCTTGTGAAGGTTCTTTACTCTAACACTACTAGTTGAGTGAGAGCTTATGGCGAACTGTCATCTGCTTTTGCAACCTCAAGTGGCGTCCGTCAAGGCTGTCCACTTTCTCCATTTTTGTTCAACTTCATCATAGATCTACTGATGGAAATAACGCTCTCATCGACTGAATTCTCAGGTATTGATCTCCTACCAGGAGGTCCACTTATTGACTTAGAATACACAGATGACATAGTCCTGTTTGGTGAAGACGCTGATGAAATGCAGAATCTTTTGGTAGCACTGAGCAACAATGCCAGAATGTTTGGGATGAGCTTCTCTCCCTCTAAATGCAAGTTGTTGCTTCAGGACTGGTCTGCATCAACACCTGAACTAAGGATAGGGGGTGAAGTAGTCGAACGCGTTGACAACTTCACTTATCTTGGAAGTCTGATCAGCCCTAGTGGGTTGGTGTCTGACGAAATCTCATCACGGATTCGAAAAGCTCGCTTGGCCTTTGCCAACTTACGTCATCTGTGGCGAAGGCGAGACATTCGTCTATCAATTAAGGGACGAGTATACTGCGCGCGGTTCGTTCCCTTCTACTATACGGCTGCGAAACATGACCTTTAAGATTAGAAGATATTCGTAAGTTACTAGTATTTGACCACAGGTGCCTTAGAAATATTGCGGGTATCTGCTGGGATCACCGGGTAAGTAATATTGAGGTTAGACGCAGGGTATTAGGGAATGATGGTAAATCAGTTGATGAGGTTATGAACCTTCATCGACTGAGATGGTTGGGCCACGTGCTGCGTATGCCTGAACACCGATTACCACGACGCGCAATGCTGACTAGTGCAGGGGATAATTGGAAGAAAGTTAGGGGCGGCCAAACCAAAACGTGGCATCAGTGCTTGAAGTCACTAACTTCTGGTCTGAGCCATGTTGGTAGATGCAGACTACCTGGTTGGGGTCCGCGTGACTATCGTAACCAATGGTTGGAGACTCTTGGTGACATGGCTCAGAATCGATCACAATGGCGTCGGTGTATACACTCTCTGTCTTCCTTTAAACTAAGAGATTGAAATCACTTCAAATCTTTCTTTCTAGGAACTAATTCTACCTTCCTGTACTATCTCCTTATACACACTCTTTCTTCTATATATTACCACCACTGAATTAACTACTATGAATCCGTTGTTCATCTTGTTGTGCTAATGCGGTATGGCAACTTGGACCGATGCATATACGTGCCTGGTCCTACGTTGCAGCTGACTGACTGAAGAGTGATTCCCCTGTAGTTGTCACAGTTGCTGAGATCGCCTTTCTTTGGTATTTTGACTAGAAGTCCTTCTTTCCAGTCTTTTGGTACCTGTTCCTCATCCCAAATCTTTCCGAAGAGAATGTGGGGTATCCTTGCAGTTACCTCTACGTCTGCTTTCAGTGCCTTTGCTGGAATGCTGTCTAGTCCTACTGCTTTGCCACTCTTGATTTGTCTGATAGCCATGCTGATTTCCCCAATTGTTGGTGGGCCGACATCGATTGGTTGGTCCGTGAGTGCTGCTTCGATGTTGGGTGGGTTTAGGGGGGCTGGTCGATTCAAGAGTTCTTAGAAGTGTTCTACCCACCTGTTTCGTTGTTCTTCAATGTTGGTGATTATGTTGCCTTCCTTGTTTTTCACTGGTCGTTCTGGTTTACGGTGATTTCCAGAGAGTTTCTTTGTTGTTTCATACAGTTGTCTCATGTTTCCTTCTCTTGCTGCCTTTTCCGCCATCATTGCTAAATCTTCCACATATTTACGTTTGTCAGTTCTGATGCTCCTTTTCACTTGCTTGTTTACTTCTGTGTATTCAGCCTGTGCCTTGACTTTTTCTGCTCTTGTTCGACTGGTATTGATTACTGTCTTCTTGTTCCTCCTTTCTTGAATCTTATCCAGTGTACTAACCGTGATCCAATCCTTGTGATGATGCTTCTTTTGGCCCAGAACCTCATGACATATTGAAGTGATTGCCTCTTTTATCTCTTTCCAGTTGCTCTCCATAGTAGTTCCTTCTCCATTGAGTAGATTATGAAAGGCCTGGAACTTATTGCTGAGGGTTATCTTGAATTCATTGAGTTTGTCATTATCCCGAAGAAGAGCCATATTAAATTTTTGTGATATTGTCCTCCACGTTGTCCAGTTCCTCTTGAGTTTTAATTTCATCTTGGCGACCAGCAAGTGATGATCTGATGCTATATCAGCTCCTCTCTTTGTTCTCACGTCCTCCATCGTCCTCCTGAACTTTTTGTTGATGCAGATATGGTCGATTTGGTTTTGCGTAGTGTGATCCGGTGAAGTCCATGTGGTTTTGTGTATGCGTTTATGTGGGAATATAGTCCCGCCTATGACCAGTTTATTGAAGGCACATAGATTTGCAAATCTCTCACCATTTTCGTTCCTTTCTCCCAGTTCGTGTCGTCCCATGATCTCTTCATATCCGGTGTTGTCGATTCCAACCTTGGCATTAAGGTCTCCCATCAGAATAATCGGGTCCTTTGTTGAGCACTTCTCGACGATTGACTACAGCCTATAGTAGAATTGATCTTTAGCGTCTTCATTGTGGTCGTTGGTAGGCGCGTAGCATTGGATGACGTTCATTTTAATGCCCTCTTTCTTTGTTTTGAAGAAGGCTTTGATGATCCTTGGTCCATGAGATTCCCATCCTGTAAGTGCATTTTGTGCTTGTTTGGACAGCATCAATGCAACTCCTTGTGTATGTGGGGCATTTTCTTGTTCATGTCTGGAGTATAACAGCAGCTGCCCTGAAGCTAGTCGTTGTTGTCCAACTTGCGTCCAATGTGTTTCACTGATCCAAAGCACCTGTAGGTTGTATCTCCTAATTTCTGCAGCAATTTGGAAAACTCTCACAGTCTCCCACATTGTACGAGCATTCCATGTACCTAAATAAATGGTTTCACTGGTTATCAGAAAGAGCATCGGCCTCGTGACTTCCGAAGAAACTCGGCTTTCATCACGAGGCGTCATAATTCTTCTAAACGAAGACCTGCTGACTCCCAGGGCAGAGTTTAAATGATTTGAATAATTTTTTCTGGTTAACGTTTTTTTAGCGAGTTAGTTTTCCACGGGATGGGGTCGCTAACCCCATGCCCAACCCTCCTCCTTTATCCGGGCTTGGAACCGGCAGTAGCCCCCCGAAAGGGGAATTATGTTAGCTTACATTCTTTTGAAATAACTATACATATAGTCGATCTTTTGTTTCTTATCAATATACGACGAATAATTCCGATCGACATCCATAACTCAAAAGTTAGACGAATAATACCAAGATACAGTGATAAACTGGGCTAAGTAAAATCTCTCCCAAAACGCTTTGATTAAGATTCCTACATTTCTTTACATCACACGGAGATTATAGGCGTACCATAGGTTTTTTTAGTCGGTTTACCGTCAACATTACACTAGAGATCACTGAATTCGAAGTGGAGTCGGAGGCTCAGCGGTCAAGGCGTCCAACTTTCTGCTCAAGTTGTGGGCTCAAGCCTTGCTATATCTAGCATTGCTAACCCTCACATTTATTTCGTAGCTCGAAGTACATGAGTCTATATCTGGTAAATAAGAGTTACTTTATCCTTAGAGTTTTAAAGCTAAATTGAAGCTTCGGAAATATAAAACGTTTTTAGTTTATACTGTACAAATAATCGCTGGGATAATTCTATTTGTGTGATCTTTGTTTGTACTTATTTGTCGATTTCAAAGTGTTCTAAATGATATTATATACGCTGTTTGCACATTTAGCGGAAAATCTCCTCTTCCCTATCGTCTGTTAGCCCGAAACCATCAACTTCTTCCCAACTTCGAGTTCGAAACGGCTTGATAGGATCTAGTCTACCTAAGTTATCAATTTTGGGTAAAGAATCACAATGCGAGTAGGTTTTTTTTAGCAATCCATTTGTATAACCTAATCATTTTGATATTACTTAACACCAAGTTTAGAACTAAATATTCGTCTAAATACACATATACCTTTAGTTAATTAGATAATTTAATCTTTAAGTTGTACAGTAACTAGGGGTTACAAGTCACCAGTTACTTTTTGGCATTTTTGTTATTGAACTGTATGGTATAATTTTAAAACATTTTATGCCTATCACCATAACACTCTGACAATATTACAGGTGTTTTGTTGATGTGTTTAAAAGTTGGTTGTTTGTGTGATTGACTTCATTTTCTCTTTATGTTATTAATAGTACAATTCAAGAGCTAATGTATACCTGAGTTTTTTTTAGTTATGTTCATTTTTGAATCTGTTTGTTATCTAACGTTATTAATAACAGTTTCGTTGGTTAGTATAAAAGCAACTGTTTAGTTGCTTCCATTTTACTGGAGATCAATTTCAGTATACAACTATTCGTTTGTTACCACTTGTATTTACTCTGAGTTGTTTACCTAACTTTATTTGGATCTTAAATTTTACCTGAGTATGCTACGCAGAATGGTTTTAGGCCTTGGGATTTCGATAAAATTTTGATCATTGAGGTTCTAACCGACAAATGATGGGCAGTACAGTGATAAGCTCTTACGAGACTAAATTATCAGTCCAAGTCGCTGGGTGATGAAGTACCAAAAGAAATACAACTGTCAAGCCGAATGTTTTGATTATATGTTTATTACAAATTAATAAACATAAAAATGAACGTAAGTGATTGGTTCCAAGAATCAATATTTGTAGTTAAGGTGTTAGTCGGTCATGATGAACGTGGGGCTTGATACAAATGTATAGCATTGAAGGCCTCCACATTACATCAGCGCAATCAGATAAAATCAATAAAACAAATAGTAAATACGTTGAAATAATAGTAGCATCAATGATAGCAAGTACAGTAAGCGAACCCCTTGGGTTCCTCAGGAAAACGATAACTGGGGTCGTCTATTCCGTCCATTTCATCGACGTAAACAAGCTATAATGGAAATAAGGAATCCAGAAAATTTCTCTCTCTGGAAAATATTTTCATTGGAATCTCGAATTCAGGGGCAATCGAATGTCTACTGTTCATAAGAATCGTCTGTCTGGAGCAATTACGAAAACATTTGATACACGTGTAACTTACACTTTTGAAAGCCGAGAATCGTGCATTTGCGTTTCAAAAGATAAACTTCATCGTCTGCCAACCTGTATGTGTATATATCAGTTTACTTACTTCTGTTGAGAGATGCACGTTGATCGTAACCAATGTTCGCTTTCGACACCTATCCAAAAAGACATTCCAACCCGGTTCTATAAGGGTGAAAGGAAAGCGTTCGATCACTAAACACTCAACTGACTCGGATCGATCACCTAACCCACTTTTCGGTTTTAACATTGTTATCTCTGGATGTTTTCGCTTGCAGTTCCTTAAAATATCAATTTCGACTCTCCATAAGACAAAACGAGAACTCTGTACAAATGAATATTCTGTTTGTAACTTTACTTTGTACTTCACCTATTTTCAATATCACCTACTAAATAATTTCATTATCGTGATTCTTCTTTCGTGTGCTTTTGTCTTTTAATGACCCCTGTCCTTTAGTTATACTTTGTGTTCTCTTGATTTTTTTCCCACTGATAGTTGTTTCTGATTATTACTTCACATAATTCTAATATCTTCATGCCTATATAATGAAATAAAAATCTTTATCTTGATTAATCCACTCTTGTCACACTTTAATGCATTTTCAGTCTATGGGTTTTACACCTCTTCCTCATTTCTTTCTTCTGTAGAAGTCACACAATAATGTCTTGTTACTATTCAAAATTTATGACTACGTTTTATAATCTTTTATTGTGTTGTCATATTTACTCACTATTCATACATCAATATATATATAGCTTGATAATAAATTTATTACAGATAGACCTCTTTACTGAATTTACTTATGGGAATCGTAATATTATCGAGGAATCTATAGAGCTACTAATCTACCTAGTTGTTAATTTTAATGATATCGACTTTCCAAAAAGCAATTCAACTACAGTGCATTTTACATTAACTTCTTACATCTAATATTAGTTGTAGTATGCTGTGTCTGTCTGTAATCTCTAGACGAGTTGTGTAAAGAGTAAATTCATTCATTGAAGGCTACATAGTTGAGATCATACAAGAGGATATGGTAGAATAGGTTGTTTCATCATTTTTTAGTTCGCAACTATGCGTTGTTACACTTACTGTTCGCTAGTTTATTTTTCCCCACCCATGCTTTCCCGTCCTTGGAAAAAAAATCAAATAACATCTACCTAATTTTGTAACATTTTACATGAGATTTAGTTTACTCGACTAGAAACTTGTGAAGTATTTCTCCTTTAAACAATTAAACAGCAAAATATACCTGAAGACTTTAATGGGAATCTGTTAGAAAAACACGTAGTTAGTTTATTGCATTATGTTACTAAAATCGACCAAACGTTTTACATGATTATTATTAGTAGAAGAGTTTGACTTATCATTAACATGTATTATCTTTTAGCTTCTATTTGTTCTTGCATATTTTCTAGTTTTAGACTTTTGGTCGATGAAGATGACGATAAAGCATCAATCGTACCTTCTCTACCTATCATAACTACTAGTTCCGTGTAAGTCTAGATTTATGTATTGCATTTTATTCAATTACTGCTAAGTTATTTAAATAGTCTAAAATTTGGTTGTAAGTGGTTAAGGAGTGGTTCTTTATAGTTTCCCTTGGATAAAAGTTCTGTAGAAAATGAAGTATCAGTAACTCGACTATCTGACGGATCATCGTGTAATGTTTTAAAATGCGTTTATATTTTCATGCATTACAACGTTGTTCAATGTTTCTTTCAACTAACATTGATGTCGTTGAAAAATTTCTGTTGGTCGTAGTTTCCTGGTGACAGATTTTAACAAATGTTCAGAAATAGCTACGATTTTTTCGCATTTTCATTTTATTTGTACTTATCGTGGGTAAAGTCATCCCTTACTGATTGCAAACTGTTAGCCATGTTATTAAGTGCCTTCTCATAACATATTTTAAGGTTATAGACTAGTACTTGTTGTTAAGACAATTGTTAGATTCATACTGAGTCAAAACGGTAACCCATCGAAACCATCTAAACTTTGAGATTAAGCGTTATACTGGGGATCAAAAACATTTCTTTTATTGCATACAAATGTCTGGGTGTGGTTTCAATGAAGAGTGCAAACTCTTCAACCGTATATATATATATATTTTTAACAGTCTGTTGCTCATTTGTAGATCACTTGATTTCCAACTGTCCAGTCACAGTTTCGAACCCTTTTTCACCAACTAAGTTGGTGAACTCGGATAGGCGTCACATAAAAATGTGTGGTTTGAAGTCGAATACACAACTTTCACTTGGTTACTAGGTTGCATTAAAGTACTTAATTACGAGATGGCACTAGGAGTACATTTTTGTGTACATTAGAAACTACTGAATTAGAGGTTTTACAATCTCAGAAAATGTAAATTACTTTTATTAAATGTTATTGTTGTTTGGTAGACATTATATCAAGTGCTTTCTCCTCATCGATGACTCATCACAAAATTCTGTATGCATATACACAGTCCCCACAAGTGACGGAAAATTTGCTATGTTTACCAAATCACCAAGTACACGTGCTTACTTTAGTACCAACCATTTTCTCTATGATGGATAGAAACACTACGTTTAGAAATCATTAAGTGTCCATCAAATGTCCAGTGAATTTCGAACTTCTTTTTTCAATCAATATTGTTTTCGTGTTTAGATAATTTATTTTTAAAATGTACCTATTTCAGATTCAGCTTTTTACGTAACTTAAGTTCATAGTTTTGTATAACTAAGAGCATTTCTTAACGCATAAATTCTAGTTTCAGATAAATAGTTTTGTCAGTATAGGGGTTGTGAAGATTATTAAGTTTTTGATTGAGATTGATGTTAGTTTTGTAATTTTTCCAGTTACTATTCCGAGGTTCAACACTAATAGTAATTTTCGAAGGTTCACATGTGTTTTTATGTCTTATAGTACATTTTAAAAATTCAGAATAACATAGAACCTTTAGTTAGATGCTTGACTTACAGACGGTATTAATCATTATTTAAATTTTCTTACTGATGGTGCTTACTGCACTTCAGCTACTACATTTTTGTAGCATTTTAACACTGGAATTAATTTGTCATTCTGTAATTGCTAATAAAAAATTAAATATAATAGATTTCGACTTTCATTCCTTCATAATTTATTGGCTAAGTTCAATGCAATCGTCAGATGTATATTAGCTTCTTCCTCATTAACATTCTTTGGAGGTTTTGCTAATTATTTTGTAATTGGGCTGTTTCTTAAAACTCTTTTTACTTTATTAGTAGTGCTACTTGGTTTTGAAGTGGTGTTTTATTCAATTTTTCAACACCACTATGCTTTCCGTTTGTATGTAGAGATTGTGTTCTTTAGAGATGCTTATAATACACGTTATTCACATAACTACTAAATGTTTATTGAACTATAGTTATCCCTTTCTCTGTAGTCATTTTCTGTGCATACGGAGTAAGTTTCAGTGTATAAAGTACCTCTAGTGGATTAAAAATCCAGTTCGCGTAATCCGGTGTTAACTTTCAGTATTTTATTTCAATTTTCTGATTTTTAGTTCATTTTTCTCGGATTGCTTTAACGTACTTAAATTGTGTTATTTCACTGATCATATGAATTTGTTAAATTTTTCTCCGTTTTAACTTCAGTTCAAACAATTCTATTTCTCAACCGAATCCTCGATCATCAACTTATCTCAGTGACATAGAAGCTGGACAGGCATCATTGTTTCGCTTTTCTACTCGTCATATGCAAGTAAATCCGGATCATTCTATGTCGCCTATTCCTGTAGCCAAGGCCCCATCACTTTCCACAAATAATGTCAATACAGCGAACTCTGTAAAAACTAAATTCCCTTCTCTGTCTACAGTTAACTCCATCTCTTGTCCTTCTACATCAGATAGCGTATCTTCTGTCTCCAAGCCTCTCATATCCTCAAATTCAACTACAAACTCTCAGGTAAAACATTCTAACAATACGCCTGCAAAATGTTCTGTTATCAATGATCCTATCCCATCAACATCTCACAGCTGCCCAAGTGAAGTTAATCCTTCACATTGTAATTGGAGCTCTGAATCTTTGCAAAGAGTAAAGTCTACCTTGAAACATCATTTAAAGGCATATGTCTCTTCTCACAGAATAGACAAAGAAACATGTCGTAATATTTTTCAACGTTCCTTGAGTAAGGTAATCGTACTTTTTCATGAACTTCTGTACTTTCTTGTTTTTATAAAACATTTCAATGTTGTCAACAAGATTTGCATGATTTCTTATTTTGTCGACCTTCTTGTTCCTTAGATATTTAAAAAGCTTTTTAAATACTGTAAAAACTTCTTACAATACTTGACTTTTTAATACCATAGATTAATTTCTGAAAATAACGAACTAACATAAAGATAGCCACCGAAGTTAGATTTGTTGGAATTAATTTTGTCTATTTGTTTGGTTTAAAATGAATGGTAGCTAAACTTTTCTCATCTAATTAATAAGTGAAGACATTTAGGCGATCTATTGTGTGCACTCGTCATTTGTGATTGTAGTCTATACAATATTAAAACTTATTTATACTGAACGCTTTAAGAATCTGTTCGTCTCTCAATAATTCTAGTTATTCGTGAATAGGGATTTCTCTGACAATGTGAACTATTCTATTAAACAGGATGTTTAAAGATTAGAATTTCTGTAGCGTATGAATTCATGTCATGATCATTCTGCTTGATATTGTTTACCAAAATTAATTTACACAATTGAGATTTCTCCAGTTATATTTTATGATTGTCAATTGTCTTTTCTGTTTTGTTTGCTTGTAGATTATCAACAAACCATCTCATAAGGTTACTGATGAACGTATTGCAAAGTTGGTTGATGATTATGTTCAGTATTGTTTGAGGCATAAAACATGATTGTTAGTGCTTTTCTAATGCATTTTCACTGTAAATCCCACCTATTGTTTACTTATTAGATTTTTTTTGTCTTTTCATGTTTGAATGTAACAAATGTTATGAAAGTTATTAAATTTTTCTTTATGAAGTTGTAATTTTTGTTGGTATTAATGATATGCCTGGTTTACATTACTTATAGAAAATAATATCTATAGCATAGTCACACCTAACAACTTGTATACAACCTGCAACGCAGCACTCATTATTTTTTTGATGAATAGTACCAGTAGTTATTTTGTTTCGGTTAAATGTAATATATTGTTCTGCAATTCGTCAGCTCCTATTATGTTTCCCATTTTCTAACAGATATATTCAAAAGTTAATATACAGGAAGATACAAGAATGTAATATCTATGAAGTATGTACTCTAAAGGACAGAAATTAAAAATAGTTGGTAATTTTAAGATACTCGTTTCATTTCCATATTAGTTTGACTAGCTTTTTTTCTAATATTATTTGGATAAGTGGCTGTTTTAATCTTCCGTCTATATTTACTTAGTCAGTCAAACAATTATAGTCACTTTTAATATATTTATTTATACATATAGATATCGGCCTCTGAAACAAATTGTCACTTCAATTACCTTATTCACTCTAAGAATGTTATTCACCCGATTAATTAACCAAATCCCTAAAATCGTTAACAAAATCTTAGTTTAAAACAAACATTGCGAAACAAGTTTATGTGGTTGAATTATTTATAATAAGTCCAATTTCGTTAAGTTGAAGTCATTCTGCAGGAAGAACAGATTGTCAATCAATTTTAATGTCAGTCTAAATTGGTATCTTAGAGTTGCACTAAACATTTTAAGTTTCATATATGGTTCATTGATACTCCGAAATGAAAACTATTCGATTAGTTAAAACTCGCGTGTTGTTCGTATTGTGTGACGTAACTGTAGAGACTTTCGATGCTTATTCTAACTTTAGTTTTAACCGATATTGTTAGGTGACAACACTCGGTCAAGGATCATGGTCATATCTGAGCAAAATTCATTTGACATTCTTCTTCCCTTAGTAGTCAAGGTAATAATTTCACGTTCAACTCTCTACGTCTGCTCGAACATATTGCTTCTTTCAACCATTATCATCTTGTGTTCAAGATATCTTGAAGCATCCAAATACCAAGATTGTCAAATTTCGTCGTGTCGTGAGTACTTTTAATTCATCTGATGAGGTTCAAAGTTGAACCTAATATACAAAATATGTTAACGCAATTAATAATCCATAAAATTGGCCAGACTTAAGGCACAGTACATCATTTAAAATTGGAACATGTGAATTAAGGATTGTTTATGATATAAAATCGTTAATGTTGGAGCTTACTAATGTGAAGTGTTAACTTGAATAAGTTTATAAGTGAAATTAAAAGATGTAGTCAAAACAGTTAACAGTTCCATTTTAACCCATTTAATTCAGACCGTACATACAGCCAACATGCAGTAATCTTTCGCAATAATATATCGTGTTAACAACAGCCTACCTAATTCCGTCAGACTGAGAACCCTGCAGATGGCTGAAGCAATTGCTATTCAGATCAAAAAGCTGGAGCTTTGCATCCAAAAGAAATATGTTCAGCCTCTTCTTTTACCTTGGCCAACTAGTTAATAATCAATTTTATAATGCAGTGATATAATTTGATTAATGTTCATTTTTATGTCCCAAACTTATTATTACTATTATCTTTATCATTATTATTATTACACTTGATAACATTTTTGAGAAATTTATTCAGCATCCAACCCTATCTACTATAATTGACGTAACTCATATTATTCTACATGTTACGTAATTCCTGATTTTTATTCCATTATTCCCTCTCTTTCACCCCATCTTGGTCATATTTATTCTGATCATCATTTATCTTACAATTTCATTTCACTTATAAAATGATTCAAGTTAGCACTTTATATTAATCAGCCCCAACATTAACGATTTGATTTTATATCACAAACAATCATTAATTCGAATATTACAATTTTAAATGATGTACACTCTGCCTTAAATCTGGCCAATTTTATAGATTAATAATTTGGATTTATAATTGCAGAACCTGATGATAAATTATTGAAAAGAGTATTCCTCGTTCATATAATTATGTTTTTATATATATTGGGAATTTTTCAGTGGTTAACGGAATCAACAGATTAATCAGAGTCAGAAAATCACAAATCACTTAGCAATTCATGTTTAGTCGTGAAACCCGTCGTTGGGACGTAAAGCTGTATCGTTTGTGTTCGAGGTTTCTAGAATACACAAGTAAACCCCTCGCTACGTTTACCGTAATAATGTATTTTCCGTGTTTGTTGACACGAAGTAGATTATTAACATTTTTTAAAATAATGCGGTGAAAAAAACGAAGTTTACCAGAACTATATGATATACGATTGCAATGTATTTCGAATAATATACTGCGCTAATATATTACATAGTTCTGATGAACTTAGTTTTCTGATTGCATTATTTGAATTTACGAAAGGGACTATTTTAAATTTTACGTAACGATTATTCGAATTTCTCTGTCCTTTTTGTTTTAACATGAACTTTCTGTGGTTGCCTTTTTTGTTCTTAATTCAGTTTTGTTTGAGGCCACATTAGGGTATGTTCATTCTCAAGATTGTTTGAAAACAAAATATGACTCCTAGTTTTCTTGGAATATTTGCGTTTTTTGCAAATAAGTATCATTGCTTTCATACCTAAATTCCCTTTGCATTGCAATTTGATTGTATGTGTCGTACTGAACTACAGCATTCCTGAAGCGCTTCATATATATTATGACTACTGTTTTCGTTCAGGACACAGATTAATACTACCCAGTAATTATGAGGTGAACATCAAGCACACTACTGGGAACTTTCAGTCCAATTCAAAAACAACTGGCATGAATAAAAAATTTGTAATAGAAAATGACTGGTTTTACTAAGTATAAATTTAATTTACATGATTAACATAGTTTACTAAGTCCATAATATGCTTCTAGTCGTTAGAATTTAAGGTTGAGGTGGTGGTTCCTGATAGAGTTTGGAGCTTATTCGTGTATACCACAACTCGTAATCATTTCATTTTTGCGTTCACAATGTAGTGTGTTATCAGAAATCAAAGACTTCGTGAATGCTAAGTGTTATATTCTCTAAAATTAGCTATGATACTATTATGTGAGATAGGACAAATGTTAGCTTTGGGTTGAAGTTATCTCTCGCTTTGAAAAACTTAGCGAACTGGCTTCGTGTTTAAAATACCTTGAAGTTGGTGGCCTGTTTGTAGCCTAACATAATTTTGTATGTGTCTCGTATGTTTTATGAAACGGAGAATAATTGGAAGTCTCCTGTGGTAATACATCGAAATCATTCCACGGACAGATTAACAGTTTACCCTTCTTGATCTCTTAAGCCGTACATCCTTTTGATTCCGGGCGAAACAGTTGTTAGCTAATTTTTGTTATGGTTTTTTATCTTTCCGATGTTTCTACTGAATTTGTAATGATCTTACGAACTACATTTACGTTGTTTTACTTGGCATTTTTGTCATAGTGGCTGCTATATTGGTTCGTCCCTATCTTGATTGTGTTGCTTGAATTCACTGGAATTGTGCATCTTTTGATTGAGTCGAAACACATTTACAGAACTTGAAACTCAGTGTTGCATCTTCAACCACCTAATGAACAAATGTATGCGATCTTTCCGGGACATGTAGGATAACATTTCTGTATAAATAAACATGTTTACTTGTTGAAACGAGTGACTATTTTAAGTTATTTACCAACTTGCCCACTTAATGCAACTTAGGTTTGGTTATTTGTTGCGCAATGATCGAAGAAATAACTGGGCGAAATTATTTATTCGAGTAACAATTCACATTAAATCGGTAACTTTATACTGAATCGTCCTACGTGCCTGAAGACACAAAAGGGGAGAAAAAAGGAAAACAAACTTATCTACGTGCGTTTAGTAAACAAACAATAGCGTAAAAACGACTTTCGCAAAATGATTGTTTGGTTTTTTGTTAATATCAAAGTATACACATATAAGCAAGCATATTATCGGCAAAACACTATGTTTTCGATTTTTCGAATCAAATTAATGAATATAAATGGGCATATTCAAAAGAACTTGTTTTTTTTACACAACCATACAAAAATGTCAAGATGGAACGAAATGTTGTCTACTGTCTTAAGTGAAGTGATGGTTTAGATGTTCCGAAAGCCGCTCATTTTCGAGGACGCGTCATTTTGTTCGGTTATCAGTTGCCAACGAAACGTCGTGATTGTTGATTATCAGGTGAGGTTTCGAAATTGTGGGACTCTTGTCTTCCCTCTAAATACTCAGCTTTTGAGCGGTCGAGGCCAGTGCTATGTTAGTTCCGTCCTTATCGATTCTGTAGTACTTAGGTTGACGCTAAAGAACTATGTAGTGTCTTTCGTATGCCGTTCCGATGGGTCGCTATTGTGAATCGCGAAGTACAAAATCTTGTGCTCTTCATTTCTCTTTGAGCTCCCCTTCAGACAAGTACTCACCATGTGAGGAAAACAAGGAGTATCCAATCGTGACCTCGTGTGGATGAGTGACCGAGTGCATTCATCTATTTAAGTGCATTAAAACCAATGCGGTCAGCAGCAAATGTCGATGATTTACAGAGCTATTTATTTAGGGGATTTATCTTCCACTACAAAACTATCGAGTCGTTAGTAACATGAACTTAGTTACTTCTCAAATGGAAAAATTGTTCTTGTTGTAGATTATCATTGTGGTTGATTTGTGTCGATAATTGGACCGTTATCACCAAAGAATTTGAAATCCAGTCATACCAGAATTCAGGAATGAAGAAATTCGAATTTATATTTGAAGAGCAGTCATTATGTCGAGAAGTGAGTGATCTGTTCTACCTAGTTGTCGCAAGAATTCGACTTACGATGTGCCTAATCACGGTCCGTTGTAGATGCGTGATTGAACACTTTCAGCTAGTGTCCTGGTAAATTAACAAAGTCAGCATCAATGTCAAAGGCTAACCGAACTATTTATTTTTTGAATTTATTTACTGCCAAAGTACAGGCGAAATTCGTGCAAACTTTTTTGTGGTTGTGAAACTCCTCACAGCATGCGACAGTGAATACGTTTACCAACATAATTCAGCAGGTACTGACAGGAGAGCACTCATTGACTACTTCTCTAATCATTATCTAATGCTATCATCTTTCAGGTATAAATGAAATACCACAACAATTATAAGTCTCTTTCAGCAAGAATGCTCTTTATTCTGGACGCAGTTCAGAAAAAACGAATTCTCCGCTAACCTTGTCTGGTAAATTTGAGGTTATCGGTCGCACAATTCAATATTGGCGATACACAAGGTCATGACCTCGAGTTGTTGAGGTATATGCCCAAAAGCTAATGTTTTGCCTTTTGATTAAAAACAAAGTACATCAAAAACGTAGAAAATGTCCGACAACGGAACGATTTTTGATGAAAAGTGTGATGCGACTATAATTGACAAAGTTTCGATAATAAACTTGATGCAATAGGTTGCGAAAATATGAATCTCAGATTTTGTTGATAAAATCTATGCTAAACTGCAGGTTAATATAAACTGATGTAATACGACTCCGAATTTTCTCTAATAATAATGTGATTTAAGGAGGGACCACTTCAGTTTTGTGTACATACTAACTGACACTGTGGAGCTCAGGAAATAAACTTTAATTATGATTTCCATAACTGTGTACCGGTAGCATAATGTCAGTGGTGTTAATTGCATTACGGATTCTAGACGCATTGATGCGAATAATAGTGAATCGTATTAAAGTAACAACATTGATCATTACCATTAATGGTGATAATCATTTACTTAAATGGCTTAGTTATCACGGGTCACACCACGTGCATGTGGAAGACTACATGAATCTGGCTTCAAAGTAAATGCTCGCGAAAATTAACCATTCAGAACGCAAACAGACCTTTTCCTATTTTCAACGACACGTACCTTACAAATATTAGTATATTTTTTCTATAAACTGAGAATGTTTTAAAATGGTATTTGGTTTTTAGCCAGATTACTAGTATTTCTTGTTAAAGGTCGTTGATTCATCTTACCTATTATATTCCATAACGGCACTGGACTTCATACTTATGCTCAGCTACACATGATTCACACTGAGAATCTTAACATATCCACACCCCAATTCCATGCGAAATCCTATTATACAGTTCATCCAGCAACTGTCTATTTATACCTCGAATGCTCCTACAAGTCGCTTTCGTACAGTCTAGTTTGTATTTGGACTAGTGAAATTATTTATTTGCCCCATTATTCAAGAGTTATAATTGTAATCTCGTTTTGTTACGTGGCATCGCTCTTCATGTTGTGTCTAAATAGTTACGTTTACCGTTGATGCGTGTTTACACAGTAATTAACTGCCCACAATACTTCACTTATAGTGTTTGGAAGTGAGCATATAGTCCCAGGAATGAAGCCCAATGTTATCTAGTGAATTTTAGTGGATATAATGAACTAACTAATATGGACCGGAGTATTTTCACTATACACTACTCTATCTATTATTTTTTACGTTGTGATATATACATATATATGCTCTTAGTGGTCCTTAAATTTATAAAAAGTTTAAATGCAACTTTAGCTGTTGATGTCAATATGTCTGGTGCTATCATAATGGCACAGAGATAATTATACACGAGCTACCGACGTTGAAATGTGCGTTGGTAGTAGCATCATAAATTTAGCATACATGTTCCTTTGCATGAAGTAAATTGATGATTTTCTTAACACATTTTATGATTTCAGATGTCTGTTTAACGCTGCATGCTTCAATGAACTCGGTAAAAAGTCTTAAGTTGGTCACAACCAAATCAAAAATCTTGCACTGCCTAATAGAGAGTGGTTTAGTTTCGAAGTCTACAGTGTATCGTTTTTCAACCAGACCCGGATCGATTTCAAATTCCGTCAAGACAACTGCACAGTCAAAACCGTCATCCTTTGTTGGTAAACATGCACCACTGATTCTTACAAAGTCAGCCGTAGCTCGAGCTCAACAGCTCTTGCAAATGAATCCAAAAGCCACAGGATTACGCATAGGAGTTAGGACCCGTGGATGCAATGGCTTGTCATATACTTTGGACTTTTGTTTTGAAGGATGCCAACCAGGAGATGAAGTTGTAGAACAAGATAATGTCCGCATTTTCATTGATCGCCGAGCTCAGCTAACGTTACTAGGTACTGAAATGGATTATCAGCAGGACGTACTATCAAGTCAATTTGTTTTTAATAACCCTAATATTAAAGGCACATGCGGGTGCGGAGAGAGCTTTAGTGTATAGATTTCGATTCTTAATTGTGATCTAGCACCCGTGTGTACTTCCAGATATGTATGAAATTTAAATCAATTCATTCTTTAGTAAATGTTTTCTGTCTACCTATGTTTTTATATTTCATCGTATGAAAGTCACAATACCCAGCTTGTAAGAAATATGTTGGCTGTTACTTAACAGATAATCACATATTTATTAGAAGTGCACTAGGTTTATTTGGTATTTCAGTGCTTGTTTGTGGAGCAGTTTATTGATTACAACACAGCTCTAGTTTAAATAACCGGGTAGCATCACTATCGCGCCAAAAGTGGGATTCAGAGCTGAGTATACGAATCCTAATACGGTAACTGAGTTTTATAGTTGATTTCTATGGTACCAGTCTTGACAATTAATTACCTCCTTGACGTTTTGTCTAGTCAGAGATTATATACTACTGATCTCGAAAGTTTATCTCCGAATTCCAACAATGAATTCATCTAAGGCAATATCTCAGACTGCTATTCGCATAAAGTAGTTTAGTTGCCGAACTCAGTTCTCATGAATTCGAGATTTACGTACAATCTCTTTGACTTTCCCCAGATCTGAGGAAATTCTGGGGTATTCGTGCCACTTCCCTAAAGGTTTCTATAGCGGCTTCCCCAAAATAGGGAAGTTGGTTAAGGTTAAAGTTTGTACCAACTACACACTGTTACTTAAGGCTTTTAAAGTGTCCTGTAAGGCTATCCAACTCAACTAAAAAGTTTCTGTATTTTGCTCATACTTGTATACTCGTTAAAATACTGACCAGGACTGTGCTTACCAATGTGAAATACTGATAGTTGCTGGTAACACAATCGGGTATCTAGAGCTTGTTCTTATGTCCCGCAGTAATGCAGATTTGCACTTTAAAATTGCACGAGGGATTATCAGTGGAAAATCTTTGAAAATTCAAGTAAAATAGTTAATTGCAATGTTATTCAATAGGATAGTTTGCTCACCTTGATAAGCAAACTTCCATACAATTTGATAAGTTAACACATCTACCAACAAGATTAATTCATAACGCCCAACAAGCATGGTAAAACCTTACACCTTTTAGTATGATCCAGAAACTCCCTGAGTTTTTAAAATCGTATGCAGTGAAGTTACATTTCTTAGAAACAAAATACAAGACTACACAGGAGATAATAAAAAATTATTGTAAATATTAGATCAAAATAAGCTGGGACTACAAAAAAGCTTTTACGGCGATAAATTCTCATAGCTTCATGCACCTAAAATATCGGCTGCTGGACCGGCTGGACATGATCGAGAACACTTGCGTTGCAAATCCGAGAACGGACGTCCTTGTAAGAGACAGACCAAAACGACAGTCATGTTATCACAGCCCAAACCATTTGTATGACAGTCAGGTGCTAGACATCGCATCATAAGTTCTTCACATACCTAGAAACAATAAAATGTGGGGTTCAGTATGGACACAAACAAGAGGTCTTATACTTTTCGAAATCTCTGGTTAAAAAAGTGTCACAAAAGCACATTAATTCTCTGAGTAACTAGGCATAGAAGAAATAATGAGTTCAGACCCTCTTATTTCTAATAGTTAGCAATACGCAGAAATACACTCCCTCGCACAATTCATTGTGTTGTAATTAATTTCTACAGCAAAAATTATAACAGTATGACTTGGTATTTTTCACTTTTTTGTGATATAACTGATGGTTTACAGCATTTCTCCTCTCTAAATGTATATTAAGATAATACGTTAATAAAACTTATCACGTTATTTCAGAACCAGTATTCGCGATTCAAAACTAGATTAAAACTAGAGAATACTTTATTCAGTACAATTACAAGCAGTCACATACAGTGTGTCCAGAGTAGAGATCAAAGATAAGATGGAAATTCACATATTTAATAATCCATATGCTGTGGCTGTTTGTTCACGCTCAACAACCAATCATACTTTCACTACCACATATCAGTTGAATTTATGCCGCTTAAACACTTCTATTTTTACAGAAATATACGTTTTGGTAGTATATCCATTAAAAGTAGGAAATACTTGCCTTCAAAGCTGTAGAGTACTGGAATTTAACTGCATTCATTAATACTGACAGTCCTGTCAAAATTAAATGTAATGTCACTGTAATCAGTGCAGATAAAATTTAGTGTATTAAATGGCTGTACTTTTCAGAACATTCAGTGATAATGAACCTTATTTTCATGTACTACTTGAAATACAGCAGTTTTTTATATGACACGGAAACTGGATATTTTGTATGATTCATTACAAAGGGAGCTTAGTCATTAAACTGCTTCTGCTCATTGATCTAAAAAGATGCTTTTAAGTCTGGAACATATAAATATTAATTCTAGAGCACTTTTCGAGAAATTTCGAAAATGAATTCTGATTCCAACATGGTGCTTTTGTTAAAAATTGTATTACTAAGTAAAAACTTACTTTAGATGGAAGCATACCATAGCTGAGTCGCAGACGAACAAAGCTTACAACTTCCTGATTTGTCATTACATCCCATATACCATCGCAACACAGTACAATAAATTCATCATCTTCGACTGAAAGTCGTCGGACAAAAACATCCGGATTTGCAGTTACGATTTGGTTTTCGGCAGACTGGTGTGGGTTACGCTTGAAGACAAAATCCCCGAAAGCTCGTGATAGTGCAAGGTTCCCATTCACACGTTTTGCATCGACCCAACCACCAGCAGCAGAAATACGTTCTTTTTCAGCACGTAGAGTTGGTTTGTGATCTGTAGACAAAGGTTCTGCGACTCCACGTCTACTACATACTGCACGGCTGTCTCCAGCATTTCCGCAGTAAAGCATTTGATCTTTCAATAGGACTATTATCCCAGTAGATCCAGCCAATTCATCACCTGGATTTGGAATTTTCAAAGAGAAGCTTGTTGTACTGTCATTATGGGCTTCAACAGTACTATCTTTCACTGCCACAACTGAACCAGGAGCTGTTAAATTAACTGAGCTGTCTAATTTCGGTGTCGATAATTTGACAGGATATGTAGTCATTTCAGATTGCATCTCTGCATCCATAGAAAGAAAGGCATGACGAATAGCCTCTTTTATGTCATTTCGACCTAAAAAAAAAACAAGATAACGGCTGGTTGTATATCGAGATCCCTTTAAAGATATATTAATATCTGATGACCAAATTATTGTTTCATTTCCATATGTTTGCTTCCACTTATGTAATAAGGAAAACAACAAAAAGTATTTTACTTAGAAGTATAAGTTAGCGTGAACTGCTTCATAGCTTTGTACTACCTTATTATCCAACAGTAAATCAATAGTTCGGTTCTTTAATTAAGGATGTTTCATCGTAGTTCTACAAATACGAAAAGTCCAAAGTCATCGTTCGCTCAATTTGTGGTGAGAAAACGTCCACACAATCCCACAGCTCAATAGGACTAGTTGAATATTGCATAGCAATCCCATAAACATTTATGAGTTAGTCAAACGGTTAACGCAACGATCAATTTAGTTTCTAAACCTAATCCAGGTCACTCGAATGATACTAGGAATGCCGTAGAGAACAGTATTGATGGAAATTGTGCAGGCCCCGCAAAGTTGGTCAGATACGTCTGATTTCTAAGACTATATTTATCATCATACATTGCAACTACAAAGTGTTATATGTAGCCATTTTGGAAAGAAATAGATGAGTTTTATAACTATTGTCGTATATTCCAGTGACATTTATAATATTACTACCAGGATGAATGAATCCAAAACGATCCAGATAACTACTAGATGTCCACAGGGGGTAACTTTAATAACTAAAATGGCTACCGAAGTGGCTAATCCAAAATTGGTGTTTACAGAGATAATTAAAAACGACATAGATATCATTATATACAAACATATAAGTAAAAGTCTCAAGTTGACTGAAACACCCTGTTAGTGGGACAGAGACTGGATTAAAGCATGCTCCATGCACGATTACGTTGGTGCGCGCTGATTGGTTAATTCTTATCCAATCAGCGCTAGTCGATACTTGGAGAACACCCTAGAATCTCATGTAAAAACTATGAACATGCTAACGTTTTTCTTATTGTGCTTCTTACTTCCATCTGCCCTTGTTATTTGGAATACAATTTACTTCCTGTTCAACCATGTTCTGATTTGGGAACTTGTCGAGTAAATTGGTGTCCAAGAATACTAAGCAATAAGAATAGCTGGGTTGTAGTAAGACAGAACCATAACGCACACAAAACCTAATAGGTATACATACTATGGTTCGAGTGTTGAGAAAGAAAATCAAGATATAAACAAAAATGTTATGAGATAAAGTTAACATTGGTTTGGCCTCATATATGTAAAACAGCTATTAAACCAGGAATTTCAGAGTTAAAAATACTTGCACTGATGCCAACCGTTTGTGGCAAGTGGGAAAGTGAAAAAAAGAAAATAACACCACATTAAGTCCTGAGCCTCGACTTCATAGGCCTCGTTTTTTCAGGCAGATTTTAACATGAATATAATGGACGGTGAAAAAACTATGGATATCGTTTCAGCGAATAATCGGAGAACAAAGCCTGACTACGTGTACCTACGTCAACTAGAGATTTATTAAAATTTTGCCTGTGATCAAAATAGCTTTCTATCCACTCAACTTAGTTATGCATTACCCTTAAGGTCTTATACGTGATGCACTCGTATGCTATTCTAAGATTTCGCAACTTTGACGTCAATAGAACGAACAAGACGACTTCTAACCTCTTCTTATTTGCCACCTCAACAACAGTGAGAAGTCCAGCTTCGTAATAGCTTTTTTGATGATAACTTCAGTATAATTAAAAAATCATTTTAGGTAACCGGTTATATATCGGTTAAAACGATCAGAATTCATAAAATGAGTGACTGACACCAAACACAAATCAGAGCGAAAACCTATCGAAAGTTCAGAAGCTAATATAACGAAAATTTATTAAAAGTTGACATGATCCTCACTTTAAATTGATATCGGTCTCCAACAAACACATGTAGTCCTAGTTACCAACATTTTCGCTATCTGTATACGTTATTCATCAATTTGCTTCTCTTTCAGAAAGTATGACAGCTTTTATGCAAGTGAGGCCACTATTATTTATTATTTATTTATTTGAACACATAAATATTGGTACAAGGGGGGCATCAAATATATATGCGCCACACAAAACAATGATAATTTGAAGAGGAGAAAAGAGAAAAAAAAGTAATGAACGTGGGGAATTATAAAAAAAAGAGAGAAAGAACAATGATGGGGAAAACGGAAAGGTACAATCAGAAGAAATCTTTCAGTTAAGGAAGATACAACCACTTTTTATGAAGAAAGTAAAAGGTTACAGCAGGATCGCCACTGGCTTCTATTCTGAGCCATATCTGATAATGTCTCTAGCCACTGCGTTACACCGTCTTTTGGACCCCAGCCAGGGATTCGTGAAGGACCAACAGAAGCTAGCCCTCTGCAGCTTTCTTTCATACCACGACACCATGTCATATACTGACCAACTCTCCGCTTTTCCCAGCCAGTCCTACAGTCGGCAAATAATGCACGACGTGGAATTCTCTGGGACGACATTCGTAGAACATGTCCAAGCCACCGAAGTCGGTGTTTCAAGATGGTGACACTAATTTAATTATCGTCTCTGTGACCGAACACACGATGCCGGACCTCTGCATTACTGACATGGTGTTGCCACTGGATGCCAGCAATCCTTCGGAGACAACGATGATAGAACACAGAGAGTCGTCTAACATCCTCAACTCGGAGAGGCCAGGTTTCACAAGCATAGAGCAAAACTGCTCTCACCGTCGCGTTGTAGATCCGACCTTTTACAGCCAGACTAACATCACGAAGGCGCCAAAGATGGCCCAGATTGGCATAAGCCGCTCTGGCTTTCACTATACGTGCATTGATCTCATCACTCACACCACCACCAGCACTCATGCAGCTACCTAGATACACGAACTTCTCGACTACTTCAATCTGCTCACCATCCAGAGTGAGTACAGGATTAGAATCCTGCCAGTCTTGTAGAAGTACTTTGCACTTCGAAGGTGCAAAGCACATACCATACCTATGGACACTGATTGCCAACTGATTAAGTGCGGATTGCATGGCTTGGGCATTCTCGCACAGTAAGACAATATCATCCGCATACTCAAGGTCGAGAAGTCTTTCTCCAGGCAACAGATCCACACCATCATTACTTACATCCGTCAGAGCTGTTTCCAGAATGTCATCGATGGCAAAGTTGAAGAGGAATGGTGAGATTGGGCAACCCTGCCTAACCCCACTGCTCGAATGGAATAGTGGAGAAAGGTGGTTGTATGCCCTCACTCTGCCCGAGTTGTTTGTGTATAGGGCTTTTAGGATGTTAATAAACTTCTCAGGCACACCCTTCTTCAATAGACAATCCCAGAGAACAGTTCTGTCCAACGAATCGAAGGCAGCCCTGATATCAAGAAACACTACGATTGTTGGCCTTTGATAAGTATGGCGGTGTTCTAACACTTGGCGGAGGGTGAATATATGATCAATACATCCTCGACCAGAACGAAACCCAGCCTGCTCCTCGCGAGTTAATCCTTCTCGGGTTCTGAACAACCTACGAAGTACGACGGAAGCCAATAGCTTGGACGCAATCGGAAGTAGACTTATCCCCCGATAGTTGTTACAGGAACGACGTGAACCCTTTTTGAAGATAGGGACAACTATCGACTCATTCCATGACGTTGGTACACTCTCTAGTTCACAGATCTTTGTAAACAACGTCGTCAGTCCCTTAGTCAAAAAGTCACCACCATCTTTAAAAAGAGCCGGAGGTAAGTCGTCTGGGCCCGGTGATTTGTAATGTTTCAAGAGTTGCAGTTTCTTGCGGACTTTCGCCTCATTTGGTGGATCAGTCTTCACCAGTCATGGAGGGCAGGACAGTCTGACCGATGTTGCCGGAGCAGCAGGTCAGTTGAACTGCCCTTCGAAAAATTCTGCCCATCGTCCAAGACGTCGATGGATGTTAGTGTTTGGCGTTCCGTCATCCTCGCAGATTGTTTCGCTCACACCAGACTTTTTGCTGCCAGTGGCTCGGATGAGTTGGAAGAGCTTCCGGTAATTACCAAATGCAGCTGCTGCTTCCAGCTCATTAGCACTCTCCGACCACCAGGCTTCTCGGTCCTTACGCAAGCTTTGCCCGATTTCATTACGTAACATCCTTCGTTTGTGGTCAAACTCACGGTCACCCGGAGTAGACCGACGGGCTTCAATCAGTTGTAAGGAACCAGAAGAAACCCAGTGCTTGTAAGCGGGACGTTTCGCAAACCCACAACAGACTGTACCCGCCATTTTCATGGCGTCATGCAATTGCAACCAATGCTCATCTATACTTTTCGGTGGAATGGTAGCTAGCCTAGAAGCTAGCTCGGTTCGGTACATACTAGCAACAGAAGTTGCAGCCAGCTTGCTAACATCAATCCTGTGGTGGCGGTCACTTCGTTGGCCACTGAAAAGTAAGGTAAGATTGGCGCAGACCAGAGCATGATCAGATTCCAGATAGGTACTCCAAAAGGAGCGGCAGTCTTGTACACAACCGCGCCAGCGGTAGCTGATCGCGATGTGATCAACCTGAGTCCAGGCTTGAGATGCAGAAGGGGGACGCCAGGTGGCACATCGGCGATGACTGTGCCGAAAGTTAGTGCTAGCCAGAAACAGGTTGTGGTCTGTGCATAGTTGCAGTAGACGTTCCCTGTTATCTGTCCTGCGACCAACGAGTCCCCATCGGCCACCTAAACGACTCTCTTCTGTGCCTAGACGCCCGACCTGAGCATTCAAGTCTCCAGCTAGTACTACAATATCTGTCGAACGCACTTACTGGAGAAGAACAGTTAGCTGATGGTAGAACTCGTCCTTGATTGCATCCGGGCTGCAATCTGTCGGGGCATAGGCGGAGATGACGAAAAGACATCGTTTCTCACGCCGATTTCTTCTCACTTTGATGGAACTTTCTAATCTAACAGCACATAACCGACTGTTAATGGGGATCCAGTCAACTAGTGCTGCCTCAGCTCTTGCGCTTAGTGCGACACCAACGCCAGCAAGACCAGACGAAGATGCCACAGGGTCCCCGGATAAACGCACATAAAACAAGCTTTTTGAAGTGACAGATGGAGAGCGAACTTGTAGTACTTCACCAGAGTCTTGAATACGGGTCTCGGATAGACAACACACATCAATATTAGGACTTTCCAAAGACATAGCCAGCCCTATCTGTTGTCCGACCTGCATAAGTGTGCGAACGTTGAAGGCAGCCAGTTTGAATGGTGCACGTGGTTTCAGAAAAACTGCTTCAGTACTCATATTCGGTAGTAACATACAATTTTCAACCAGGCAGTGACTCGAGAACGTTTAGATAAAGCTGAATTTTCACCATAGGCGAGCTGCTGTCTGAGTCGAAACGGATACAAAAAGTAGAAACAGGAGACTGAATAAATGACGTAGTAAATAATAATAATAATAATAATAACAACAATAATAATAATACCAGTCATTTCAATGTTAGTCGGAGAGAAACGAATATTTTCTATAAGCAGATAGTTCATCATAGTCTTAGTGTGTGGGCTGAGATACTGCCCGGGCGCCCAGACCGAAGCAGGGGGTTTTCTTAGGGGGCCACACCCCGAGCCTTTGACCTAAAGGTCTAGTCCACAAGGCAGTGGAGCATCGTGAGGAGATGCAGTCCCATGGTAGCCGGTGACCAACGATTGGTTCATACGCCATTTGTTCCCGCAGGATACTGGAGCCCATGTGCACCATAGAATTGGGATCCGGTTATAGCGCCGGACGTTCGCTTTTCGTCCTCTCATTTTCGTAAACAACACCCCCGCCACGAGAAGGCAGTGAGTAGGACTTCCCTGGCAGAGGCTGTATACGCGTGGCCGTGTGAGAGTATTTCGAGAGGGAGGGCGAACCCTCCCCGCTCTCGGCCATACCAGGGCAATATATGTAGACTAATTCAAGCTACTAACTATAATAAATTGAACCTGACAATTGCTACAGATGAGCAAACTACATATTCCAATGATTACCAAATCAGAGAAGGAAAAATAGGCACATAAAATAACTTCCTAATTAGCATGCCTTTTTAAAATCGATCCATGTGAGAAGATTTACCATATTCAATTTGTTCAATAATTTTCTCATGAAGATGGCGACTTGCATGATTTGCCACTCTTGTACCTCCATGTCCATCAAAAACTGAGAAATAGGCAGCCTTTGGATCACCAGGAAGCTCTAGTAAACACATATGAGCGTCCTCCATATGTACACGCCATCCTTGCATGCTGGATACTGCAACACTATAATTTTCATTCTGCCAGCTTTTCGTTTCTTTGGATAGAACAGGAGCACATAAAGACTGACCCATTTACGTCAAATAAAGAACACTACAGTTGTCGTTCGTACTGCTTCATTTAACTAGTTATTATGCTTCAGTTCACCCCTTACACCAACGCTATATACACTTGACGCTTGTGCTGAGAGGATGTTCTATAAATAAAGAAACAAAAAGCATATGATAAATAGAATAGATTCTTAAATATTTGAGGGGATGTTAATAGTAAATGATCTTAGCTGTTATGGATCCTTGAAAGACAAAACTTTTCACGTTTTCGATGGTAATCTTCTTTCAGGGAAATGCATTAATGAAGATTCATTATATATATTTGGGAATATGAACACAAACTACAGTGACTGCTGGAGATAAGTCGTACAGAACATTTTCCGAAATATTTGATTTTAATGTGGTATAAGTTGGTATACTTCTAAGGAACTTATTAGAAGAGGAACCCTGTGGCTAAGGGTTCATAGTTTATCTTTTAGATTAAGCCCTGCTTTTCAGAAGGTAATGTGTGTGTAGCGTACTGATGCTGTTAAAGCACAGTGCAGACAGTGGTTCAACGTCCAATAGGAACCTTGTCTTTACCAATGATTAATCGACATCGCAGTAAGCAAACCATGGCAAGTTGAAACGGAGACGAAGCAATTTTGAAAAGTAATGTTTTTAAGACAGGTGGGTATATACCTTTGACCAGTGATACAGACGACATTCACCTTTGTAGTACAAAAGCTAAAGTTGATATCAGTGCGAGGACTCTAGAAGTTTTACTCAGTACATTACCGAAGTAGTCGAAATACTCAATAGGTTGGAAGAACACCTTCAATATTATGGTTTATAAAACAAGGCAAAGATACTTGGTAAATACCTGCTTCGGTCTGGGCACCCGGGCAGTATCACAGCCCTCACACAAATCAATTGAGATTCGTGTGGCGCATATGTATTTGGTGCCTCCTTGTACCAATACCTATGTGTTAAAATAAATAATAAATAAATACTTGGTAAATAATATCTGTTTTGCTAGCCTTACTAGTATACATTTTGAATTAATGAAAAAAATAACTAATATTGCCAGTCTAAATCACGTGGAAAGGAATAATCTTTTAGCCGGGAAATTTATCTTTCGAGTGTTTCATTCACATCTGACTAATTGGTCATCGTTATAACTTTACTAGTATCTTTATATAGCAACGAAGTGTCTCGTTTAATTAAAAAAATGTTACTAAAACTCGAACTAATCCGCCGAAAGATGGCAGTTAAAAGCATGCGTTACAACTTGATGTTCATTTAAACATAGTTAACAAAATTACCTCTATAGGCAAGAGACTAAAAACAGTCTGCAATGTGAAGCGATTTGCGCCTAGCCAGAAGGTACTTTGTGTATTAGAGCAGCAGAGTAGCGTGGGAGCTGGAAAAAGAAAATTGAATTGACGACTCAATAAGCACAAACAATGCACCCACATTTATTAAGGACAGCAATAAACGAAAATCGCCAATAACCCTAGCCTCAAATTATGGCAACCTTCGAATCGAAACAAAGAGCACAGTCTAGCATGCCACAAACACACCAATCTCTGCCGTAGTTTCGCTGTAGAATAACACACAATTCAGAAGGATTACGATTCATGGGAGAGCCAACCCGATATAAGATAATAGATCATGCAGTGAAACACATATCTATTTGGCTAAATAGCGTTTTGACTATTTAGCTGATGTCAGTTCGTAATGAAAACCTTCACTCTTATTCCTAAACTTAACCTTCAAATGTAAATTATAATCTTTGTTCTTCACGCAGGTTTATGACTCTCGTTTAGTCCTAGTTATCAGGTGGACACTCTCAATGGCACTTTAGTGTCGCTTGAAGGACGTCCATAAATTAGAGTATCACCTACAACTCATACAAATAAAATATCAGACAGAACACTTCGCTGCATTAGCATCGAAAGTGACGTAAACAATTGCTTTCTAATGAATTTCGGCTTGATTGTTTTTATAAGAATTTATATGCATTTTTGTGATAGCCTCAGCGTCGTAATTCACGGAGTATAGATTGATAAAATGCATTAGCATCCAAGTTATTTAATTCACATCAAAACTGCGAATGAGATCAAGTCCCGTTATGGAATATAATAGGTAAGATGAATCAACGACCTTTAACAAGAAATACTAGTAATCTGGCTAAAAACCAAATACCATTTTAAAACATTCTCAGTTTATAGAAAAAATATACTAATATTTGTAAGGTACGTGTCGTTGAAAATAGGAAAAGGTCTGTTTGCGTTCTGAATGGTTAATTTTCGCGAGCATTTACTTTGAAGCCAGATTCATGTAGTCTTCCACATGCACGTGGTGTGACCCGTGATAACTGAGCCATTTAAGTAAATGATTATCACCATTAATGGTAATGATCAATGTTGTTACTTTAATACGATTCACTATTATTCGCATCAATGCGTCTAGATTCCGTAATGCAATTAACACCACTGACATTATGCTACCGGTACACAGTTATGGAAATCATAATTAAAGTTTATTTCCTGAGCTCCACAGTGTCAGTTAGTATGTACACAAAACTGAAGTGGTCCCTCCTTAAATCACATTATTATTAGAGAAAATTCGGAGTCGTATTACATCAGTTTATATTAACCTGCAGTTTAGCATAGATTTTATCAACAAAATCTGAGATTCATATTTTCGCAACCTATTGCATCAAGTTTATTATCGAAACTTTGTCAATTATAGTCGCATCACACTTTTCATCAAAAATCGTTCCGTTGTCGGACATTTTCTACGTTTTTGATGTACTTTGTTTTTAATCAAAAGGCAAAACATTAGCTTTTGGGCATATACCTCAACAACTCGAGGTCATGACCTTGTGTATCGCCAATATTGAATTGTGCGACCGATAACCTCAAATTTACCAGACAAGGTTAGCGGAGAATTCGTTTTTTCTGAACTGCGTCCAGAATAAAGAGCATTCTTGCTGAAAGAGACTTATAATTGTTGTGGTATTTCATTTATACCTGAAAGATGATAGCATTAGATAATGATTAGAGAAGTAGTCAATGAGTGCTCTCCTGTCAGTACCTGCTGAATTATGTTGGTAAACGTATTCACTGTCGCATGCTGTGAGGAGTTTCACAACCACAAAAAAGTTTGCACGAATTTCGCCTGTACTTTGGCAGTAAATAAATTCAAAAAATAAATAGTTCGGTTAGCCTTTGACATTGATGCTGACTTTGTTAATTTACCAGGACACTAGCTGAAAGTGTTCAATCACGCATCTACAACGGACCGTGATTAGGCACATCGTAAGTCGAATTCTTGCGACAACTAGGTAGAACAGATCACTCACTTCTCGACATAATGACTGCTCTTCAAATATAAATTCGAATTTCTTCATTCCTGAATCCTGGTATGACTGGATTTCAAATTCTTTGGTGATAACGGTCGAATTATCGACACAAATCAACCACAATGATAATCTACAACAGGAACAATTTTTCCATTTGAGAAGTAACTAAGTTCATGTTACTAACGACTCGATAGTTTTGTAGTGGAAGATAAATCCCCTAAATAAATAGCTCTGTAAATCATCGACATTTGCTGCTGACCGCATTGGTTTTAATGCACTTAAATAGATGAATGCACTCGGTCACTCATCCACACGAGGTCACGATTGGATACTCCTTGTTTTCCTCACATGGTGAGTACTTGTCTGAAGGGGAGCTCAAAGAGAAAGGAAGAGGTTTATGGTCAGTAATTACGGTGAATTCTCGGCCTTCGATTGTGCTGAAAGTGCCATACAGCACAATACTTAGCTAGGAGTTCCCCACTGAATGTGCTGTATCACGATTCAGTGTCTAGCAACCGTCTAGAGAATAATGTCAAATGTTGATAGAAGTGGTTAACCCATTGGTGTAAGACTCCTCCGGTTGCTGAATCGGATGAATTTACTGAAATATTAATGGGTGCTCCAGTGTCCTGATGAGCAAGTATTGTTGCTTGAGTGATAAGTTCCTTAACTGTGGAGAATGCTCTTCGCATGGTGTCATCCAGATTGGTGGATTTCGCATTTCCTCGATGTTGATCGGTAATCGGTTTCACAAGTAACGCTCATTTCGGTATGGACTGCCTATAGAAACTTACAAGATCGTTAAACTTGCGTTATTGCTTGATGGTGGTCGTTTCTGGATAATCCAGAATGGCCGCCACTTTTGTTCTAAGGGGTCGGATGCCTTGCGCATCGATAATGTTTTCTTAGGAGGTCTAAGGAGTCAGTTCCGATTCGGCATTTCTGAATGTTTACAGTGATGCCATGTTTTTGTAGTCGGTCGAAGACAAGGTCCAGATGCTGGAGATGTGATTCTCTGTTCAGAAGTGCTATTAGGCAGTCATCAACATACGCGTGTACAAAGTTGAGACCTCGAAAAACGTCGTCTATGAACCTTTGAAAGGTTTGTGCCGCGTTTCTTAGACCGAAGGGCATTCGCGAAAATTCATAGACTCTGAAGGGCGTTATAATAGCGGTTTTCAGAATATTGTCAGTGGCAATAGGAATCTGGTTATACGCTTTAACCAAGTCGATTTTCGAAAAGAGAGTTGTGCTATTCAAGGTAGCTGTCAAATCGTGAATGTGAGGCAACAGTTCGTGCAACGTATTGAAGACGTTGCATCGATAATGTTTCGGTACGATTGGGCGATCTCTATCTGTAGATGTGTCACACAATAAGGTTTCCTCACCTGTTTCCATCTGTTTAATCAGCAGATTAAGTGTTGTTGAGGACAACTAGTGCTGAAGATCACTGTCTTCTTTTTGAAGCTGGGTGATTTTCAGATTGTTGAGTCCTCGGAAACTGTTCAAGGAAGTTATTCGAGAAAAGGTGTCTGCAACTACATTGTTTGCTACAGAAATGTGTTGAATATCTGAAGTAAACTGAGAAATGTAGTCCAGTTGTCGAGACTCACAAGGTGAGTACTTGTCTGAAGAGGAACTTAAAGGGAAAGATGTTTATGTTCGGTAAAAAGAGTGAAGTCACGGCCTTCGATATAGTGTTACAAATGCCGTACAGCACAATACATAGATAGGAGTTCCCTATCGAATGTACTGTATCTCGATTCAGTGTCTAGCAACCGTCTAGAGAAAATGCCAAAGGTTGCCAGGAGTGGTTAACCCATTGTTGTAAGACTGCTCCGATTGCTGAATCGGATGCGTCTACTGCGATACTAAAGGGTGCTTCAGTGTCCTGATGTGAAAACATGGTTGCTTTAGCGATAAATTCCTTTTTTTGTGGAGATTGCTTTTCTCGCGATTTCGTCCAAATTGACGGATTTCGCATTTCCACAAAGCTGGTCAGTTTCATATGCGCGCGCATTTTCGTATGAACCGTCTATAGAAACTAACGAGGTCGTTAAGCGCGCGCAATTGCTATCAAGCAGTCATCAACATACGCATGTACGAAGTTGAGACCTCGATAAACGTCGTCCATGAGCCTTTGAAATGTGTGGGCAGCGTTCCTTAGACCGAAAGGCATTCGCAAAAATGTATAGAGTCCAAAGGAAGTTATAATAGTGTTTTTTGAAATATCGTCAGTGGTCATAGGGACTTGGTTATACGCTTTAACCAAGTCGATTTTCGAAAAGAGAGTTGTACCTTTCAAGGTAGCTGTCAACGGGTAACGATCAGGAATGGTTTTTGCATTCAATCGCCGATAATCACCAGTTGGACGCCAGTCGTTGCTGTCCTTTCTAGGGACCATGTGCAACGGAGATGCCCATGGGCTATTTGACGGTCGTATGATTCCTAAGTCTATCATATGGTCAAATTCGTTTTTCGCCAACCTTAACTTCTCGAGGGCCAGTCGGCGTGCTTTAGAGAATACGGGTTGTCCTGTAGTCGTGATGTGATGTGTAACGTTGCTGGTTACACACGGCGATTTCGACTGCGATTGGTAAATGTCAGGATACTTATGGAGTATTGGTTGATAGAATGGGTCTATCGTGTGCTTAATAGTGACTGGAGATAATCTGAAACCAGAAAAGGAAGTTACGCAGACAGATAAATTAGTATTTCCGTCTACTAAGCTCCGTTTGCGCTTATCCATGATTAAGTTGCGGTGCTGTAGAAGGTCCATACCAATGATTGTCACAGTAACATCTGCAACAACAAAGATCCAGTGAATGGGTTCGCGTAAACCCACGTTAAGATAAGCATATTTTTTGCCGTACGTAGCAATATGCTTTCGGTTTGCCGCCTGTAGATTTAAAACCGATTTGTGAAGCCGGTCGTTGGAATTCGCCGGGAGAACGCTAAATTCTGCGCCAGTATCGACGAGGTAGCGAACTCTCGTTATCACATCTGTGACATATAACAAAAGGTTGTTTTCGCCGGCTTCGGTTGTTTTTACTGCGTGCCGGCTTGGAAGTTTTCTGAATCGTTTTTCCTGTCGATCGATTTTGAGTTGGGAAAATTGCAGGATTTTCTGAAATTTCTGAAGGACTTTCCATACTGGTTATGATACCAGCACCAGTCAAGGTTATCCGTCTCTCGAGGTCTAGAGACAGATTGCCTACGTGAAGTGCTTCTTCGTGGGGTGCGTGACCGTTTACGGTCGTTACGAAGTTTAAGATAACGGGTAAGTGTTATGTCATTC